CTTTTACATAGAGTGTCTGAATATAGTAAATCTTTCTCCATTCAATATTTTTTATCACAGAACTAATTAAAGCACGATAAAAAAAGGTTATGAGTGGATGAAGTGACTTAAGATGAGTGGAAGTGTAGAAGATGATACCTTACAACTCCTCCATCAATGACTGCTAGTTACAACCACAATCTTACAACATGATGTCTGACTTGATGTTACATGATACAACCGTTAAAATTGAGTACAACACTAAGCAGACCTAAATTATAAAGCTTTGGGAGTCCCAGCACCTTTTCTTGCTTCTTGGTTTCTCCTATTACAACTTGGATATCTTCAGTCTCTTTATTAGCAGCCAAGGACAATTCAGCAGGTTAGTTTGAAATTGATGAGTTGAATTATAAATCAAAAATAATTCAATTAAATGCCTCAAAGATGCCGCAACCCCTATTAAAAAAAATTGTCTTACTATTTAAGCGGATTTTAGTTTAAGACATAACAAATTTTACTTTTATAGCAAATACAATAATAATATTTGCAAAAATTTACAATTTTAGACTCAAGAAAAAATCAATTAGTTCTTGAGAGTTTTTAAAATAGTCAGAGTTTATTATAAGTTATTCTGCCACCACAACGTAATTCATACAAGGGATGGAAAACAATGAAAAGCGAAGAAAACACTGAAGTTAATGCTTTGGCGCAAACTAGACAGAACGCTACATTAGTGACATAAACAGCTGTTACCGATAGGAGACATGTTAGTTGAGATGAGATGATTTGCGGCAGCGTGTTATCCGCTGTGTCGATGTCTTTGCTGAATCGGTTGAGTATTCGTCCGATCGGAGTGGTGTCGTAAAACGAGAGTGGGGATTTCATGATATTGCCCAGGATCAGCTGTTGCAGCCATCTCGCCGCGCCCAGACAGCCGAGAGAGAGCGAGATAGAGGATGCCAGACGGCTCACAGCTAGAACCACCAACCTAGAGTTACAAGGACTGCGTCTCTACTTACTGGTTCAACACGGTAAGATAAAATCATGCTGGATAAGGTGTGTAACCATTTTACATATCTAAAGACGCCAACAAATTCTTGATACAATTAGTTTTGTTCTATAGAAAAAATTCATAAAAATTTCATTTTTGTGTAGAGTTTAGGTACAAAAGGTTACACCATTTATTAGGCTAACTACCCACATACACTTAATGGATCATAAAATGTCAGTGATAAGTATTCTACTAAGGCTACTCTAGGACCTTTCTTCAGCCCAATTTCTTAAAAAAAAGAGGTTGGTAACCTCTTCAGCCCGTCTGTACACATTGTCAAAGGCATGTGCATATATAAGCGAGTAGAATATTGCCTATTTTTACTTGTTTTTAGGCTTGTTTTGTTTTGCCTAAGACATAGGCTGATTATGTAATCGATTGATTTTTGTTTATTGCATTTGTTGGAAATGTTAAAGGACGATAAAACGTGTCTGATTTCTGATTTTATGGAATACTAAACAAAGTTATGCGAGAGTTGGTACAGAATATGAACTATACTATTGAATTCTATGAGGCAGTATTCGGAGCAACGAAGACATTTGGTGCTTAGGTTTCACAGCCTGTTGCATAACTTAATGAGCCACCAACTCACCAAAAGTAAGTATAACCAGGTTATAAAAGTACTGGTATAATTTTCATATTTCAAGTTCCACTACTTTACTTTACAAAAATCCAAAAAACTATCCTTGTCTGTGTTACTTACAAAATTTGTTATAAAATACCATGCTCTAGAGATTCAGAGGTTCAAATCTCTTTCTTCTCTCTTTCCGCTATGACCAACAACTAATTATACCAAATGAGACAAAACCAGATGATGTTTGTGATTACACAAATTACAACAAATCTAAATATAACAAGTTACGAAACTATCAGAGGCAACTAGTACCACACTACTGAACAATTGGTTGTTAAAGTTTAGTTCATCAATGTTACTCACATCCATGCAACTACAGTTTAAAAGTTGAGACTGCTGATTGTTCCTGTTTTATTTTTAGAAGTATGATTGTGTACTTTTTATTGGGATCCTAATAAAATAGGTTATTATTTTAAGCTATCAAGAGTATCAAGTTTGATTTTGAACAATTGTTGTTATTTGCGCAGAAATATATCCTAAATGAGAGGAAAACAAAACTACTCATGTATTGATCACTTTTGTAGCAGTAAACCCAAAGTTTTACTCCAATAATATCCTGTAACCTACAACTAAGCTTATTGAAAACACAACAAAAATTCCACCAAAGGCCTATTCATGCCTCCGAAGCCGAGCATCCCACTCCCTCCAGATGCGACACACGACCGACCAATCACAGCCGAGAGGATCCTCCATGCTCAGACCTAATTTGATACAGACCGCACACAGACAACTGATCGCCGAGTACAGGCTCGCCGGAATAATCTCGTCCAACGTCGTCATCTCTTTGCTCAGTCTGTTAATGATTCTACCGATCGGCGTCACATCATAGAACGTCTGTGGCGCTCGCAGCAATCTATGGACGAACACCGAGTGAAGAATCCGGCTTGCGTGGATCCCACCGAAGAAAATACTTAAGGTGCTGGAAATGCGGCATACAACTACAACATACTGCTAGCTGTCACATACTGAGCGATGCTGTCATTTCTGGTTCTTGTGAAGTGGGACAACAGTTATAGGTTATGTAATTGAGGTAGTTGGCATATTGAAGTAGACATCCCATCTACATGGACCAGCTGTAGCCAGAACATTACAAAGTTGAAAGTGTCTTTGGTAGTGTTCCATTGTATTTTTTTCCCCTTTCGGTTTTTGGAACTATAATAGTTGAGGGAGACATTTACAATTGTACAGACATATGGAGACAACGTTAAAAGACAGAAAAGATGCTTTTTAATAAGCCTCCTTTATAGTATGGAGTGATTAAGAAGTTGGTTTATGAAAAATGAAACGGTATTTAACTGTTAGTTGTGCTGTAAGTTGGTGGCTCAATTAATCAAAATGCGTTAATGTTAATATTAACTCTGGTTACAGTTTTGACATGGGGATGAAATGTCTAGTTCATGGTAGTATAAATTATAGTCAAAGTTTACCATTTGGCATGCGAAACAAGTTTTATCATAATTACCTACAAAGCGTCTATGTTTGTTATTCTAAAAACTTAAGCACTATATAAAAATCATATTGATGTTATTTGGTCCAGGATCACTTCTTGAATATTAAAATGGTATAATATTACCTGTTTCCGTCTGTGATCCTATATTTGTTGTATAGAGCAACCGGTTTCAAGGTTATAACCTCATCTTCAGGCTCTTGTTGTCACTCTTGCGAGATCGTCGAGTTTTATAAACACACAAAAACACTAACATTGAAATAAATAAACACGAGACATTGACAGACGAAGACGATTAACATAAATTCGGGAACTAGTGCCAGACACGACGCGGCACGGGCAAACGTTTTGTCATGACTGTAAAAGTAATAACAGTCAGTAATTAATTAGTCATGACAAAACGTTTACCCGTGCCGCGTCGTGTGTGGAACTAGTTCCCGAATTTATGTTAATCGTCTTTGTCTGTCAATGTCTTATTTATTTCAATGTTAGTGTTATAAAACTTGACGATCTCGCAAGAGTGACAACAAGAGCCTGAAGATGAGGTTATAACCTTGAAACCGGTTGCTCTATACAACAAATATAGGATCACAGACGGAAAAAGGTAATATTATACCATTTTAATATTCTATATAAAAAGTAAATGTTGATACATGAAAAGTTAAGAGTGTTAATAAGTTAATAGTATTATTTAAAGTTATAGCGACTTGATTCCTATATAACAAGTTGACTGATTAACTGTTGACTGTTGACTATTTAACTTCTGTAACTGTTATACTACAAGGACATAAAATTTATAAGCCTAGTGTTAACTTATGTATTTAGTCAGCCAATCTGACCAATAAAAATTGTAATTCAAAAAACTGAAACTAAAACTTTTTTGAACAAGCAATATATTTTATGACTGATTTCGGACAAGACGACCAAACCAAACAAATATAAAACCATAACTGGCAATAAAATATGAAAAGTATTATGTCTAATACTAAATTATACTTTTACATGCTTCAATCAGCTAGTATCACATACTGATACTAATGAAACACAACTTCTACCACTAAACTACCATGCAAAAGCACTAATACAACTCATTACAAGTAAAAATATTAAATACAAAACGATAGTCTTCAAAGCAATAGAAATAAGAAGGAAGGAAAAATCAAATATTTACAGCAGTAAATGCTAAGCGTGCTGAAAAGCTGCATTTGCAAAACATCCTGAAAATTCTGAAATTTTTATTTACATAAAATAAATTTAAGGTATAACGCAATATACAACAATCAATTATTTTAATAAATAATTTTCTTATATGAAACAAAACCTTGACACTCTTACTAATTACATTTTGAATGAAAGATTGATCAAGATTGGAATTCAAAATCAAAATTTGGATAATTTTTAATATTAACTAATGCATATTTTATACTGGAATGTGTGTTTTAGACAAATGATGTTTACTATACAGTACTTATCTTCCATGCGAATTGTTATGAGTTTCAATCAATTTCTCTCCTCTCAATACGAGTAAGCTTATCAAAACTAAACACAAACTCAGCCAAAGTTGTTTGATATAATTCTGATATTGGCATACTGCTAAATCATCTTTTTCGGTTGCTTTTTCAGGGAAAGCTGATTATTTTTTGGAAAGAGATAACGTTCAGCTTATGATAAAAATTTAATGCAGAGGCTTATAGAAAAAGTCACTACATAACTAAACAGAAGCATTATGATCAATGGCTTGACGTTTCCAGAACATATTGGTAAAAAATGTCAAGTAAAAACAGTGTTTTCAAAGTTAATAATTATTTCCTTAGACAAGCTGCTGAACTCCATCATTTTCCACAACTTCTAAAGTTGTCAAGAGATAGGCAAGATGTGATCAAATTTACCTTGCCCCAGGCCCAGACCAGCGTAGACGGCCAAATACATATCTCGCTTTGACGTGTCTTGTGTCCCGTTGACCACCAGGGAACTGTCACTCGACCACTTGGACAACCAGATGCTCGAACCGACAGCAAACACTTGGAACACGATGTTTAGCAGGATCGTAGATATGGCAAGGAATGCACCGATAGACTTCATGTAGTAAATGTACACGTGCTTTTTGACCTGTTGAATGAAAACCTAAGTGAGTATTTTTTAACTTTTATGCAAAAACCAATATTGAAGGTGATTCTGGATAAATCTAAGCCAGCGTTGTTGTGGGTTCTCGTCCTGGTGCTACTGTAAAACGAATCAGAACAATTCATTCTTGAACTGCACCGGTTCACTTCTGACTTTTCTGGCTTTTCAGTTCTATTCTGATTCTACAGCCTATGTAGACAAGTTAATGTAAGGTTAAACGAAGCTGTCAATCTCATAAAAAATTACTACAGTTACTTTTTTATCAGATGTAGTGAAGACTGTATCGTCTGTAAACATAGATGTATGACAATGCCTTTGAAACCTCTCTGGCACGATTTTTGTGGTGAGTAAGAAAATTACTCAGTAGTATAAGCCTCCTAGATACAACATTTGAGCACACATACCCAAACAATGAAACATGTACTGGTCATCACGACCTGTACTATCAAACTACAACTAAGTATCAAAGAACAATAATTATCAATGGAATCCAGCATGGATAACTAGTCACCAATGTAAGATTTACAAATAAGTGAATAAAAATCAGCGTCTCAATGGAAGATCTGAAGAACATTATGTCTTACAGCAGAACAGCACATGTTATAAGGAAAACGTCAGCAACTATTCTTAAACAATACAAATAGCATTTCTAAAGTTGTGTAATGATCGTAAACAACTTAACAACTAACCACACAACACTTACACTGCCAGTTTCTGCTTTTTCTGCTTCAATTAGTTTATCTCCTGGACGTTTTGTGGTTAGGTGTTGTTGAATCTGTTTGGCCTCAGATGCGTTACTTTCGGACGAACCCCTTTGTCTGTGAAAAATAATTTAGACAAGTATAAGTTAGAAAACGTTCAGAACTGTTTTGCTATTGACTAGTTTTCACCATCAAAAGGTTTCAGCACACACAATAGTGGTGTTCCCATTTCTTACAAACCAACCTTAATCTCAATTTAATATAATTACCATAGCCTGCCTCCTGCCTGGGCCCCTAACCAGTGAGTTTGAGGTTTACTAGAGGCTATCAGGACAGCAACTATTGAGAAACCTGAAGAACTGTGTTGAAATTATCTTTTAATCTCTTATTAATAGATCAGAACTTAAGAACACAACACAGACTGAACAAATAAACCATAGTAAATATTGCCCAAAAAAATATTTATTTCATCATCAACATCACATTTTATAGATTTATTGAAAGTGTTTCAATAGAAAGTATAACTAACATATGTCAACTGATACTAATAAGTCACTGTAATTTGGGTCTTGAAAGTATAATATTACTAGTTTCAGTAAGAGCGAAAAAAAGTGTTTGTGAGTTATCATGTTCTTGTTTATAAGCCAGTGTCAGTACTGTTTTTAATCTTACAGGATATCCCTTGCTCTTACTACATTTTTCCAACCCTACTACAGTAACCAAGATGATTACCTCTGTAGCGAGTGACTGGAACTCTCGCTATCCCTTGATCTCTGTCTAGCGGCTCTCTGTCTCAGTCCTTCAGTAGATTCTATCAGCTGAGTTACTTCTTCAGGAACTGAAAAAAAAACAATATAATACAAAATACAATAAAAATATGTATCTGAAATCGAATAATATTAATATCTCCAATACAGGGGGGACAGATATTTTTCAAACTTGATTGGACTCTTGGAATCACAGGGTCATGGCATTATTATTGGTGATTGATGGGGTAGGAACCAAGCCTCTGTTCCAGGGGATGAGTTTGGTTTTTCATTTAATGAAATTCAACTTTTTCTTCTGACTCTTCCAGACTAACACCCCAAAAAAATTTAACTATTACTATAAAGACTTTTTGGACTATTGCGTTCTTTTTCATTTCTTATAACTAATTTGAAATAGTTCCATTCAGTAAAAATAAAATTGCACAGTTAGAAGTAATTTGATACTATGGACAAAATCTGAAACGAGGTTTTCCAAGCAAAGTCACCACATATAGCTTTGCTATAGGCCTACCTTCTGCATTCTCATCCTCTCCTGCCTCTTGCAGGTACTGTACCAGGAAATCTGCAAAGGCTCCCTTCTGTGCCAACAGCTGTTTGTACGTCCCACTCTCCGAGATCTTCCCATCCTTCAGCACCAAGATCAGATCTGCCTCCGGCAGATACGTGATGGCGTGTGTAACCAGGATTCTGGTCTGTGGACAAAGGTTCAAGTGAGACAAAAAACTGCCAGCAATATGATAGGTTAAACAACAAATTATTTTTGACTTGACTCTTATTTTAACACTAAAGGGGGATACTCCGTTTTCACACAAACGCCTGCTTATGTTCTGCCTAATCTTATGAACATAAAAATGCAAATTTGTTAAAACAAGTTTTTGGTAGACAAACACACAGTAAGGATACACTGATTTAACTCATTTACACTGATTTAACTGATTTAACTTTTAGGTGCAACTCATAAATAACTCACCAATCCCATCAACTTCCAGTTGAGCCATCCACCGAGCCATCTGTGGGCTTCTTCCACCGAGCACGATTTGAGAGGTGAAAAACTCCTTATGAGTTGAACCTTAAATCTATGAGGATGTCTCCTGGTTAGAAAGACAACTCCTTATACCCAATAGTCCACTGCACTAACATTGGTCAACCAAATGACAAATTAGCGTTCTAAACTTGATACCGAGCGACCAGATTTCAGCACAGATCATGTAGCTTTCAGTTGTTTTCGATGGTTTATTAGTTATACTTTAGATAGTTGTGAGTAGCAGCATAGTTGTGTAGCTGTGTGTGTAGTTGTTGTTGTTGCAGCAGTTGTGTTGTTGTTGGGCATAGTTGTGTTGTTGTGTTGTTGCTTGGTCTTGTAGGCTGTTGGGGCTCAAAAGTTTAAGAGCTCTTTAATTTAATATTAAGTGGTTGATAGTTATGCCCTGCATCCTACCTACCTTTCTCTTCAGCAAGCCCTTGGGTCCAATGACATTGTCGAAGATGTGTTTTCCGACGTGAGAGTCGACGGCACTGAGTGGGTCGTCAAGTAGATAGACGTCTGAGTCGCTATATACAGCTCTGGCCAGACTGACTCTCTGCTTCTGGCCACCACTCAGGTTGATGCCCTAGAAACATGGGGAGAGTTTAGGCTTCTAATCTAGTCAGTGATATCTTAGTATAATAAAATTATGCTACTCTGGCATTCAATAATGTGACACATTAAATACTCTAGTACCAAACTAGTTTTGCTGCAATAAAAAGAGCGTTTTGCAAGAGTTTGCAGGAAATCCGCCAAAGAAGGAGTGTTGAAAAAATGTGTTGTAATATTTTAAAACAACTTAAAGAAGCGTAGTTCTTTTGCTAGAGTTAAATAAAGTTTAATTTTTACATAAAGATGCGAATTGTGGTAACTGTGGGGGTGTATGAACGAGAAGCTAAAAACAGTTTTATCAAGCTTTTTTATGTAATGTTTCATACTGTTTGTCTTGTAAAGTTTTTGTACCTTTTCTCCAATCTCGGTAAGAAGCATAGTTCTTTTGCTAGAGTTAAATAAAGTTTAATTTTTACATAAAGATGCAAATTGTGGTAACTGTGGGGGTGTATGAACGAGAAGCTAAAAACAGTTTTATCAAGCTTTTTTATGTAATGTTTCATACTGTTTGTCTTGTAAAGTTTTTGTACCTTTTCTCCAATCTCGGTCATGTCCGCAGCAGGCAGCATGTCAAAGTCCTGTTGGAGGGCACAGGCTCGCACAACCTTGGTGTAGTTGGTCGGTTCACAACTCTTCCCGAACAGAATGTTATCCTTGAGCGTCGCATTCTGAATCCAAGCCTGCTGAGGTACATACGCGATAGATCCCTGTACAAAAAAAAACCCCCAAGATAAGAGCTGAAATGATCTTACTTTTAGACTTGTTCCAAAGAAGAATTTTCATTGGTTGTTCTGTAAAGATGTATGCTTGATGTGTTTTGGGGAAGTCAGGGTGTCCACAGAAATTTTGTCATCAATTTCCCTGACTTTCCATGACTATCCATGACCATTAACCATTGATTTCCATGACTCACGAACTTAACTCAAAAATTATAATATACCGTACACACACGAATAATACTGCCTAGACAAGTTATTTCACAGAAAATATTGAAATATGTATTAACAGATAACAATGGAGTACAATAGGTACAACAATGAACTAATAGAAACTCAAAACCCATAAACTAAGACAACTGTATAAATTGAAATTGTCGTACATTTGTGAAAAATTCGGAAAAATGCTACAATAGTCGCGGTTACGGCCGACTAAAGCATTGAAAGGTCCCCTGAAATCCATCCATCATTGGGGATTTCCATGACTTTCCATGACTTTTTGCCTATTTCCATGACTTTCAATGACCATAATTTTTTTCCATGACTTTCCATGACTATCCCTGACTTTCCAGAATGTGGACACCCTGGGAAGTTGAAGCTGTGTTTTGACCTAACCTCAGACTTCAGTTTGATCCAGAAAACAACAAGCATTAGTCTTGTGGAATTAGCTTGTTCGCTCAGGGCTATTTTACCTTTTGGGCCCCGAGTTTTATTCTTTCATTTACCATGCCTATGTGGATCAAGTATTCCCTATGAATGTAAAAATCCAAATTCTAACAAAACAATTTTTTAAGACTCTTGAATCAAGATTGCTAACTACTAACATTGTAAAACCTAGGAACTGGTTAGCATCTTGAATCAACACATGTAATAAAGTGAACAATTAAAAGAAGAAGCCCCTCTTACACATAAAGGCATAATGGAAATTATTATAAATGTTTCGTTGTTTTCTATGTTGTTTTTTTACAAAGACTAATTTAACTTAATACAGTCAAATTTATATCTGTGACATTAGAATTATTTGACAATAGCGTTCTGTAAAATTAGAAGTCTAAATAATAAATGTAATTAAAATTCTGAAAATTGTACATAAAATCCTCACAGCTCACTTTAGAGTAAAAGTTCTCTGAACTTGGAAATTTTGAAAATTTGAAATGCAATTATAGGAGCCTATTTATGGCAATTATTATTATAGTACACAAAATCAATTTCAGTTACAATATTTATTTATTGTTTAATGTTAAGTGATGGTATAAAATACTTTTCATTGACTATTCATACTAAGTGTAAAGCCTTTCTAACGGTGACACAAAGATGACCTACCTTGGTGTTGACTCTGCCAGTGATCTTGTCCATCTCCCCCAGTATGGCCGACAGTAGAGAGCTCTTCCCTGAGCCGACAGTTCCGACGATTGCCACTAGGGAGTTCTGCTTAACTCTCAAGGTGATGTTGCGCAATACTGTGTCCTGTTCCTGTTCTGTGCCCCATGAGAACGTACCATTCTCTACGACAACTGGATCGGCTGGTAAAATAAGACATTGAAGCAGATTTCAAAATTAAAAACGATGACTTTTAATCCACGTTTGAAATTAATTCCCAATTTCATGAACGAAAAAAAAAACTTGAACGATTTCAAAAACTGAAAATTTTAACCAAATAAACGAGATGTGTTCAATTTTGTGAGAACTGAGAACATAGTTGGTTACCCAAAGTAAGCCGGACTACTCGAAACTGTTTATTTATGTTGCAAGAGGTTTTTTATTCAACTTAAGTTAAATAAAATTTGTGTGAATGATTTTTTATTAAATATACACTCATATTAAATACATTTATCAAAATAGGACACAGAATTTGGGACTTTATATTGCACAACAGTTAGTAAATTTAAGGATTTTTTTCTTATATTGATGTTGATTTTACTGTTTAAAATACACACTATTGAAATATTAAAGCAAATAGACAATAGATGTTGATGCGGATGTTGTAATGTATTGTGATTACATTCTACAAGTCTTTTACAAAATCAAATTAATGGTGATATAAAGTCAAAATTATGAACTAAATATTAATTGAATACAACTCCAATACCGGTACTATTAAATAGGCTATTTTAAAATACCATTATTGAGTCAAAGGAAAGGCATGGGAGTTAACTCTTAACCTGTGTAATGTTTTTATTTTACTTTAGTAGAATTCCACATGCCTTATGGTTAAGAGGATGGTATCAACCAGTTCTTTTGTGACATTTTGACAAGAAATAATGTTCACTTTGTTGAGCGATTAGTTTCTAAAATGTTAGTACTTACATTCCGAATGGTCGTGTTGGACACTATTTGGATCAAGCTCTTCTGAGTTCATAAACTTGTTTATCCTTTTAATTGACACTCCGGTCTAGAAAAATAAACAAAAATCACAATCATCTCCAATTTATTATACTGTATATGAAATTAACACTTACTAAGAATCAATCTTTCCCAACCACTTAGGAATAATATTCTATTTTTGCATTGCACAACTTTGTACGAACAAATGTTACAAAAAGTACTGGCTTCTGGCTTGATCATGAGACAAATGATTATTTAATGGATTGGACAGCAAACACATTTCAAGTTTTTGTTAAGAGTAATAAAGTAATAATGTGTTCTAATAATTGAAATTTGTTTTTTAACCAAATACACAACACTTTGTGGCCTGGTTGAGTCTCAGTAGAAGAAGACTAACTTCAATCATTGACTAAAAAGAATAATAGACATTTCCTAAAATAACGGCCCTGTTCAGTGTTTATATAATCAAAGTTGTAGCAAAATTTATAGTAAAAAAGAATATTGTTAAATTGAATCCACGGCAGAGAGTCTAACTCTCCAGTTCTGATTTCTGTCATATACATTTTCTTTATAACTAAGCCAATACAAAAGGATTAAAAATGTTATTAATAATCAAGAGAGAAAATAAAATATTAATTAACACACTCAAACATTACATTGCGGTCGTACTCAGCGAGAGACTTATTCAACCATGTTCTATTTAAATGAGACATTGGCTACCTTAATATCCTTAACCCTTACCGCTCTGTAAACGAATATACTCGCCGAAATTCCCTTTGCTCAAAACGCTATGGACTCTCCTTATATATCCTTATATACTCTCCTTTTAATACAGAGTGCATTGGCTGGTCTTGGTAGTTCCCAGTTTTGCCGATAGAGTGTAGCAGCAATTGGGGAACATCTCTTGTGATGGAAAATCACAATAACAACTTCCCTGCCCTCCGATTGTTCAAATGGCGGTGCGCTAAACCTGCCAGTCTCTGCTATGAGAGACGCCAGCTGTGGACGGACTAACTCGCAAGTGTTTAGTTAACTTGCAGACTCCGTGGGAAACTTCGTTCTCAGCTGTGTTTGTATTGGCTTTATTGTTGTTATAAATTATTATAATTATCAAAAAAATAATCAGCTTTAGGTAACATATTTTTTAGGTATATGTAGCGTTTAGGTCAAGGCCACCCAACATATCTGTAGTGCGGTAAGGGTTAAATCGACAATTCAATACAAACTTATATCGTAAGATAATTATCCTAGAATGTAGAAAGTGAGTTGAGCAAGATGGATTTACCTGCACCATGTTGGTAATGAGAAAGGGAAGCATAGAGAGTGGAAAGCGGAGGATATTGAAGAGTGAGAGAGAGACGAACGCTGTTTTGGCATCCAAAATGTTGCGTTCGTCAATCAACACGTAAACAGCGAACGTCACCAATGACACCTGCGGTTAGAAGAAAGTGCAAATCTAAACACAATGTGAGGTGAGTAATACCAGTACAGAAACTGTTGAAGTAATACCTCAGTCGCAGCGAGCCTTTCAACTCAGCCAAGTAGACAGAAATTCTTTAACATTGAAAAAAAAATAATTCAGTTAAATTTAAGTGTAATCAATGTTTCAACAACGTAGAAACTTTTTTACGGCAAATTTTGTTCAATTTTACTTTACATCCTAGACAATAATCTAAAATCTTGTAAAAAAAATTAAAAAGAATTTTAGGATTGAGCTGAGCCAAATGGCACATAAATATATTTCTTGCCAAATTTACAAGTAATTAAGGACCGCTGCAATGAGGTATTACTTACAAACCAGTTTCCTCTACAATCCAAATAGAAGTGTGAAAGTCAAGCACCGCATGTGAAGCCCGTTGTCCTCGACCATATAAAGACCATACCTGGATAATACTGGTCATGAACATGGGGAACAGAGCCATGGGGAAGCGCAACAGGTTGAACAACGTCAAACCCACAAACGCCTTCTCTGCATCCAACACGTTTTTCTCGTCAATATAGACGTAGGTGGCAAAAGTCGCTGCAGAAACCTGATGTGTACACAGGGATAGATAGGTACAGTACGGTCATTTTTGCCACCAACAGATAAAGTCAATTTAGCTTAAACAGGCTGTTCATAGAGAGTAGGAATGAAACTAACCAAACAAATACTAAAAAATGTGTAAAATTAAATAAAATCTAAGAGTTTATTTTAAAGAAACATTTTATAATTCAGATTGGTTATTTTTAAAATACAAAAAAAACTGTCATTTTTAGCACAGTAGATTTTAATAATTCAGATTGGATTCGAGCAGCTATAGAGTAATGATGTTTTACATGGTACAATTTGTTTTTGACTATGAAAGTTTTTACAAAGACTTGGCTTTAACATATAGTACCTCCTGTAAGTATACGATAAATTGCAATGTTGTACGAGACAAATATATAAAAGTCTTCTCTTCTTCCATGAATAAAGAAATTATAATATAATCTTACAACAAAAATAATAGTTTACTCAGAAAACATGTAAGAAATAACAATGCTTGTATGTTCAGTGGCACTGATGACTGAATACTCCAGCAGGCATCTCTTCCTATTATGCGATTAGCATGTTTTGATCTTTGTCAGTGGCGTTTCCAAGGGGGGGGGGCTATAAGAGTTAAAGCCCCCTTCCATTGGACCATGAAAAAATGAATTTAAAAATACATTACCTCATATAAAGATAACAGTGGTAAAAATGCTGAGTAATTTAACACATTATTAAAACAAGTAAAATTTAATGGTTTGCATTTGAGGTTTGTTGGCAAAAAAAACTTTACTTACATGAAATCAAATCAAGGAAATATTGATTCACTGTTTTTCACAAACTATAAGATTTTGGTAAGATTCAGCAACAACATTTTGGCCATGTCATTTGATTGATTGACCTTTTCTGTTGTATTGTAATGCTCCCTGAAATGATATACACCACTCATACCAAGAACGGAGCACAGGCCCAGATGAACGAGGTGCAAGCATTGAGGTAAGCAGCAGTCTTCAGCACTTTCATTTCCTTAGCTCGAATCTTCAGCACTTGCTGCTCGAAACTTGGCTCCCAAGCATACAACTTTAGCACCTGAACAGAAGAAGCTTTTTATAATATAGGCACACAAATAAAACTTATTTCTTAAACGTACAATTTTACCATGTTGCAGTCAAGTTTTATTGAAGTAATTTAACAAATATTGATATGTTTAATGCATCAGGGAAAACTATAAACATTATAATCTATTGATGATCAGAAATTTTACATTGAGAACATAAGGTAGAAAAAAATTATTAGTGAAGAAAAATACAGAAATGTCAGGAAAAATATATTTCTGATCATCGAGCGGGATTACAATTTTTTCAAATGAGAGTTTACTTGGGATTTAATTTCTTCTGTCTGCGATTTTGACACAATTGTGAGTGATGATAGTAATGTCTTCTCATCACTCAGTGGCGATGTAAAAATAACAAAGCATTTTAAAATATCAAAAATTGGTCAACTACAGCAAAAAGCATCCATGGTATTGGTAAAAAAAATTAAAATACATGACGAAAGTAGAAAAATACATTACTAACTACTTATGGAGAAGAGACAAGTGGTGAAGACAGAAGCTGTCACAAAATATAATGATGGATCCTATATGAAAACTAAATGAACAACCTTTATTCCTGAAAGTATTTCGTTCATGAGTTTCACTCGCTCGTCTTTGTATTTCATCTGTTTGATCTGCAACGTCTTGACTTTGTTGGCGACCCAGCCGTTGATGGGGATGAGAACTATCATCACAGCCAGACCTGCTAGCACAGAGGGCCCTGCCAACAAGAGAAGTGAGAGTAGCATAAAAGATATTGAAGAAAAATTAGAAAACAAGATACAAGTAGATATCATTTTTTTTAAGCACAATTCCAAGCTGTCTAATCAAAAGTACCAACAAAACAAATTGGCCTTTAGAAGTTGCAAAAGGGTATACTTTCAGGTAAAAAAATGCAGTAAAATTTGGGATCTCTAGGTCTTAGACATTTTTGGGCCCCTACCTGGGCCAAGCTCAGGTAGGGTAATTTATATTAAGGAGATGCGACTGATTTTCGATAGCGGAAACATTGCAAAATTATTGTGCAAAGTAATATTCACTATTTCATAGTGATTGTGAGGGGAATTCATGATTTGATCACAGGAAATGCTGTTCAAGCAGGTGACCTACCAGCTCTACTGCCCTCATGTAAAACTTTAATTCTAAACCATAACAGACCACAAGAGATGTAGCTGAAATCATTACTCTTGGTTAAAATATGACAACCTTAAGAGGATTTTAAGCCCCAATAATACACCATACAAAATTAAAAACTCACTATAGAGCTTGATAGTGACATTACAAAGGTTTAGAAAGCTTACCTAGAGTCTGCCAGAGGAAATATAGTGCCAGTGAAATCTGAAGTGGAGCTGACCAGATCATGTTGAGATAAGCAGTCAGGTCCATAAACCTCTGAGCATCTACTGCCATCAAGTTGACTACCTCACCCACTGTAGACTCTTTACGAGCAGTGTTGGAGATTCTCAGAGCCTGTGACAAGAACCAAACAGTGGTGAAACATGATGGAAAATGTCCAATACAGTTCATTCTAGGGCATTCTCTTCAGTTAAAAAGGTCATGGGATGAACCAGCCCTTAGTTTTAAAATTATCTTGGAACATGATAGATTCATAGAAACAAATTTTTTAGCCCTTTCAATCTACCACTACTGTCTACAAAACACTACAGAATACTCTGAGGTTATTTGTAGGAGTGGGGGTAGGCGGTTCTCATGCTGTGTCTAATGTATTGTTAACATACCTTTCTGTAGATGGCAGATATGAGTGCTGTCCTGATGCGTAAGCCGACCAAAGACATGCGGTAGAAATACTGCGCCAACAGCAGCGTTTGACAGATGGCAGTAGCCATCATCAATGCTGCGTACACAAACCCCTTCCACAATGGTTCATCCGTCGACACAAAAGTAATCAGTAACCTGGACAAAACAAAGTGACAAACTGTGTTTTTTACTACGCCAAGAGATAAACACAGATGAAAAATTTAATCTAAGACAAATATCAACAGATAACGACACAGCAGTGCCAGATATAGGGTACTTGCGGCCTTAAGCCAAATTAACCGAAGCGCCTCCGATCCCTTAGGTGAAACTTCCCCGCAATCACTGCAAAATTGTGGAAATTTGGTTTTATCATGAATACATCATCATTGACACCTGGGATCAGAGCAGTTACTAACCTGAGTAGCTGAGGGCTGACAAAAGTTAGCAGATCTTGAGCTAGTTTCAAGAAGGAGCCAAAGAGGAATGTGCTTCCAAAGGCTTTACACAGAGGCATCAGTATGGAGGCTTGGCCGAGCCTGTACTTGCTGCTACTGGAGGAACCCATGAAGTCCACACTGCCCGACCGTTTGAGGAAGGACGCCTTTGAGGTGGCAGCACTATAGAAAAAAAATTACTTTCAGCACAAAACAAATGGTACAAGAACATTCATTACCATCATGCACGATAAAAACAAATTGTGTACAAATTGGAACGAATATAAGTCCTCAATGTCCGTCCACTTAATGGACACTGACTGCACTGCTGGATGATGACCGATAATCTTGAGTTGGTAGCACAGCAGAACAGAAAGCAATTTTCACTGTCACATAATATGATGGCATCCTAATAATGTGAGGGTTAAGATTATATTGGCATGCACAGTCAAAACAACTGTTTCAAAATTGAATCAGATATAGTATATAAAACGAACAACTTTTTTTTACAGCAGAACTTTAATAGTTTGTCACCTATCATATTGCCCACATTAGATACATTTTAAAGCAGGAAAATTAAATTTAAAATAAAATAAGGAGGATCGCCTTTAAATCATACTTTACTATGCATAAAATCATAATAAAATCTAGATATCAATGACTGTATTAATCAAAAAATATAATCTAACATTCATGATAAACTCTAACAGAATGACTAATCTACAACTGAACACTGGAAATCATACCCAAAGTTATCCCAGAAAGACCTGAAAATGTAGTTAGAATAAATTATTGTTGCTAAAAAGTTTTTTTTTAATATAACACTAGAAATACTGAAGATTGAGAATACCTTAAAAAAAATTGGTTCAGTGAAATTAAGGTTGAAGAGAAAGTGCTATGGGAGTGTTTAATAAAAGACGAGCAACCTGTTGTCGACAATGATGAATAATTAGTTTAAAAAATATATTATTAGATCTACCAATTGAGATAGGGACGCCACAAAGGTATTTTAACAAAAAAATTGAGTTAAGTATGGAGTGAGGTGTCTTGTGTGGCTTTGATACTGACCAAGACCAACTGTTTCATTGGCAACATTTATTGAAACCCCAATGATCAAGGAAAACTGGGTCCAGTTTTAAACCATCAAAAAGCTACTCAATTTCCTCAGGATCGAACCGGCCATCTTTTGACTATCAGGCAAGCATCTCAACCAGTCAGCTACCCATCTATTGTACACTTGTTATAATGGGGAAACTCCCACTGCTGCATGCTTAAAACTATTAATAAACTGTAGCTCTAGCTAAAAAAAACCTATTAATTACCGAGTGATAACAATATTTTAATGTTATTCAATAAATTAATGACCAATTAAATATTAAATGTAATAGAGAACTCAAATCAAATCAAAAGACCAGTAATAAACATCGGTGTCATCAGACAAAGCCGAATATATTATTTAATGTTATATAAAGTACAGTAGACTCCCTCTTATCCGGACACCTTTTAACCGGACATCGGTTTAACCGGACAACACTCGGCAGAAATTACATCTCTTTAACCGGACAATTTTTATCAGCACATCGGTTTAACCGGACTAGATCGACAGGAAGTGGGTGGTACTGAAACGACTGTTCTTGTGAGAAACATTTGAGACCAGTGATCACGTGTCTAAATAAAATGCTCTCCTAAATTTAAGTCAAGTACTGTATAAAGTATGCATTTAAACGGTCTGTTTTTGGGGACATTGGCTTAACCGTTAAACCAGTTATCCGGACTAGCCTTGGTCCTAAGGAGTCCGGATAGGAGGGAGTCTACTGTAGGCTATATATACTACCGGTACATTTTCATGAAACAATTCCAAACCACTCACTTTGACTTCTTCGCGACCAATTCGTCCCAATATTTGTCAAACCTTGGGACGATTTCTTTGGCAGTATCCTCAAAGTTCATATGCCACAGGTCGTGAGCTTCTAGTGGTACTCGGTAGCCCTTCCATGCCAATGGGGTGAACCAGGAGAATGTAAGCTTGGAGGGGAATGACGACGCTCTCTCCGGACATAATCTCTACAGGTAATAATATTTTTGTTAGCAATTTGGTTGGTATTCTGAGAACAGTTTGTAAAATTTTACAGTTTCAAGTTTTAATCCAGTGAAATGGTTTTTGATTTGGTCAAGACTTGTATTTTTTATTTTTGAATGTTTTTAGAAAGATTTAGCCAGCAACTTAGACTATCTACAACAATGATTAAACTGGGGATAAATATTGGCTACCCCATAAAAGAACCATTTTTTGTGCTTTTATTCAATGTGCTAATAACAATCAGTTTAATATAAGTTTGATGTAAATGTGTGACAAATGGGAATGTTATTATTGTATGCTGGAAAGTTGTCAAAATATTGAGATAATATTGATTTTATATACCTCTTTCTCATAAATTACTAGAAAATTATTTGTGGTGTCACAAGTTAAAATTAGTAGGAAATTTGTTTAAATAATACAACATCGGGGGAAAATTCTCAAAAAAAGAAATTACTAGACTCCACGCAGATAAAAAAGGGGCATACTAAATAATGCAAATGCATTAAAAATGAAGATACTTAACTACTCTATTGATTATTTAAGACATCATATACAAATGGAATTCTCGACAAAATCTAATTTTTTCTAGAACAATGATGTGTTTAGTAGTTCCTGATTTATACAATGGGTTTGAAATGTATTACTATGTTAGATTATAAAAGGTGTCTTACAACATTTATTATCACAGTATGGAATAATCCAAAATAATCGTACTGAAGTACACAATGCAAACGTATGTGACATTGTTAAAACTAAAACAAACGTAAATACCTTTTCTAGATCACAATTTAATGTTTACAAAAATTTACAATAAATTAAACCTACCTCAACAGTTGGGTATTCTGAGTATTTAGGCTCAGGTTCCACAAAGAAGTTAAGTATAAAACTGATGAGACAGGCTGTGTAGTACACAACATAGCTGACTGACACGAATGTAGGCTCCGGCAACTTCTGAAAACAAACAAACTAGAGTTAGGAATTATGTGTATGTTTTTGGTAAAACACTCTTGGCTAGGGCTTGCGTTTGTATTAGCAATTTTGAAAGGAAGGCATGTTTCATTGGTTAGGTGGACTTGTCAAGAGTTTGTGTTAACTCTTCAATATATCCTGAAAAATGTCATTGGCGTAAACAAGAGGAAAGGGGGGGGGGATGCAATATTACTTTCCCACACATAACTTGTTCCTATATGAATTTACCATATAGGGAATAACTATTACCATAGGTCTCATAGTCAGACCTAGACCTGGGACCGATTTGCTTTTTTCATTTTGTGGTCCCCAGAGGTCAAAAACACCCTCTGTTCAGATTCATATGTAGCCTATATGTGTTCATTAGCCCGATAACTCAAGCAGAAACTATGCAATTTTCATGAAATTTGATACAAACGAGAAAACCTACGTTTATTCGAACAAGTTCTCAAACCAGCATGATCGGACAATGGGAACGGGGGTTTATGTAGTAAAAATGGGGCTTTCCCATTTTTGACTCTAGAAACATAAAATTCCACAATTTCTGACATACCATTTTTAAGAGTAAAAAAAAAACAATTTTGTATATTGAAGCGTTGTTATATGCCAAACAGTTATAGAGATAATTTAAAAACTGTAAATTTAAATTCTCATGTTGTTCCTCTGTAAATACAGAAATAGAAACCTAGATTATTCCTCAATCAATTTAGGAGGCAATCTTTATGTACTTTATTGGGTTTTTGACCTCTTTGGACGTAAAAACAAAAAAGTAAATCTGCTTCAAGTCTAGTTTTACCTACAGTAATAGCTTCTTTCCTATAAAGTAAATCCACTAAAATCTTGCATCCCTTATTTTTTTAACTTACAACTCAAACCAATGTTAAAAACGCACAGTTAACAAAGGATTTCCAACCTAATTAATAGGTACAATATCATTATTTATTTGTAAGAAGGATTTATTCATGTACATCTAACTAACCTGTAAGCGTAGAGCATGAAGTACAATGCTCCTCAGCTGTGCGAGGCCGCACAAGCAACACGTGAACCAAAACATGAACACGAGACCCGACGACCTCTGACCTCTCCGTCTGTTGAACCATAGCAGCGAGGCAGCCAGACACTGTGAGAACAATCACCAATAGTTATTAATCAAAAATACTCGCTCATTAAATTTGAGTTATAAAATAATAATGTTCTTTAAAGTCGTTAACCCTTCTGACAATAAATAAAATGACAATAAATTTGAAAGTAACTAGGGATGTGTCAATTTTTGATATCCTTGGTATCGAGAATCCAATTTCAAGAGTCGATGCCGATATCCAACATGCCTAATGAAAAATTCACACTTTTGCCGTGATTACAGTAGATCGTGATAACGTTAACATTACTGCAAGAAACTATGACAATGTCTACACAAACGTTTGAGATGTTTATGATTTTGCCGTGATCGTAGAAGATGGTAATGATGTTTCCGTGGCCAATTGAGATAGTCAGAACCGTGTAAGGTATTCAGGATTTTGCTGCGATCGCAGAATACAATGATGGTGTTTCGGTGATCATTGAAGATGTTTATAATTTGGTCAGTTTTGTAGAAGCCGATCTACACAGCCGCTGAAGACATTTTACTTGGCCGGGGTTGTGGAAGACAATGTTGTCTTTAAGACAAAAGGAGATATTCAGATTATTACCATGATCACGGAAAACAATGGTAGTGACTCAAGACAGCGAAAGATGATAATGATTTTGTCGCTGCCATGGAAGACGGCGATGATATTTTCGAGAAAACAGGTTATAAACCTACTCAGGGTTTTGTTGAGATAGCGGAAAACAATGATGATGTTTCTGTGACCGATGAAGATATTCTGGATTTTGCTGCTATCACAGAGATAATAGTGATGTTTCCATTACCGCGGGGGATGTTCAATATTTTTCCACCGTAACAAGAGATGATGATGATCTTTTTGTTACCATAGACAGAGTTTCAGGACTCACAATCAAGGAAAGCAGTAACCAGTTATAGTTTGAATTGGTTGGTTAAGACATTGTCGTTGCTTCTTTAATTTTTTTTAACAACAAACTTGAGCTGTTCAATGCTGCAATGTCAACATTTCCTTTCAAAACAATTAATATTGAAGGAAAGAAGGTTAAAAATTAAGAAATAAAAATACAAGTTGCTTAAACGTCAAGAGTGCTCATTTAGGAATATTTCAAAAATTTAACAAGGGTTCCACAGGCCTAAAAATGTCTATCTTAATCTTATAGCCATTTAATTTCATTTATAACTAGATGATGACATCAACAAAAGTGTTCAAATGTGTTGAGTACCTATTTGATAATATTGACATTCTGTCAACTATTAAGTGAAAATTGTTATTGTAACACCTGATAACAGGCAAGGGTATGATAAGTTAGATTGATGAGTTCCCATGCCAATAGACCAGAACATGGTAAAAATTAAGATCCAAAAATATGTTAACAGCACGTTTTTCAATAAGAGTCCATTCAAAGGCCGGATGTCAACAATTGATCAATTCTAATCAAACTAAGCTCCTTATAACTGTTGAGTGCCCAGTTACAAATCTCAGTGTTTCCATTTAACACTTGTTAGCTACATAGCACACGGTAGATATAGAGCAGTAATAAGAATACGGAAGTGAAAACACGTTCTATGTTGTTTATTATTACCTACGTAAACACTTAGCAAAATCTTGCTTATCTAAGCTCAAACACAACCTTCTCAAAGTAAATAGTTATGCAACTAAGGGAGTTTTAAGAGTTAAAGAGTGACAAACGTATATTGTGTAACAAGTGAAAACAATTAATCTTTTGTACTCAATAGTTTTTTTTTATAGACAAAATATTTAAAATCACATTCAGAGCCCTTCCCTTAGTCAAGCACGACCCCCACCCATCAGGACTTTTTATTTTCTTCAATCTAATAAACGAAAAGAACTTTAAAAAAATTTCTAACCTCTCCGGGAATTATTTCACCCAATTGGTCTAATTTAACTGGGCTAAAGTATATCGTTTAAATTACAATAATCTGCTTAAACATGTTAAATAAGGAGTTTGGCTTTTAGGGAACATTGTTCTCTAATACATTGTCTAGATATCCTCACCTGAATGAAGCCTAGCTAAATGTTCAAAAATACTTTGAGCTGGCTTAAAATGATTTACAAACCATTTAGCTATTATCACAAATCTACCAATCATTGGTGATTGGTGGGATTTGAACCCCAAACCTCCGACACAGAATTCCAACCAGTAGACCATCGGCACCTTAACTTAAGAATTTAAATTTAGTTGTGGAAAAGTCTAAGACCTGTTTATAATACCAACACACTGGTAAAACAGTTTTCTAAAGTAGGGTGGACCAGTGCTTTAAGATGTTGAAACTAACATCGACAACAAACAACTCTACATTTATCACTTTAAACGCGTATTAACATACGTGTTAACATGCTTCACAGTTGTATGTCATTAAAGTAGTGTTGAAAGAGGCGGTTACGCATGCATACATTTCTTTGAATTCAAAGCCATCACAATCGTTAGAGTACTAAGAGCTTTTTAAATTCAAGTGCCGATAAGAATGAATGGTAATAAAAATGAATTTACATTGACACAAACACTAGTAGGATAAATATTTATCTTATGCAAGTGGGGGTTTTACTCAAGAATAGTGACTTGACAATTCATGTAACAGCGTAACGAAGAAATATGTAACTTATTCATTCCACAACACTGAATGTCAATCCTAATCAAACACACTTGACCTGAAACCGATCAATATCTTCACCAACCTATAGTTTGACTACTTATAAACTTATCACAAATAAATCCAAATAATCCTAAAACTAAAAGGTCTTTTGTTGAGAATATAGATACGACAATAAAAAAATAATTCTCACAGCAAATGTCCACAATTTTCAATGAGAAATTTATCATATCAAATTTCCATATTTATTCTAATGATATGTCTTTATTATTTGAAAACCAATTAAATAAAAAATTAAAACTAAAAGATGACAAGTGAATACTTACAAAAGATACAAACTTGATAGCTGGTGAGTAAATGTCTACAGAATACACAGGTTTGTGATGTAAAATGTTGACTACGGCGAATATGAAGTCTGCCACACAGTGAGCGAGGACTACTAGGACTAGGGCCTGCAAAATGAGGAATCCATCAATACTGGTGTAATTAATAAATTCAAATTCATAAAGCTTTCAGTACAGGAAGTTCTCCAAAACAGAGAACATTCTCTACTCTGAGTGGAATGTGTTAACGAATTTCCCTATAGAGAAGTAGCTATTACTGTAGGTCTCATGGTAAGACCTAGGCCCGGGACCGATTTACTTTTTCATTTTGATGTCACCAGAGGCTAAAAACACCATTCGTTCAAATTTTTATATATCCATCCAGACGATAACTTGAGTAATTTTCGTCCGATTTTGATAAAATTTGGTTTGAAGATGTAAGGCGGGATAAACTTGAATGATTTCGCGAACCAGCATGATCGGACCATGGGAACAGGGTTTAACGGGGGTTTTATGGGGTAAAAATGGGGTTTTCTCACTTTTACCCTTAAAACACAAAATGTATCAATTTTTTACAGACCTTTTTAAAGAGCTTAAAAAACTAATATTTTAGTACCTCAAAGTATTTTTGTACAGTGATTGGTTACTGAGAAAGTTAAAAAAAAAATTAATTTAAAATTCCCATGTTATTCTTATGGAGACTATTATAAAATGTTGTAGTTGGCTTGTTTATGGATATAAGTTACATAGATCAAACTTGGGGGATTAATTTATTTCATACTATTGATATTTTAATAAAAAACACACTTTAGTTTTCCTGTAGCAGCTAACCAAGGTACTCGTTAAACATAAATGTTAGTTTAATAGATTAATTGAAAATCAATCCAGGCAAATGGAAATTCGCTTAGTCTGCAGGTTTGCTGCAGCGGGGGTATTTTTTTTTTTAGTTTGGTGGGTCAACAGCTTAAAGTAGGCTCCTAATCATTCTTATGGTATATGAATTCAAACAGATTTGTTTTTAGAAAGAGAAAGTAGTTTATAGCTGTCAGGTAATACAAATGGGAAGTCCTACTATCTATCAAGTTTACTGACAATGGTTACTAAAAAAAAAAAAAATGAAAATAGAAAATGCATCCTGTTCTGTAAACAGAATAGTAGATAATAGAACATTCTATTATAGCATTTTCAAGCCTGGCAACCCCATGGATTTTTCTTCAAAGGAAAAAATACACATGCTACAGTAAAATATTTAAAATAACATTTATAATACATATTTAAAAGATTTTAATAGGCTATATTTTTCAACGACAGTTTTTTACCCTTCCATAATAGCTGTAGTGGTGACAACATCACTAAACTATTGAGACAACTCAGCAACCTGTTACTTCAAGGACAGAATCAATTGAAGCAGATGAGTTTGTTTGTCAGCAATTCTCTCACACAATGGACCAGCTGACAGGAAGATTGCATGAATCAGCAACTTACACACTGAACTACTACTTCCGAACATTGTCTGCTGAAGGATATGTCATTACTTTAATAGCTGACAGGTTACGTTATACTGGGTCAAAATGATTCCTGAGACTCGATATATTTCTTGGAATAAAATTATAAATTTGTCTTTCTGTTAAACACGAGATTTACTATTTAGGTATACAATTTAAACAAATTTCTTGTTGAAAGAAGAGTTTTTGAGATTAGCATTTTTGTAAGTTTATTATTTTCAACAATAAAAATTTTAAATCACATTGTTGAATTAGAGCTACCCACTACTCTACAATGTTTGGTTAAACAATCTAGTTACAAAATTATGACTAATCATTCAAATGATTTAATTGAGTTTTAATTTGAAAATACTCACAAATGGAACGCATATTCATTAAAAATGTTATCCTATCGAATGGCCTTTAAATCTATTATCAGCTGTTTCTCAATGTTGACCCATTTATCTAAAGTCATGAATTATCTGGTTATTACATGACAATCACAACATTCATTTGGCAGTTGTGTAGACTGGTAATACTATTCGCTACTGGCTATTGATGATAAATTGAACTTGACATTGCTTTGAACTATTAATATACCTCACTTTCCACATAGTGAAAACATTGTGCATAAGTTTAGCAATTCCTTTCTCTCAACACTATGCATATGACATTTCTACTGTAAATCTATGGTGAGAAATATTTTTTATTATCTCTTTTTTTTAGTACCAACCAATAAAGATAATACACACTTACAAATTTACAGATGTTGAGACAACACCATGGCACGTATTTGTACTTGCTGTTCAACAGATAGTAGACTTCTAACGAAGAGAACACCCAAAGGAAAAGGCACGGGATCCAGGCAAGCACTGTTTTCTCAAAACACGGAGTGAAGTCTGGATCTGTGGTGAACCAAGTAAGGTTGCTGTCCTGAAAAGACATTTTGATTTTATTAATTATCACTAATAACTTTTAAAACTTCACCTGAAATTATGAACAAAATACTAAATAAAGAAAAACATGAGTAAGTTTACAATGACCGTAAACATTTTTTAATAGTAGGTGCAGAATATCTCTAATCTGGCAGATCTAAATCACTGGGAATCTTTGGGGAGTTTAAAGCCAACCAAAACAAACTTGTACGATCTACTGTAAAATAATTGTATTCTATTTAACAAAAGGACGAGAAGGCTACTTATTTTATTTTTTTACAAAGGATATAGGTCTATTTATTAAAGTGGAAATTTTACAGAAAAGAGTAGTACAATTAGAATTTAACAATAAATTTTACACTTAAAAAAAATTAGAATCCCAGCTCCATCCCAATTATCCTCTTTCTCATTTGTCTCAGACAAATGCTTGTTGCTCTTAAAACTGTACGGTTTGTTCTTAAACTTATCCAATTAACTAAACACTATTTGGTTTTTTAAATTTGTCTGAGAATTTAAAAATAAAAAAAGGTAAAATGCTGTTGTAATAGTGCGCTTGAAGAGCCACTATTTCCATCCTGATGATATTCACACTAGCCCTAAATAATCCAAACCGCCATGCCACAAAGCTTCTGTAGTGTTTGTAAATATTAGTTTTGTAGAAATTGTATATAATAATTAATTGACACAATCTATCCAATAATGTCGGTCAAAGATGAAGACATCAAGTATCAAGTAAGTATCATGTATTCATTTAAGAACAATCCATAAAATTTACTATTTTAAGCAACAATAGAATACGATTGAATGGGTATGTTATAAGTTAACCACACCCATTACAACTGAGAGTTAAATCTGCTAAACAATTCATCAACTATCTGCAGACGGCAAAGTTGCGCTCGACTCTGATAACACCGGAGTCAACACTAGAGTCCTCTTTCAGAGATTAAGTGTTAAAGCGGATATGATATCACAAAGATTAAAATAACATGCTTTCACCTAATCACCCTGAACGGCCTTTCCAGCACCCTGTAGGCCTGCTATTGTTCTTTCAAGCCAAAACCGATTTTAGTTCTAAAATAAAACTTGAATAGAGTAGACTGATAATCAACACTATACTTAGACCTATTTAATAACAACCACTAGTGTAGTTTTAAAAATAGTTGTTTAGCCTCCGGATTACTGTATTATACAGTACTTAAAATGGTTTACAATACCTGCATATAGTAATCCTTTGTTGCTGATTTAGGCAACTAGTTTCGGTTCTTGTTTTGAACCATCTTCAGGCCTCAAGGTGACAAGTGATCACTTCATTCGAAGGTCGTTAACAGAGTTCAATAAATAAAACATATACAAAACACGATACACGGAATGGACACACATTACAAAAAACTCGAAGGGAAATTGACAATCGATCGTGACCGGGCTGAGGTAAAGTCTAGACTTTATTTATTATTATTTGAAGATGGTTCAAAACAAGAACCGAAACTAGTTGCCTAAATCAGCAACAAAGGATTACTATATGCAGGTATTGTAAACCATTTTAAGCACTAGTGTAGGGTAAAAATACAATTGTCTATACAAAAATTGCACAAAATGCTAATTAAACTAGGTGGATAATGCAGTTTTCTGCTTGCAATATTGAGCGGAGCTAGCATATTAATCCAATACTTTTCTGTTGTCAATGATACGTATATGTTTCTTGTAAAAGAAATACTAATATCTCAGTACCCAGTGTTAATGGTAAATTGGTTCACTTAATCGAATGTCTTTTTACAGGTTCTGAAGTCAATGGTACGTCTGGTTTACGTAAACTAATTGTTTAATTGCAGTACCGGTGTCCAAACTTAATGGTACATTTTGTTCATCTAAATTAAATTGTTTACTTACAGTATCCTATCTGAATGATACACCTGCTTCACATAAATGAGAAATCTACTTCCAGTATCTAAAGTCAATGGTCCATTTGGTTCAGATGTCTAATTGCAGTATTCAAATTCAAATATACGCCGGGTTCACGTAAACGAATAGTAGTATTCAAACTCAATGTTACCTACATATGGTTCACGTGAATGAATTGCTGCCTACTTGCAGTATCCAATGGTAAGTCAATGCAGTAAGTCAATGGTTTATTTGATTCACATAAATGGAGTGCCTATTTGCAGTATGCAAGGTCAATGGTCGGTCTGGTTCACGTCAATGGAATGTACTTGCAGTATCCAAACTCAATGACAACTTTGATTCACATTAATGAAATTCCTATTTGCAGTACGTATTACAAGTCTGCATAAGTCCCATAAAACCCATGTTAAATTCCTAAAAGTTTAAATTCACGTAGGGAAAAGCCCTGAGGTCTGAAGTATAGTACCATTTCAGATTTATACCTTCCCATGGTTGGTTACTATGACTTTGCTAAATTTCGTGCAGATCGCTTTAACAGTTGTTTCAGGAGGAGTAAATGTAAAACAAAAGCAGAAGTGTAGTAGGGCCTATAAGAGCTTCGCTCGCTCCGCTCAATGAAATAATAAGAAGGGTAATAACTTAATTTTGGAAAAAACATGTACAACCATTAACAATAAAAAGAATAGATAGCCCTTTCATATTTAAATAATTACAGGATTGACAAATTCAAATCTCAAATTCAAATTTTTTTATTTTGTTGTACATGCAAATCTTAAATTCATGATCTTTTATTTTGTTTTTCGGACATTTAGAACTCTTTCCTTTTGAAAACTGGTTGCATTTTTGGATTCAGCGTGAAAAACAAGTATACACATAAAAAGTTCAATTTTCAATTGATGAAACTAAATTCAACTTTTAAACCATTTTCTGAATTACTACTGAATCATAAACAACGGTACTTCAACTACAACCTGAACCTGACCTTTATCAATCTGTTAGAGATGAAAGGTCATCGCACTTCTACCTAGGCGTTCTTGACCTGTTACCGGTACTCTGTGAGTTCAAAAAGCAAGTCATTCGTTCAAATTGAGCCATTAAGTTTAACATTGTCCGATGCTGGTAGGATGGCAGCACTTAGCGATTAACACATCTAGGCTTAGGTCTAGTTATCATAAATTATTTATTTATTTATTGAGCGGAGCGAGCGAATCTCTTATACGTCGACTCTTTGCATTTCGTAATACGCAAACTCCTCCTAGACGGCTGAATCAATCGTTTTCAAATTTTGCATGGTGATAAAGACCATATCGGTGAGTGCCAACATCTATATGGCGTTAAAAAAGTCCCTCAGGAATCCACCCCACTGGGTCTCAAAGTTTCAATGTAATCATTATGGAAGCAGTATTTGACACATAAACAAAGACATATGATCAGCTGTTGACTTTTGAATGCAGTAGATAAAGAAATAGTTGATAGCATTATTCCATAGATATTAGAACAGAAACGGTATGGATCATAAATATAATCAAATGACAACACTAGCTTGAGGTCCGTGACGTAGGAAGTGGTGAAGGAAGTAGTAAAGGTGAGCAGTCTGGAGTGTGGAAACTGTTTATGACGATTACATTAAGGTATCTGCATTCCTAAAATTCTATGGGAAGGGAGGAAAACAGGTCCGTGACGTAGGAAGTGGTGAAGGAAGTAGTAAAGGCGAGCAGTCTAGAGTGTGGAAACTGATTATGACGATTAGATTAAGGTATCTGCAATCCTAAAATGCTATTGGAAGGGAGGAAAACAGGTCCGCGACGTAGGAAGTGGTGAAGAAAGTAGTCAAGGCGAGCTGTCCGGAGTATGGGAACTGTTTAATGACGATTAGATTAAGGTATCTGCAATCCTAAAATTCTATGGGAAGGGAGGAAAACAGGTCCGCGACGTATAAAGTGGTGAAGGAAGTAGTAAAGGCGAGCAGTCCGGAGTGTGGAAACTGTTTAAATGACATTTAGATTAAGGTATCTGCATTCCTAAAATTCTATTGGAAGGGAAGGAAACAGGTCCGCGACGTATAAAGTGGTGAAGGAAGTAGTAAAGGCGAGCAGTCCGGAGTGTGGAAACTGTTTAAATGACATTTAGATTAAGGTATCTGCATTCCTAAAATTCTATGGGAAGGGAGGAAAACAGGTCCGCGACGCGACGTAGGAAGTGGTGAAGGAAGTAGTCAAGGCGAGCTGTCCGGAGTGTGGGAACTGTTTATGACTGTTTATTTAGGCATATGAGGAAGGTAGGTCGGGTTTTATGCGGATTCGTGACTGTATTAAGTGTTTTGAAGTAAGGTTAGATTATGGAAGGTAAAGGTTAGGTTATAATGAACCGACTCATTAATTTATGCAACTTCCAGACTTTTTTTGCACAATTAAATAGTGGGTGAAACACAATGAAATAACGAAATCAAAAATCCGCAAGCATTATTATGCATTCTGTTCATTAACAGACGTTGATGCATTAGTCAATGGTTGAGGATTGGAATGAGGACGATGATCATGTCGACAGTGGCCTAGCTTCCATTACTGATATTTTACGTGAATAAATTCTATTTTGTTTTATAATTTATGTTCATGTGATTAATAGTTTATGTATCTAGTTGATTTATTGTATTTTCTAAACAGCACCAAAGTCCATTTTCTTTTAAAAATCTAGTTATTGCATATTGTAACTCTGTGTAACTCTGATTTTGCTGTCATGGCGTCGTGTGTGGTTTTGTCTGTTTAGTATCGAATGTAAACAACTGACAGCTGTTTCCACTCCACAAACCTTCCACCCCTTTTAGTGTTAGTCGCTACTAGTACTTGAACTCGTCCATACCACAAATATGTTAATAAATCAACAAAACTGAAGCTTAATATTAATTATTTAACTGTACGGCCACTTAGGAATCTCTCCGACCATACCTAACTTAACTGATTGCATTTTTGGATTCAGCGTTAAAATTACTGTAAGTAGACATACCAAAACTACATCATATCCCAGTGTAAGTACGGTAAATAATTACCAACCAGTGGAGTAAATACAAATTTTAATATCATGCAGCGGTTTTTGCTAACTTACCTAAGGGCATGACTTCATGTGTAACCTACAGCAGGTTTTGCTTATCTTACCAAGTTATTGTTATGAATTAGGCCTAAATTATTTTAAGGTTGCAACTACTGTGCTGCCACAGAGAGTAAGTTATCTGCTAGTTTAACTAGGACTAACTTACTTGAGAAAGATTTGAATAACTCACGACTTACCCAAAATTTGGAACCGCAAAACAAGTCCATGTCCAGGAAAGCCATGTTAATCTAATTAACCTATGTAGGCTACTTAATTTTAGGGTGAGACTATTTGGCTATCATCAATAATTCGTTGTCTTAGTAAGTTCAATTTAAAATATACCAAAACCAAATAATCTTCCTGATTGCACAACACAAAACTGGAATCTGTAACCGACTAATTTGACCCGCGACAGACACACGGACGACAGAAAGACTGAAGAAGTGACACAAGCACAAGACACAACTGATTAGTGATTAACTAACTGAATTCTGTTCTGAAACTGAACTAGAAGAAAGAAGAACTGCTGTCTGAGTGCTGAGTCAGTGAGTTGAGTGCTCGCTCAGTAGTCAGTGCTGCTCACTGAGCTAAAATTATAACTGGAGGTAGCACTGCCATGGCAGAAGTCTGTCAAAAGCGTGTCGCTGATTTTGTTAGGTTGGTATAGCAGTAAGTTTTCTTATCATAGCAATAACATGGCTTCTTATAACTAGGTTGGTATAGCAGTGAGTATTTTTGTCATACTTGAATACTTTTAATACTTTAATAATTTTCTTTGAAATGGCGACCATACAAAGTAGGTATTTTAAGCCAAGTATAATAATAGTTATAGCAATAATATGGCTTCTTATGACACCAGACTCACGCAAACATGGCGGCTGGCGACACGCATCTTTGACATTCAGTGCTACCTCCAGTTAGAATTATAGCTCAGTGGTGCTGCTGATACCAAGAACAAGAAGAACCAAGCTGTCCAAGGTCCGAGTCCAGTGCCCCCTGCACGATTTGTTTTTCAGGATTAATTTTGCCAACAGTGTCATTTGGAGGCTTCTGATTGACTATAATCATTGAGTATAAACCTAACTCAATGAGTTAGGTTTATACTCAATGCTATAATGAAGGTTTACTAATCGAAAAATTCTTTCTAGTCATTAAATAAAATTATAAATGCCTCAAATTCAATTTTATATGTTTTGAATTATAAAATTAAACCTAACCAGACTTGCTGATAATGAAAAATCTAATGAATGTTTAATCGAACAAAACAGTTCTGTTCATAAAATAAAACTATAAATGGCTCGAATTCAATTTTATAATGTTTTAATTATAAAATTAAAATGCCATGACCTAACCAAAATTGCTGATAATGAAAAAATCCTAGACAAAAAGTTAGTGCTACCGGAAGGATTCGAATCCGGCCCTCCCGCTTATGAGTCCATGAGTCCAGCACTCTATCCACTATGCCACCGAGGCCGATGACGGCGATGTATATCGTTCCGGTAATGGTGTTCCCTCAGCCTATCAGAAGCCTACAAATGACACTGTTGGCAAAATTAATCCTGAAATAAAAATTCAGCGTCACCCCTCTCAAATCTCAAATCTGACAAGAACAAGAAAGTCAAGAGCTAAGAAGAGGAAGAGTCGAAGTCAAGAGGAACACTAAAACAGACCAAGAGAAGAGACAATTGAGATAGATTATAACTATATAGCTCAGTGGAAGAGACAGGGGCCAGCAAGAAGAATACCGTAAGTTTAGTGGCAAGGAGTATTAATGTTATTATACATCTACGTAGTAGCCACTGCGATGGCTAGGTCAAACTCCAATTTCGGCCGGTGAAATAAATCACTTAAATAAACCTATATATCTCAATATGATCAACTCCTGACAACTTTCAGGTTTTAGCCAATATGAGTTGAACAATTATACACTTCAAAAAATGTTATCTGTTTGACAAAAGAAATTATCACCACCGTCCACCACTAAGGCACCCTGCAAGCCCTGCATCGAAATATGCAGAGATGTCGTCTTACCCACTACACCCCTTTAATACCTTACCGGTGGAGGTATGGAAGATGAACTGAACACGATCTTATTTAAAGCAGTAATAAAATTCTTGACATTCTATCGAAAAGGTCACTGTCGCGCTGGGGGAGCTGAGTAAAGAGCCCTCTGAAATTTCTTGAGATCCACATCCAAACCCAGCAGTGTTCTCTTCTGCAACAGCAATTATGGAAACTAGCTGTTACCCACGGGCTCCACCCCGTTTACTACATAAGTATTAATAAAACTATTGATTGGTTAAGTTAAGCTGAAATAAACAAAACATAATACAGTAATAGTAATACATAAACAAATAATAACAGCTGAGGTATTTTTAACATTAGATAATTATTTTAATAATTTAACATTAGGTACATGAGAAGTTCCCTTTGGAAAGCAATTACGACCATAAAGGGCAAATTATGAAACAATGGATAACTAGTGTACCTGTTGCTCGAATTCGAGCAATTGCGAAGCATTACAGGCGACTCACGAAGATTATGCAAATACTCACGATCTACACAACAGTTAGATATAATCAAAATCTTTTGTAAATATCTTATCTTTTCTCAATAAGCTTATCTTGTTTTTTAGTGTTTCTACAAATTTTTTCCTCTCTTAGCCGCATTAGGTTGTTATAATAACGATTATAAATGAAAAACAAAATTATTTCTTTTCTTCTACTTGGTTGTGTTCTATGACTTTTTCTATGTTTCCATTGTTTGCAAATCGGTTATTTCAATGATTGCTCAAGAAATGTAGCATATTGTTAATTCAGTTTTATTTTTAGCCTATATCAAATTGTCCAGGATTTCTCTCTTTTTTCCATTGTAATAATTTCACCAACCCAAGTTTCGTCTACAGATGCAATACGCCAAAGAATATCACGATCTCCAAGAAGTGGCAAAAAAAGGCAGATACCAAAGATATAAGTTAACTCCTCAAGAAATAATTTTAAGAGTTACTGTGATATTATAGGATTTTCCACTGATTTGGTAATAGAACATTATATTGCAAAACATGACACGATGCAGAATAAAATCGATTTTTAAATCAGAAAAACCCACTGCAAATACTGTACTTCATTTTGAAAAATTCAATAAATCACAATTTAAATATTAACAGCTGTTTCATTAAACAGTTGTGTAGAATTATGCATATGGTAAACAAATTTTAAGAGGCAACTTTAAAAAGGCTTCTGGGGCAGAGCCCCAAGGGAATTTACCTCGTTCCTCTTTTGATGGCTCATCTATAGACCAAGACCTTTCTTTAGAGACCCCTACCAAGTTTCTACGGCCAGCCGTTCTCTCAAATTAGCTGGGACAAAAACCCAGTTTTTCCTCCATAAGAATAACATGGGATGGGAATTCAAAGGCCACTGGGGCAGAGCCCCAAGGGAATTTACCACGTTTCTCTTTTGATGGCTCATCTACAGACCAAGACCTTTCTTTAGACACCTCTACCGAGTTTCTACGCCCAGCCGTTCTCTCAATTTAGCTATGACAAAGAAAAACAGTTTTAAATTAATATATAGATTTTGCGCAAGGTTTTTCGTCATGACGAACATTTTAAGTATATGGTTTATAGGGGTGTGACTTGTAGTTTTCTCAAAAGTTCGTGGGTACTTTTGGCTTTGTATATAGATTACTTTTGACAAATAAATAACATAATATGAAGATTACTTTTTTCATTGTATACATTGTTTGTAGTGGCGTGTTCTGTTTTCTGTTCAAGTATATTCGTGGTATGTCTTAATTTAGTACCACCACGAGGGGACCTGCAATGAGTTAAATTAAAAAGCTAACATTAATTTATATAATATGTAAAATAGGTAAAAACAATTGGTTTTATACCAAATTTATTCGATCTCGTCGGTAATGAAGGAAACAAAACAAGTTAGTATTATCAAGCATGAAGTATGCTCTCATTGTTATGCAAAAAGCTACGATCCGGAATTGTAATATAATATAATGGACAGCATTTATTTACAGTATACTAATAGGTATAGATAATTTTTTAGTTTTCTGATGTTGGTTATTCATAAAATTAATATACAATTTCTGCTTGTCCATTTTTCACTCCCAACCCCAGCTGTTTGTTCCGAAACCGACCGAAATGAACTGAAATTTTACTTCCTTCTCGGGGAAGACGTACGGTAGCAATTTTGACGTCTGATAATAATTATTTTGTTGCTTTATTATTGACGTGAACTTTAAACTTATTGAACTGTGATTCGCTTGTGCGGTGCGTTGAATTAAATATCAAGAATTATATAAAATAGTGTCGGTGTTATGTGGTTTACCAGTTTCACTTAGTTTCTAAAGATCCGAGATTAGCTATAATGGCGGCCATGTCATGAAGATACCAGCTTATGACAAGTGCGGTATTCCTACAATGGAAGAGAGCTCACCTTCACAAAACCACAACGGACAATTAGGATCATCTACTAGTGGTATTAACTCTACTAATAAACCAAATGACGAAAACCAACGTATCCAGTATTCCATTCCTGGAATATTGCATTTTATACAACATGAATGGGCACGGTTCGAGATGGAGAGGTCTCAATGGGAAGTCGATCGAGCAGAATTACAGGTATGCTCGTAGCTGGAGTAACTTCTGGCATAGTTTTAAGATTTAATTTAATAAAATATGTAATGATTAAGTTAGGTGTTTATTTCAAACTCATTATTTACATAAGGACCAAATAATTGAAAAAATAATTTTAGGATAGGGCCTAGGCCTAGCATAGGCATATTTTAGACCTTTAAACAAGTGCTAGGGATGAGGAAGAGTTATGGTCCTGGAGGAGCCAGGATCAGTTTTTGAGATCCTTTCTTAAAAGTTATAGGCCCTAATAACTTATTAGGTAAATTAAGTACCTAAGTAAGTAGGCCTACGGTAACCTAGCCAAAGGCCTAGGCTAGCTTATGCCTAATTAAGTCAGTTTTGACTTGTGATCCATTTATTACGTAGGCAAAGCATTGGATAGACTTTTTACAACTTAGGGCTTTAATAAGTTGCTTAGCTCCAGGCCCCATAGCAGAACGTTTTTAAACCTTCTGCGACGGGCTAGAAAAAAATCCAGGGTAGACTTCCGTATCTAAGAAGACTTATTAAGGCTAGACTTCCGTATCTAAGAAGACTTATTAAGGCTAGACTTTGGCACAAACAACCGATTCAAAATATCGATTGATAGGCCTAACTTATATCGATTTGGTAGGTTGATATAGGCTATCGTTTGGTTAGTTAAGTAAGGTTAATCTAACCTAGGCCTAACTAACCAAACGATAACTTATATCGAATCAAACAATCGAATACTGTAATGGATGTTTTTTGGTTGTTTGTTCCAACAGATACGGAAGTCTACGAAAAATCCAAAGATTTCTGTGGGCTTAAGTTTGGCTACACAGTCTAAGTTGCATGTAGGTCTTAAATGGACCGCATGTAGGCTAACTTAAGATAACTTATGGCCTAGTTTTAATGAATAAGGGTAGCCTAACTTATTTGGAAATAAATAAGTTAAAACGCTCGTAAATTTATTCCTCCGAATAACTTACTTTTCTACTGCTTACCCTACTTAATATTGTTAGCCTAGGCTAGACATGAAAGATTCTAATTTGATGACAATGCCCAGGTAAATTGATTGTCTGTGGATTCAGGCCTAGAAATGGTTTTAAAAACAACAAAATTAAAATTAACTTAATATCTAAAAAACGTGTTCTGATTAAAATTAGTCTATGGCCCGTTATAATTCTAAACATAATAGATTTATTTATTTATTTCATACGGAAACACCATCATTAGCCTACAATGATTGCAATAATGATAGGCCTACATTATTGTAACCCCCCATTTTGTAAAAATTGCGGTTTCAAAAAGTTGTAGGCCTAAGTTACTTAAATTATTGAATGAGGTAGGCCTAAGTAAGTTAACTTACTCTCATCACTTAAGCCTGGTTTACACGGGTAGAGTTGTGGGTATAGAGTAGAGTTTCTAGTAGAGTAACTCTACCCGTGTAAACACCCACTAGCGCCTAGTAGCTAGTATAGTAGATAGAAGTGGGAGAGTAGAGTTACTAGCAACATGTGGCATAGTTGCTCTACTCTACTTCCCCCACCACTAACAAAATTGTCACTCTCCTGCACACTATACTTGTGTAAATGTGATCCGCGGCAGTAAAGTAGAGTTTCTGGTAGAGTGACACTGTCTTGTAACTGGTTTAACACTCATTTTGGGAATGGAGGTGGAACAAACAGTTCACAAACTATCATCAACACTCTACTATGTGTGAACAGTCGCTTGCTTAAAATCGGTAGAGTGGACAAGAAGTAGCTCTACTATAAACTCTACTCTACCCACAAATCTACCCGTGTAAACCAGGCTTACCCCATGTTAAAAGTTGTTGACAAGCTAATGGGATAAAGTTTGTGTTAGTTTGCTGATAGCCTACCATTTATTTATAAGGGCTATAGTTTTTAGTGATGTTTTCAGCAATCTCCGTACGAGTTCGTACCAACTCGAGTTGTGAATTAGATGACTCGAGTCGGGTCTTGACTCAAGTCGGGTCTTGACTCGAGTCAACTCGACTCGCCAACTCAACTCGTCACATCACTAATAGTTTTCCTAACATTTAACTTAGTTTGGTGCAGAAACCCAAATACGTTTCTCACTCTATAGGCTACATTTGATTCGGCAATCATATAGGCTAAGTTATCTAAAAGTCTACTAAGGGGGGAGTCGCTACTAAAATTAGTGGTTTTTTAAAAATCCTTTAAACAATTATCATGCATAGGCTACATTTTTAGGTTCATTCAGTCTTATAAAAATGTTTAAAAAAACTGTTGTAACTTAAAAGAATTTTTTTTTTTTAATTTAGGGCTATGCCCTACTTTTTTGACCTTTTCTAAGGAAAAAATAGGGTTTTTAAATCTCTTATGATTTTTTTGAGGACTACCAATTTTATTGTTTAATATCTCATCTAGGCTATATATAAAGCCAAAAGTACCCATGAACTTTTGAGAAAACTACAAGTCACACCCCCATAACCATATAGGCCTACTTAAAATGTTCGTCATGATGAGAAACTGTGCGCAAAACTATCCATTATTTCTTTCATTTATTTATTTATTTTATTTTACCTTCCAACGGTCAAGAACCAATTTACGATGTATAGATGACTTACTTTTGTATGTATATGTTTAAGTTAGATTAAGTCATCTATACAACGTAAATTGGTTCTTGACCGTTGGAAGGTAAAATAAAATAAATAAATAAATGTAAGAAATAATGGATAGTTATGCGCACAGTTTCTCATCATGACGAACATTTTAAGTACCTATATGGTTATGGGGGTGTGACTTGTAGTTTTCTCAAAAATTTCAAAAATTTTTACAATGACATGCAGTAAGTAAATAGCCTACAATTTGAGCAGTATCAAAATAGACGTAGGCCTACACAAAGCAGAACTTTAAATAACAACCAATGAACAAGAACAACAAACAAGAACATATTTTTTTCATTTATTTTATAATTTTTGAGAAATGTTAACCCCACAAAAATTGTTGAAAATTTTTTTTCATGTTTTACATGTTACATTGAAGCCCATAATTTTCCAAACAAAATGATATATAAAACAGTATACTTAACATTGTTTTTAAGTTTCTAAGATACATTTTAATAAAACCCTGCGATTGCGCAATAAATGGGCGAACATTAAGACCAAAACTAGAGACACTTGGAGGGTTAATTAGGCCTTGTTGTTCAATTCTTTTGTTCGTGTAGGCCTACTGTACGGTACTTGTATGTATTATAAACCTAGACAATATCCATGCACAAAAAGTTACTTTAGTATACCATAGGTTAAACAATGTGTGGTAGGTAAAACTTATAGCTTTAACTTGATAGCTACAAAAACTTACCATAGGCTTACGTAAAATATAACAAATATAGTGACTGCTTAAGTTTTAAGTTATTTGTTGCCGTCACTGCAAACTAACAGCAGCTGGGCTTTTCTAAGTGTATTGGTGTAAGAGGGTGAATTGATACCTGTCATATTATTGACTTTTTATACATTTGAACAAAAAAACTACCTATAGGCTATATTTTTTCATTGTCTCAGCCGATTTCCCGTTTGATTTTTCTATGTTTTGACACAATGTTTGCAGGATAAATTTTTTTAAATTTTCAACAAGTTTACACAATTTTCCTTGTTTTTATCAACAAAAAAATGTTATGAGTGTTAAGTTACCACAGAAAAATATTTCAATGTTTAATTATTAATGAAAATAATAGGTAACACAACCGATACTCATTTAAACAACTTCTAATTTACAACATTAGCAAAACAAATTTAAAGAAAATAAATGAATTTAACAGAAATAGGCTAAGTTACGGTAAGTTAAAACTGTTAATTAATGTCAAGAGTGTTACCCGCATGCTAATATTTTATATGTTTAGTCCTACTTCTAAATTTGCATGAACATTTTATTAATTTTATAATTTAAAGATTTTTGTACCTATTTACATACATTTAACATTTTGTACATTTTATCTTTGTCATATTTAGGCCTAACTTACCTTTAAAATATTTATTTTCATTAGCCTTCAGTAACACTTAGGCCTATGACAAATTTAAACACTTGTGATCACTTGACTTGTGGCAAGAGCTGTCACGGGCCTCAGGGGCTGAGCGCTCCCGGGCCCCTTATTTTCCTGATTTAGTGTCCAGCCGCCTCCGTGCCATTTTTTTTTTATAACAATATCTAGTTGATCTTGAGAGCAACATAACAAAACGATGCTTGATAGGCCTAGTTTTATTAATTCTCGTGCTCACAGTCGCAACTTATTCAAGTCAAAAATTGAATTTATCAATTAAGTCAAAAAACTAGGTAATTAGTGAACTGGAAAACCATACTCAAATTTTTGACTTAAGCAGATTATATGTAGCCTACAGAAAAGATTTTACTTTTGATGGGCCGGGCCCCCTTCAGAGCCCAGGGCTCCAGCTCCCCCTGCCCCACCCTCTTGCCAGCCCTGCTTGACTAGGGTATAGGTAGGCTATTTAATATAATAAAGGCTAAATAAGATAAAAAAAACTCAATCCCCAACTAAAATATTTGATTGTAAAATAACTTTCTATATAGGAGTTCTAAGCTTTAACTCAAGTGTTATTACAGTCACTAAGTAAATCCACTTTAGTTGTATAAAAAATTGCAGTTTGGTGTTAACTGAAGGGATTTGTGTTAGCCTTGAATAAAATTCATTTGGAGATTAAAGATAAGTACAGACCATAGATGATAATTTTGGGCTTTTTGCAGGCGAGAATAGCATTTCTGCAAGGTGAAAGAAAAGGCCAAGAAAATTTAAAAAATGATCTAGTCCGACGAATTAAGATGTTAGAATATGCCTTGAAACAAGAAAGGTAAGTTGGTGGGCATGTTTTAGGCTTAGATTTAAAATGCTTGGTTATTTTCCTTTGTTTTTTCCAGTCTGCTAAATGAAAAAAAAATTCTACCTCAAGAGGTTAATTTATCCTTGACTTGCAATTATTTTTCTTTTAAAAATATATTCTGAATATGGTTAGTCAATAACTACTGGTTGGTTCTTATACATTTTCTTAACTGTTGTATTTAATTTTCCTGATTCCCATTCAGGAAGAAATAAATACAAATATTTACATCCTTCTAAATATTGAATTTTTCATAATGTGATTTTATGCAGAAAGTTACAAGCCTATTAACTGAATCATGTTTATAATGGGGGTTGTAGTAAAATTGAGATAAATGTAAAAGTTTCTGTTTTGTAACTAATGTGAAAGATAATTTGATGGTCTGTCAAACGGCTGATGTGCTCAAATGAATTAATTACAGGCCTCACATTTCCTACATTCCTATTAACAGTTCAAGGCTATCTTAATTCACAGTTGTTTATACAAAATTTTATACAAAAAACAACTTTTTAAATTCAAATGGATGGAAACTTTTATTTTATTTTTTTTTTTACCGTGTAAATTTCATTGACTGCCTTTAATCTGTTGTGGGCTTGTTGGTTGGTTACTGGTTTTGCAGTAAAATCAGTTAAGGACAAACATAATATAAAATATGACACTCCAATGAAGACCACTATTTGTCCTCATCACTACTTTTGACTAATAAAAACATGAACAAGTCCTCATAAAATTGAGTTTTAGCTGAATTGAGCTTTCTAAACCATATAAGTCTAAAAAATCCTTTGGATTTTCTTATGCATTGAAAGGCCTACTGGTAGCCTAATTGTTAACTTAACTTGCACAACAGAGAACATTCTGACAATCTCAGTCCGTCTCTAAATAGACAGAGCGTGTAATAAAGATATCTTCTGGAGTAATAATAATCTTAGACATAAGCTGGCGTAATGATTATGACAAATTACCACAAATACCTAGAATTGCCTATGGGGAAGGGTAATTATCAGCAAAATTAAACTAAGCAAAATGTGTTTTCCATATTAGCCTACCTACCATGGAAGGGTTTTCCATTTGGAGGGACAATATTTAAATACCTCCTTAGTAATGAAACCAACATGCTTACTTAACTAGGTTTTGAAAACACTTTAGTTTGGTTTGTAATTCCTGACATAATTTTTGTTAATGTGTTTCAATTGCTTATGTTAGAGCCAAGTACCACAAGCTCAAGTACGGCACGGAGCTCAACCAAGGAGACATGAAGCCTCCAATAGATGAACCTGAGGTTCAGGTGGACGTCGAGGCTCCATTCACGTCCGTCAGCAACATTACTTGGAAGCAGGGCCGCCAACTGCTCAGACAGTGAGTTTGACTTTACCTGCTCAATTCATACAGATTTAGTAACTTGGTCTTTCACAGGACAACATTTTGTGTATTTTGGTACTCACACAAATATTCTTAAGTATTTCAGAAATATTTAAACCACTTAAATATTCAGAAATCAGTTGGCTATTTCAATAATGCTATGTTTTTTCAACATTTAAAAACTTGTAAAATCTTTAATTAACTACATCCTTCCCCCATTATTTTGTTGTTGAATGGTTTAATTTGTTTCAGATACCTGCAAGAGATAGGCTATACGGATACTATAATAGACGTACGTTCAAATCGAGTACGCTCACTTCTGGGTCTAAATAACAATGAAGAGTCAGTTAGTGATAGAGTTCGGGAGCCGTTCAATTCCAAACGGAGTATAGAGAATGAGGGAAGGCGGACACCTGCAAAAAAGGTGATTTTTCAGAAACATTGGTTTAATATCATCAACATTTATTATTAAAGGCCTATATAAAATATGCACTGAGTAAGGAGGATCTCAAGCGGGCTCTTCCTATATGTTCAACCTCAATTATAGAATTACTCCATTGAGTTTAATTTTATATATAGTTTTCAATTAAATACACTTTGATTTCAGCCACAAACTTACTGAGGTTTTCAGTGCTTGTTGGCACCATAAGCACCTGAGCTGTTAGTTGGTGGCTGGTTTTGTCTTGATACACAGCACTCGAAGAGCTTATTAATTAAATAGTGTAATATTGTTCCTTTTAGTTGGTAATGTTTTTTACTCACCCTCACCCTTCATTTTGGAGCAATACAAACATCTCATCTCCTTATGATGTTACGTCAATTCCAGTCAATGCACAAAACTGGACTTTTCTTGTTTAGCATTCTTTAAACATTGATGCCTTGCAGTCTGGGGTTCCCAGCTTGATTTTCTAGTGATAATTACTGAAACTCAATTTCATTTTCTTAGAATAAATACATCAGATACAAAGTTGTACTTTTTTAAGGGAAGCATTTATAGTTACAGTGTTCATTTTACACCAAGTTTAAGATTAGGTCTAGGTTGTCATGCTTGCAGGTGCAGTCAGGTAGTGCTCTGGCTGAAGCTATGATCTTGGAGACGGAGGCCGCGGTGATGGCAAACTTCGAGTTCCTCTCCCAAGCCGATGTGGAGATGGACGAAGATGATGACATCTGTGACGAACTTGACGACTCACAGGATATTGAAGAACAAGAGGAGATGAGGACTACCAAGCGAAAACAGAGACCAAAGGTGATTCTTCTTAGACAAATTAAGTTTTTTAAACATCATTTTGAATAAATCGCTGATGTTTAATCGTTCTTCTATGTAGTTTTTGGAGAAAGTTGGGAATTTTGTAAAATCATTATACAACATTACCACTCTTATTTGGTTGTAATTTTATGCTATTCTATGTTGTATTTATATTTCTGTATTCTCAGCAATACCCGGTATTACATGTATGTACGAATAGTTAGGCCTATTCTTCTAAATGTTTAACAGAATAGCAACCAACCTTAAGGAAAATAATTTAAGCATTCCAGAAATTATTAATCACAAAGATATTGTATAAAAATAATCACAAACATGTATTTGAAATTTTTCTGAGAAGATGCAAATAAATATTAAGACAAATGTATAAGAAAGAAAATATGTTTAGATTATGATCTAAAATATTTAAATGTTGCCAGTATGTTGTAGGTAAGTATTTGAAATAGCCAGAATCTCTGTCTAACAGTCAATTCTAGTCATGGCTTGGCCGAATGAAAACCATCACTTGATTAGATTCTAACATTCATTAGTTCATTCATTTTGAGGACGTCATCAAGATGGCGGATAGTTAAAGTACTCCTTAATTTGCTGTGCCTTGAAAGATAAATTTAACAATAAATACTTACAGTTTAAGTTCCAAATGTTATCTCTAGTGAGAGTGTAGTGAAAGTTTTATGATAAGTATATTCACCATCAAAGGACACTTCTTTTGGATAAGTAATCTATACTGATAACAGTACTTGGTTTTCCTGATCGGGGCCGTTATCTGTCTACCTGCTCAGACCGGTCAAAGGCCAACTAGCTGATAGCAATAACCCAAACCCCAACTGTCATTGTAAGTCTGGACTGTTTGTTTACAAACATAGCTTTAAATGTTTGCTACTTAAATATTTAATATATTACATATTTAATTTAATTAAAAAAAAAAAATCAGGAAATGGAATCTAAATCCAAAACTGGAAATAACTTTAAAATTAGCCCTAATGTCAAGCATGCTGATGTAAGTAAAAATACACAGGGTTGTATTCCAGATGGAATACGGACTAGGGCTAAAACAAAAGCATCAATTATTGAAAAGTGTCAGTACAAAAATAAACTTAAATCAACCCCTGAAAAATCACCAACTGGTCCAATAAAACCCATGTCAGCTAAAAATAAAGTAGCAATCTCCCAGTCACAGGAAACTCAAACAGATGATACATATATTCCTACGAAAAAAAATACTGAAACGCAAACTGAAATTAGTAGTTTGTCGGTAACACGAACGGATGAATTGCTGGGAAAAAAATGGCTGACTGATGGCACTATTCAACCGTATTTTGAGCTATTGAATTCCTGTATACTTTCAGAGCTTTTGGCAATTGCTATCAATCCTGTAATTAGTCATGCAATAAAATGTATTGAGGATTTTGAACACTTTGTTGAGCCACTAAACCTCGATAGGAAACAAGTTATGATTATACCTGTCAATGATTCAACAATCCTAGATCAAGCTGGAGGATCTCATTGGAGTGTCCTTTTTTATTCTAAACATGACCATCATTTTTATCATTACGATTCAATGGATGGTTTTAATACCACTCATGCAGAACTGATTGTTAGTAAGCTAACAAACTATATGAAATGGGACAAGCCATGTTTCACTAACATTAAAGGCCCGCAACAAACAAACAGTTATGACTGTGGGATCTACATGATAAGTGTGACAGATATGGTGATCAATGACATTGTTAACAATAAGAACATTGATATCAATTATATCCAAGAATCAAAAATTCTCGACAGTGACCTCATGTTGAAAAGATCCTGCATGGCTTATATAATTAACAACATGCTAATATCAAAACAAACACTGCTGGAGCTTATCACCAAGCCATTAGCTCACAAAATACTCTGTAACAAGTCTACTCAATGTTTTGGAAATACTTCAATCAACCAGATGACCAGCTCTCAAATCACACAAAAACCTGTGCCTTCCAGGAATGGAAATTGGATTACAGTCAATAGGCCAGGATCAAATATTCAGAAAATGCAAGTAAGGGAAACTAAACATTTTTACAGCAAGAATCGTTTCAGTGTGCTAAAGAATTATGAACCATCGGACAATGACCTTACTACAGCTTCTCACAAGGAGGAAAAAACTCTCAGCACTAGTAATAAAAGAGAGAGTAAAATTAATAAGTTATATGAAGGCCAAAAAGTCAAAACCAACACTCACCAAAGTACAAACACTGGTCGCAAACCAGCTCTGTCTATTATTGGCGATAGTCATGCCCGTGGTTTGGCCAACATCCTTCAAGCAGAGAGTGGTGGGAGAATGCACATTTCGGGCGTAACAAAACCAAACGCTAAATTTTCACACCTGAAGAGAGATATTCTAAATACAAGGGATTTTACCACTTTGGTTTTATTTATTGGTGCCAACAACGCCTACGATTCTGATCTGGAAGAAATTTTTGGAGGCCTAGAGTCTGTATTGCTCCAAATCAAATGCAATGCAATACTACTGTTAAGTATACCTTTCAGAAAAGATTTGCCACTAAACCACCCAATCAACTCCAACATATTTTATTTAAACTTGTTTTTAAATGACTTGGCAGGTCGAATAAAATCCTGTGAATTTCATGATATAAGTCTTCTACCTGAACGGTTTTTCTCACACGATGGGGTTCACTTGGCATTGTCGGGGAAAAGATATTTATGTGACAAGCTAATGAAAAGTTCATTCTTAAAATGCCACTTTAATGCACTTCCTCAAATTGATGTTTCTTCCACCAGCCATGATGTCACAGCTATGGCAGTACCGACGTCTCCTTCAGGAGATGGGATATTTGTTTTAGAAGCTAACATGAGGGATGTTTTCGAACAATATCACCATGATTCATCGGTCGCTCTGGCCCACACTATCTCGTCTGACTTTCAACATCATAGACATATGTCGGCTGGTGTAGCCGTGGCTTTCCGAGAAATATATGGCCGACCTAATACTTCAGACCTTAAATATAGCAGACTCGCCTGCCAAGAAGTGGATAATGGACTACCATCTACAGCCTGGTCACCAAGGATCACTATTGGGGGAAACCGACTAATTCAGACTACAACGAAGCTTTTAACCAGCTTATAACAGACTTCAAGACTAAGAAGCTTTCAACTCTCATCTGCTCAGCAATGGGATGCGTCAGAGATCTAATAAAGCCACAACACTTTATTCAAAATGTTATTAACTTCCAACGGCAGACTGGCGCACGTGTGATCATCGTCTCCTATGACCAAAAAGCCGGGCGGAGGCTTTGGAGAGGACTTAGTCACAGCGAGTTTGTGCACACCCTGAGAGAGCTGATCCCACCAGCTGCAGCCACCCTTACACCGCTGGAGCTGACTGGCGCCAACACCTCCACCACACCCTGTTTCGGCAACCACCTGCCCGCATCTCCCCATGGTTCCAGCCGGTGCCAAAGTGTAGTGAGTGATGTGAGCCAGCCAAGTGAGAGTGAAAGTGGAGGTGATGGTAATATCACCCTCAGCCCTGTCACTACCCCTGAAATGTCAACCACCCCTAGCCCTCCACACTCTGTCAGTCCTCCCCACTCTCCAGATTTAAAATCTCCATTCAGAGGGTTTGCAACCCCTAATTCTGATCAACTTAATTATATAACTACTAAAATAGAAATGTATAAGATTAACAGACCAAATGCCATACCTTTTTTAGGAAATTTGACCACGTTCCCCCCATTAGTTACAAAGTAATACCTAACATGACTGATGTGTTTGATAATGGGCAGTATTCTTATCTAGAATCTGATAAAGGCGACAAAGGTACCGGTAATGAATCTGTTAATTTGCCTAATCTTACTTTGGGAAAAACTTGTAATAATTTAAACAATAATCTAAATAGTTTTAAGCGTTTTGGCCCCCCAAAAAATTCTATCAATAATCTGGATAAAGTTGACCACAATGTAGTAAAGATTTTTCATCAAAATATACAAAATGTTATAAACAGAGTTGAACCGTTGGAAGTCACATTGTCTGAAGTTAATCCTAGTATTATTGTGCTCTCTGAGCATAATATTAAAGACCATGAAATAACTAGCTTTAAGATTGATGGGTTCAAAGTAAATGCCTCTTATTGTAGGAAATCCTATGCTAGGGGAGGAGTTATGATTATGTCTAAGAATCATATTCAAAGCTCACAGTTTGTTACAAATTCCTTTGTCAGTGATTTATGTGAAGACAAGATATTTGAGTTCTGTACAGCTAAATTTACCTTTAATTCATTCACATTTATTGTTACTAGTGGTCGTCCTGTGGTCGAAACTCGACCAAAAAATATTAATGTACAGACTTCTCTATTTTCTCCCCACACTGTAAATAAAACATGTGATTGGAATTTCTTCCCTTTGTTTTGATTTTCTGTTTACATTTTGTTGTTATTTCGTCACCATCATGGCAACCCATATGGTCCATGTTAATTTTTTGAAGTTTTCAAATTCATTTTTTGTGCTTATTTGTTAGCCTATTTTAATTTTTAAAGGCATTCTGCACATCTACAGTAAAATATCTTTCCAACAGTATGCGTAGATGTTCCCTGCGATGCACACGAGCTGAGAAAAAAGGTTTTAAAGAAACATGCTTGCCTATTAATATATAGATAGATAGGGATCTATCGGTCTCCTGGTTCTGATGTTTTTGACTTTATAAAAAGATTGAATATTTTAATTTTAAGTATTAATAAAAAATGTGATTATATTATAATGGCAGGAGATTTTAACATAAATATTTTAGATAACAACAATGTAACTAGGGAATTTACTAATTTATTAAGAAGCCATGGTTTTAGATACATGGTTGATTTTCCCACTAGGATATGTGACACTACTGCAACTGCAATTGACAACATAATTACTAACATCCCTCAGAATAAATTAAAGGTGTATGGGCTGATAACCGCTCTCTCTGATCACGATGCACAAGTTCTTGAAATTTATTGGCCAGGGGCTGATGTAACAAAAAATAGTTATATAACACATTTCAAAAGAAAATACAATGATGACAATAAAAAAAATTTCCTTAGTATGCTATCAACAGAAAGTTGGGATGATGTGTATAATGCTACAGTTGAATCCAAATTTAACACTTTTTTTGACATTTTCTTTTATTATTTTGATAGTTGTTTTCCTAAAACAAAATGTAGAGTATATAATAAGACTAATAAGTGGTTTACATCTGATATGTTTAAGGCTAAAGAGGAACTGATTAGTTTGACCAATCAATTTAGACAAGATAAATCTGATGTTAAATTAAAAAGTTTAATAAAGGAAAGAAAAAAAGATTTCACTGATCAGGTTATTAAGACTAAGAAAGATTTTTATAGTAATCTTATTTGCAATTCAAGCAATATCTGTAAAGCAACTTGGAATATTATTGGCAATGAAACTAAAATGAAAGAGAAAACAAAGTATGATAATATCAAGTTAAGACATGACGGATTGTTATTTGATAAACCTGAATATGTTGCCTCTATATTTAATGAATATTATACCACTTTGGTGGAATCTCAAATAGTACCTAATGCAAATCAATTGTCATCTGCAAATGGCTTACAACAAACCAAAAAAGTTAACAGCAAACTTGGTATTTTTGAAGCTATTACTGAAGAGGACTTTGAGAGTGTACTAAGATCATTTGACAATAAATATTCTGCTGGATATGACGACATACCTATGCCTATCATAAAACTTGCCTCTGTTTTTCTAAAGAAACCATTAACACATGTAATTAACTCGTCTTTCATTTCTGGCATTTTTCCTATTAAACTAAAAGTCTCAAAAATCACTCCACTTTTTAAATCAGGTGATGCACAAATTGCTTCTAACTACAGGCCGCTATCTTTACTGTCATCCTTTTCCAAATTGTATGAGAGAGTCGTTGCACAGCAATTGACAAAATACTTGGAGTCTCACGAGATTATTTCCAATGAGCAACATGGCTTTAGACAAAACAAATCAGTCATAAGTACAAGCACAGATTTTATAGAATCAGTCATTGATTCTATAGATAAAGGCGAGCAAACCGTAGGAATTTTCATCGACCTCAGCAAGGCATTTGATAGTGTTTGTCATACCAAATTATTAAGTATTCTTTCAAATTTTTGAATAAAAAATAAAGCTTATGATTGGATCAAATCTTATTTATGTAATCAAACTACTTTTGTTGAACTGAAATACGTAAACAAATATAATCAACTTATATCTTGCCGTTCCAGTAACAGTCCGTTGAAATATGGTGTACCACAAGGATCTATATTGGGACCTTTATTCTTTTTATGTTACATCAATAGTTTAGCTAATTTCAGTGATCAAAGTAAAATCACTTTATATGCAGATGATGTAAATATAAAACTATCCGGATACCATGCAAATGATATAGAAATATCTTCTTTTATAAAACTTAATGCAATCCAACAACATTTAGCTGATTTAAACCTTTTATTAAATAAACAAAAAACTAAATATATTAATTTTTCCGCTTCAAATAGGAAAAGTGGGTCTGTGGTAAAGAATGTTTGTCTTAATGATTCCTTTATTGATGAAGTTAAGGAAACAAAATTCCTTGGTTTAACTGTTGATAGACTTCTTAGCTGGAACACTCATGTATCTCAAGTTTGTAAAAAAATGTCAACAGGTATTTTCATCCTTAGAAAATTATCACCATTTTGTGATATTAAAACCCTTAAAGCAGTTTATTTTGCTTTTGTGCACTCTCATGTCTCTTTTGGTTTGTTGGTTTATGGTAACACCTCTAATGAAAATTTAAACATGATACTTATATTACAAAAAAAAAGCAATAAGAATAATAATGAAACTTAAGTGGTTTGAGTCAGCCAGAGAACATTTTTCAAATTTAGGAATAATGACAGTTTACAACCAATTAATCTATGATCTGATTCTGTGGATAAAAAAAATCAAAATAGTCATTGTATGCTAGGTTTTAATCACAGATATGAAACTAGAAATAAGAATAATTTTTGTTTTAATAGACATAAGCTAACATTTTATGAGAAGAAGCCAACATATTCAGGCATCAAATTTTATAATTCATTACCAGAAAACATAAAATGTATAACTGATTTTGGGTCCTTAAAAAGAAATTGAAGTCATTTATTATTGTTAAACCTTTGTACAGTTTTAATGAATTTTTTTAAGCATATGTCGTCTGTAACAGTTAATTTAATTTCTTACAGTGATTATAATTTTAATTTATTATTGTATTATATATACTTGTACTTACTAGTTTATAATAGTACTTGTTGACGCCATTCTGTACTCTATGTGTACATAATGAATAAAGAAAATTTTGATTTGATTTGATTTGATTTGATTTAACATAAAATTTCGTTTTAGCTTAAACATATTCTATGAAATATTCAAACTCTAAAGGTTTTTTGTAGTGAATGATGATTGGCTCTTCAATACTACAAAAATTTCAATGTTTTAACTAGCCTATATTTCTAATCTTTGTTTCAGCTGGAACCTGATGAAGTGGATGCCGACGCAGAGGAGTTTTTAAATGAACTCAATCTTCTCTCTGATGTTCCTGTTGTCTATCCAGGTAATACTAAGCTAAAATGATAGAATTTTTTCTAAATCTTGTTTTTTTGCACATTCTCTATCTTCAAATTTGAAAATTTATTAATTTTTCAGCACAACTATCTTTTTTAGGTTGTGTATCTTAGGCTGATTAGCCTTACTGCTTATTTGGGTGTCCTGTACATCAATCACAACTGTCTTGTTCATGTGAATTAAACTGCTATGACACTTAAGATTATTTGACAGGCTGCTGAGGTTTATTTAGACATCCCATATCTTCTCAAACATGGTTTATGCTGTTATTGGACAACTTACTGGATGTTTTAGGTCAAGACAACGCGAGGAGAGGAATGCAAGGGGAAGAGGAGGAAGAGGGAATTGGAATAATCTCTGAAGGAACGTTGGGGCTTGGGGAACTGGCTAGGCTCACTGTGAACAATGAGGCTGAAGCTGCTTATGATGTGAGTTTTGCTATCGTAGTCACTATCAAATAGGCCTAGTGAAGTTTAGGGTACATTTTATTGTAATCTGCCAAAAGATTGTTACAGTTTCAACAATATTTTTATTGATTGCCAGTAATTTATTCTTACAAATTGTAACTTTGCTACTGCTAGTTGACACCTACTGATTTTCTTAATTTAAAACCTAGATGTGTTGTTTTATTGAGGTAATTATATTCATACTAAAGAATAAACCCTTCAGATAGGTGTCCCCAGCTTGGTTAAAATACTTGCTGTAAATTGCAGATTCATCTCTACTTTTTTCAAAGCCTAATGCGGGCAACTAAACCTTATTAAGTCAAAAACTAAAATCATACTGAGCACTTAGTTTACCTTATCAATCGGAAAGAAATTAAATAATTTAATAATGATTTTTAACTGTTTGCAATCTTTGTAGTAGTGTACATGATTATAAGTCTGCAGATTTAGTAAGATTGTATTTTATTACTTTCAAAATCACAGATGCAAATAAAATTTACTTTTTAAGTTACTTTGTAATTTTCTTAAGACCGATTAAACACGATGATTTTATGAAAGCTTTGTTTTGCTATTGAGTCCATTGTTTGTAGCTGCAGTCGACAAAGGAGTCACTGCGCAAAACCTGGAATGCCAAGTACACACTGAGGAGTCATTTTGATGGAGTGCGAGCATTGGCGTTCCATCCTGTAGAGCCAGTGCTCATCACGGCCAGTGAGGACCACACACTCAAACTGTGGAACTTGCAGAAAACCGTGCCCGCCAAGAAGTAAGTCTTGTAATGTGCTAAGCCATTACTCCTGGTACTGGTCCCCCCTAATACTATTAGTTATATTTTGTAACAGGTGATAATCTGTAAACTTGTCACTAAAATAATCATGATTTCTTTTAGAATGTCTTGTTACTTGATACTATCCACAACAGGTAAACAGTTGCTTATTTGTACCTTGCACGTATTGTTGTAGGTCGGCATCGCTGGATGTAGAGCCGCTGTATACGTTCAGGAGTCACACCGGCCCAGTGCTGTGTCTAGCGATGAGCATGACGGGAGAGCAGTGCTTCAGTGGGGCGACCGATGCAGCGATTCATTGCTGGCACCTCCCCCCTGCCAACATCGACCCCTATGACTCTTTTGGTAAGAAGCCTAACATATGATGTGCGGTACATATTTAAATGAATTTCTTGATCTTTAAGTAGGGATTGATCTATTTAGATTCTGAATTTCTCAACATCTTCAATCTGGATTTAGATCCAATACTATTTCGAGAACCTTCTGTTTATCATAGTGAAATGTTGATTTTCTACGGAATTTGCAATAACGTCACGAAGATGCCAACCTACGTCCGAAAATTTGAACACCCTAAGGTTTTTTATACTGATTAAGCTTTCTTGGTGTGATTGATAGAATACAAAGTGAGCAGTCTCAGTAATCCGACTTAAAGATTTTACCTACTTGAAAATTACACTTGCTCTTTTTCTTTACATCTGACTATTGTACCACAGACTTAGTGTGTTTTTGTGTTGCAGAGCCCACTGTGCTGCACAGCAGTCTGCTGGGCCACACAGATGCAGTGTGGGGCCTCAGCATTCACTCCCAGAGAGCCCAGCTGTTGTCCTGCTCTGCTGATGGCACTGTCAAACTGTGGTCCCCACAAAACACTAAGTTACTCGCTTCCTACACTTCCGACCAAGGTAGGTCATCTACTGTGTTCAAGTAACACTCTGTCAATGTTCAAAATTTAAATAAAACAATGACAGGGCTGCTACCTGTTACAGGAAACGTGGAATTTTTATTGATTTTTTATGTAACTTACTTAGTATTTAAGAAAGCTGCTACTCTGCTTTTCAGTGTTAAAGTATACTGATTTTGTTCAGGTTATCCCCGAGGTTGGGTGTAGATTAGAATTATCTTCAGCAATTATCTTCACACTGGTCTTCTTCTTCTTCCTTTATCTACCGCTTCACTCATCTCTTTTTAAGAACTCCCTTTTTCCTCATCCATCTTATCTACCTTATTCTAGGTCTCTTTCCCTTAATCACCATCATTTCCAATTTTCTAATAATCCTCTCTTCTCAATCCATACCATCTTAATTTTGTTTTTCTACTGCCCCTTAATATAACCCTCCACTCTATTCTCAATAGTAAAAATCTGATTTCTCCAACTTGTATTCAACTCCATTCTCTTTCCTGTACATCCACCAACTTTCGACCCATAAGTAACTGGCTGGCCTATACGCCTCCTGTATATAGTTTTACCCTCCTTGGTCCCTATCCCATGTTACAGAAAGTGCTTCATGCTTGTGCTCCTTCTACTTGATCCTCCAGCTTTGTTCATCCGCCTTTTATTTTTTATTTCCGCCACTTAACAAACCTGCACCTAAGTATTTTAACTTTTCTACCAAGTGGTTGTTTTTCAGTAATCAATAATATGAGGTGTAGCTATAAAATAATGAGACTGGTTTTCCAAGAGACAAACTGTGTGAATCTGAAGGCCAAACGCCATATTGCCGAGTCGCTTGACATCTTCCTCTACGTTCCGTACCACTCAAGGCTGCTTAGCTCAGCCATAAACTTGTTTATATTAAATCGTATATTTGACGCTTTTCAGAAAAAAAGTAGACATTATAATTAAGAAACACATCTTGTGATTTTTTTTGTAAATCTTGGTAACGGTTAAAGTAGCCTATCTGTTAAAAGACTAATTATTTTTTTAATCTTATTTATTAAAAAAAAATAACAAAATATTACAAAATTGTATGCAAAAGCCAGGGAAATAAAATGAAAGAGAATAAAAGACCCTAAACAGTTTAGGGGTTATTAATGTTTTCCAAGTTAAAGGATGACCAGTTTCTCTCCCTTCTTTGAAATGTTACCACTCAAAACCTGTGTTTGTTACATACTTTGATCTCCATACACTTGTTGTAAGTAATAATAAGTCTCTGTTGCGGACTTATTGAGCTTCACACAGAAACTCCAATTGACACATTCAATTATGCCATTTTAGGATGATAAAAGTACACGATTTAACACAACCGAATACATCTTGTTTGTACGTTTGTACGCATGTTGTAGCTACGTTTGTATTTAAAGCTCCACTTCTGTTTGTCAATATGTTTTAAAATGACGTTGGTACTGTGTAGATGGAGTGCCAACGTCAGTGGACTTTGTCAGAGACGAAGCAGACAAGATGGTGGCTGCGTACAACTCCGGTGACTGTGTGTTGTTTGATTTGGAGACGACAAAACCAATCCTCAGGCTCGAGACTTCACAAGTGAGTTTAACTTTATTCCTTCCTCAGCCTTTATTTAATCTGTAACACTTGTTGTGCAGGGGAATGAACGTGCATTATAATCGTAGAAAATATTCAATACAGAAAAAGTGGATATTTGGTGAAATTAAAGAACTGTTCAGTTAGATCTTGAAAACGAACACACCTCAATTCCTTTGAGGATAAAAAAAAGTACTGAGCACTTGTAACCTGCAAGTAAACAATGCCTCAAGTATCAGTTATCTATGAAAAGTGTGTTTTTCTTCCTTTTTTAGTAAACATCAAAGGCTTGGTATGTTTTAATACTTGGGGTACCGCTGATTCATTTTTAAAATTAGTGTGGTAAAGTATAAAGTTAATATGTAGGCTCTTAAAATGTTTCAAACGAAAAGAAACAAAAATCAAAAGTTTCTTTTACATTTCCTGTTACAGTCTGAAGACAGTAGGTGACAAACTACTGAAGAGAAAATTATCAAAACAAAACAATAGTTAAGATATTGCCTCAGACAATTTCCATTTGTAAAATCAATCTTTCCATATATTTGAGATGATATGTATTGTGTGACAGGAGGGAGTGGCGGGTCGGCAGATCAACAGGGTGGTGTGTCATCCTACGCTGCCTCTCACTATGACAGCTCACGAGGACCGATTCATCAGGTTCTTTGACAACACGTCAGGCAAGATGGTCCACAGCATGGTGGCTCATCTGGACGCTGTCACTAGCCTGGCCGTGGACCCCAACGGACTCTATCTACTCTCTGGCAGTGAGTATTGCTACGCCTAGAACAATTTTCCCATCTTTTTTAGCCAATTGTCCTATAGGGAAGTAGCTATAAAATTATCGTAGGTGGCACGGTAAGACTAGACCTATTTTTTATTTGATGAAATCAAACAACCACAAGTAACACTTCTCTCTATCAAAAAGGTAACATGGGAAATTTTTTTTGCATTTACAGTAAATAAATACTAAATAGCTCTTATTTTACCCAACTCTTGCGAAGAAGGCATATACACCGTTAAGACACATTTTTGCCTTTAAAGCTATCAAATGAAAGAACATGCAATTTTGTTAATTTGTTCCAACACATCTTCCAACACAGTCTTTGATTAACTACAAGTTTGTTAGAATCGTGGTCTTCAATCCAGGAAGATTACAAGTTTGTTACTTTCAGGCCATGACTGCAGTATAAGACTCTGGAATCTGGACAACAAGACATGTGTACAGGAGATCACGGCTCATCGCAAGAAGTTTGACGAGTCCATCCTTGACGTCGCCTTCCACCCGTCTCGACCGTACATCGCTTCTGCCGGGGCCGACGCTCTAGCCAAAGTCTTCGTCTAGCTCGGTAAGATTCGGATTGTAAAGTTTGTGGTTATGAAGTGCAAATTTGTTCACCCAGTATTTTATTTTCCATTGTAAAATGTTTCCCCATAATTTTTACAGACCTGACTTATACTCCCTCCCAATCCTGGTCATAGGATCAGATCAGACATTTTTTGTATCCATTCCATTTGTATTTCTGTTGGCCTTCTACAGTAATTTAGTTAGACCAAAACCTTTTCTAATTAGGCTGATAAATTTCCTTTCAAAAGCCTGCAAGGGAACAGCTATTAATACCAATGCTTACTTATTCAATGATGACATTTGTTCAGAATCAATCCCGTTCGGAATTGAACCTGCAAAATTTAGATTCAGAGACTAGCAAAACTAATCAGCTACCTAGACAATTGTCTTCATCTAATTTTGGTACCATCCCATCAATCACAGATTTGTTGTGCACAGGCAAAGTGCCTGTTACAGTTTATAAATCAAAATTAACTTATGTGAATAGGCTCAACGATCTTTTGTTACTTTTGGCAAAGGGAAGCTATTTGATTCCTTAAAACTGTATTGAACACTATATACAATTTGGGACTAATGAAACTAGTAACGTACCACAGTTCTTTGCTTCTAACATCCAGTAAGTTTGTCACAGCACGTTGTAACCAACTGATGTATTATTGTTTACTTGCAGATCCAGTGTGAATTTAAGATGTTCACTGCCAGGACCACAAGCCAGAGCTGGGAACTTGTTTTATACCTGTAGGCTACAGTTTAATGGATGTTATGTTGCACCACTTTATAATTCAATCTTTTAACCGTTATAAATATTGAGGAACCAACCTGAATGCATATACAATCTTAATTATTTGGCGGTCAAAATGTTTTTATTTATTGTTTTAGTCAAAATTCTGTTGGTTTTTCTGGTAATTGTTTGTTTTTAAGTATTGTTTTAGTCAAAATTCAGCTTAAACTTTCAAAGTATTAGTTTACTTAGTTTTTTTAAAATTGATTTGTATAAGGTTGTTAACTTACACCTTCAACATAATGGACTTGATATGCACAAAATTAAATATCAGGTATTTTATTTTGCTACATAAATTTAAATCTATATTTAATATCCTGTTTGATTGCATGGCAAGTGTTTTAAGGTTATGTTTTCTTAATTTTGTTTTAGCAACTTTAAATTTTACCTTAATTTTTTAATGTAAATTTTTTAATCCAATTAATAGAATTAAAATTATTTCATGGAGCTGTAAACAGATTATTAGGGAGATTTTGGTCTTTAAAATGTGGTTGTAGTAACTGTATAATTAATTACTAACCCTTTCAAAGCTATGGTTAATGTGTCCTCTTTGCCTTTCCTAAAAAACCATTTAAGAATGCTCAACTGTTAATTTATTGGTTACTGGTTTAGACTATGGTTTCCTGACGCACAGCCTTATAGTTCTCTTTTTAAAAATAAATTTCTTTCTTCTCAACCATTGCTGCTCTATTGTAATTGACACAAAATGGATGTAAGACATACAACATATTGTTGGTAACCTTTTTTTTTATTTTATGCATTATACATTTTAGTTTAGACAAGGCAAAGTTGTAGAAATTCGAATGTAGAATATTACGTCAGCTCTGAAAGGGTTAAGACAAGTTTTCAATTGTCGGCGTTTAATGAAACCAGTGTTCTTTAGGCATCAAATGCCTAAGATAGAGTTGAGGAGGATGTTTGGTAAAATGACCTAAACAAACAGTAATTACAAATATATAGTACAGGAATTTATTTATTTGTCTTTAGTTTTTCAGGCTAGAAATTTACATTATTTATTTGGTGTTGTACCTGAAATGTCTCTAAAGTATCTGATTGTAAAATTGAGTTAGTTTTCATAAGTTGTTGAAATTGATTTGATATTATTTTTTACATGAGATTTCATTAGTATTTAAGTAGCAATAAATATTGCTTTACTACTCAAATAGGTTATTTTAATGTGTATATGTTTTAATGGATACCTTTACCAGTTATTTATTTTTGCATGAATTAATCGAAACTTGGCTTGTTCATGTTTATAAGAGTAAGAAATGTCAGTAACAAGTCTTCATTTACGTTATAATCTTGTGTTGTTAACCTTTTGTAAATAACCGGTTTGATTGACATATTGTATCCGTGCTTTTTGTTTGGTGTGTTTTTTAAGATACTTTAAGTATGTAAATATTGAATTTCATGGCTGTTTGGTTAATATAAGTGTATATCAGGTACATTTTGGTTCTAATTTGTTGGCCTAAAAAATAATTTTACTTTCATCTCACACATAATTTTGTAGTAACGAGTCAAATAGTGTTTTACTAAGGAAGTTTTGATTTCTTCTGTTTTGACATGACTGTAAATCTAAGTTTTCCATTTCTACTTCTACTGAATGCAAACCTTCCAAATGGAGGAAATCAAAACTTGTCGTACAAGCATTACTTCACTGGACCATTTTGATTGATACTATTTTTTTAATTCCTACCATTAGTTTCATATAACTGACCATAGTTGTGTCGGTTGTAGGAAGAAGTTGAACTGATTTTTTATAATTCGAGATTCTATTGTCACAAAATATAACTGTGTTAGATAGAAGATAATAAATAATAGACAATCGTGAACGATTTGTCGCAGTTGCACATAGAGTTAACTGTAGAGGAACACCTTTCATTGTGTAGCTAACTAATCTCATGGAACAATGAATAAAAAGTCAGTTTAACCCTCTTTTATGGGAGCATATTTTTGTAATACTAGTGTACTGTAAAAGACAAACTATTCAAATAAAAACTCGCAATAATTACTCATAAAACCGTTCTATTTCAATTATCTCTGTTCTAACTAGAGGTTATAAGATGAAAGTAAATACAGACCAGAACCAAATGTACAATTGAAAAGAACAATACTTAATCAAAATAGTCGTGTAAAGCTTTCTTCATCTAAAACTTGTGTAAAAACTGAAACCGTGTAAAACTATTGAATGCTTGTATCCTAATCTTGTATCGGACACGAATTGTAAATAATACTGATGTAATATTTTAATTTAATTATAGTCAGTTAAGTCGGCATGCAAGTGCTGTTAGGCGTTGACGCCGTGTACACTCCAGCATGGAGATATATATAATATATATATACATAATTATAAATATACACAGTTTTATATAAATGTTAGGAGTACATATGCAATAACTGTCTATAGTGCTTTGGTTATTTATTACTCTGTGTGTGAACGACAGGCTCGACTTTGCTAGAACCACCTTTAGTTTTGTTGTGTGTTAAGCTTTTAAGAGTGACTGGTTATTTGCAAAATAATAAGTCAATAAAATTAATTAAGGGTGTTGAAGACAAAAATGTTCTGGTAATATGTAAAACATAGATACAATTGTTAGTCTCTAATGCAGGTTTTGTAATTATCGTTTCTCCTCTTCATTTAGTGGAAACTGATTCTCTGATTGCATTTTCTTAAAGAGACCTTCTGTGATTTTTATTTATTGTAAATTTTCACCTCCTTTTATTTTATTATAGATTAAATATGTTTCCTAACAATTTATGTTTCTTTTTAATTACCGTCTTCTGGCTACTTTACTAACAGTCTTGCCCTCTAAGGCAGACAAAACCCCTGTGATTTTTTCATCACTTAACAAGACACATTTTTTACCCTTGAGGGTCAGCAGGACCGACGGCCATCTTAGATTTTATACCTAAACACCAATGTTATTGGTTGAAGCATACTACATACAGCATTGTTTATTAAGATAAAAACTTGCAAAATATCTAATTTTAAAGCTATTGAAACCTTGGATATGATTTGCTATCTACTTTTTATCTTAATTGTTGTTAATTAGTAAAACTACATAAATGTATCAACTTAACCTATGATTTTTTCAACCTCTAAAACAAGTTTTAAACATCATAAAAGCAATACACAAGGGAAATATATTTAAGAATCACCAAATTTTCTGCTCAGTAATTAAGCTTACGGCGCATGATTAATATGCTTCAACGTGAACGCATGTTTTTTGCTGACAGGCACTCAGACAACCACTGATTAGTGTTTCCCCTTAGCTTTGGAGTGCTGTAGTCAACAGAGAAATAATTATTGACTCCTGTAGACTCTTTTTCATTGGTAATTGTTTATTAAGTTAGTAAATGGCAACTGGTTGTAAAATTAACTAACCAAACCATAACAACAAAAAATGTTTAAAATCAGGGTAAGGTTTTTTAAATCTTGTAGAATATATTTTATTCAAACAGACTACAGAGAGGTATAGCCTAGGCATATTAGGAATGTTTTGGTACAGTCTTTTTCTGTATGTTTTTTTGAAGTTACTGAACACGAATATGAGGTTTGTTTACAGATATTATTCCCGGAACATTGTTCAGAACGAACTAACACCCGAGCTATACTCTGACTTAGGTTTTTAAAGTGTTAACGCAAATATACAAGAAATTTTCATTAAAATAAGCAACAAGTACGATTGAGATTTGTCTGTATAGTTAGCATGGTAAGAGTGTGGAACTGATAATTTCTAGTATATTTAAAAACCTACATTATTCTCTTGGTATTCTTGTGCAAAGTACAAACAAAACGACTATAGTTCGGCCTCTTAGACAGCGACCTGCGCGCTCATGCTAACCAATGCTAGAGGAGGTCGCTATCTAAGCGGCCGAACTATAGTATAAATACATACAGATGTTCTCTTACACATTCACTGAAAATTGTTATTCCTATGCACGTAGATTTTATAAAAAATAGTCTTAACTACTCTTATTGTTTGTAAGGACTTATAGCGAATTTCCCATATACTGAATAGGCTATTACCATAGGTTGGCTTATACTCGTTTGCACCACCTAAATAATTCTGCTAGAGCACTTCAATGCAGTATGCTTGTACAAGTGTACATATTCATTATTCAATTAGATCATTTACTATTGGATTTATCTGGGCTGATTGGACGCTGTCAAGATTAAATACAAAACCAAATACTGTCTTAACTTCACAATTTTTTTTATTTTTGTACATTAAGTGTCTAGATCCTAAGATCAGAATAACAGTTTGGGTTTTGACAGAGGTTTGTTGTATGTACACAATGAGAGACTTAGTCAACTTAGGTTATTATTTGATAACAACGCATTATATAAAATAGTCAACACAACAGTTAATGATGTAACAGAAGTTGTTCCGAAGAACTGAACACAAAAATTAATTGAAATAATTGTCCATAGTTACAACAGGAAATAAATTTGCACAAACTCGCTTGGGCTGGAGCTACGTCTGTACTGAACTAGAAGCAACAACTTGACTAACCAATCACAAATCCGAGGCCTAGTCTAAAACTGTTCTTTTTCTGATTTAAGTTTCCACTTAACGTAAATGTGAACGGCATGGGTAATAGTTTCTTCTCTATAACCGCAGAGACATTCCAGTTAGTATCCACGCTCCCTGGAACACATATTAGAAAAGTAAAAATCTTATAATTATTAGGACCACAGTGTGTTAATGGAGCTGATTTTTTAAATATCTTAATGAGATCTGTTTTATAAAAATACCTTTTCTGACGACGAGGTTTTTGTTGAGTGTCAAACTAGATGATTTTTCAGGAATAAAATTGTCGCTGCACAAAATATGTGCTGGTTTGGTCTATGAAAGAAAAATTAATATTTTATATTAGACTTCAGTTTAAATAACACTTAAACTGTACGTGGGTCGTTGGCTTCCCAAACAATAAGAGCTCAGGCTCTTTCAGAAGAGGGCAATATTTTGTGTGCCTGTAAGAAACATTCTTCTCCGTTTTGCGCTGCACAATGTGTTGTACGCTAGTGAGATCTTGTTGTCTATCAGCCACACCCTTATTTTTACATGTATTTAGGGGAGAAAGAGTGTATTTTTTCTTGTACTATTATTGTTAGGTCATTTATTTAATTTTGGCGTATAATGGTTTAGGAGAGGCCAAAAGCAGAAGACTGAGGTGGGTCGGCCATATCTTGAGAGTTTATTGAAGATGGTACTAAGGGGATATCCGAGGGGAATGAGACTAGTAGGAATGGACCAAAGGCTAGGTGGTGGGATCAAGTACAGAAAGATATGGATACTTGTAGATGAAGATTCGGTGGACCAAGAGAATTGGTGACAATCTGTTGGAGAGGCCAAGTACCAGCTTGGGTACAATTGGCTATGGCAATTAGCAGTAAGTATGTAATAGTTAAATATGACACATTTTAGATTGATTTGAATTAGTAATTTAGGGGGTGGGTTGATGAATGACTTCAGTGCTCATGGGACACCAGAATCGCTCTAAGGCAGAAACATGACAGGCGTCCTAAAAATTATGACGTAACATCCTGCTGAGTTTTTGTTACTGAATGGTATTCTGTATTGATATTCAATATTAATTTCATAACAAAAATTTGAGGTCTGCCTAAAAGATGTTTATATTTCATTATCAGGCAAAGTGTTAAAAAAGGTTTTAAGTTTAATTTATTGAGAAACAGTTGAATGAATGCTAAAGTGGTTTGAATACAAAAAGTACACACTCTTACCTCTGAACTGAAGGTCTGCTTTGGGCAGGTCAGCGTAGTAACCAATAGTTCCAACTGACTCTTGCATTCTGAGATTGGTTTCCATCTCTACACCAATGTGTAATTGTTCGCTGGCTTTCTGGTAGTAGCAGAGGTGAAGACTGGCTACTCCAAGAGTTCCGCTGCAAACGTAATCATCACCTGCAAAAGAAGTTGAACATATTTGAACTATCGATTTCAATTTATTTGCAAGACTTAATGACATGAAGATGGTGGAGACTGAATGAAGTAGAGTCGATGTAGAATATTTTAAGAAACATTCGAAGAGATTATCTAATACACTCACTCACCAGAATATCTCGCAGCTAAAGAGAGCAGAGGTAATTGTCCACCGGGTATTTGGTTCATTCTTTGTATTGCTAACTCCGCACCTAGAGCTAAATTTGGAGTGACGTTTTGTAAGTAATGCCCCACAAATACACCTGAAACCGAAGAAAGATTGTATTAAAGAACAGTGTAAATTATGATACATTTCTATATTTACCCTTAACACCAGTCAAGCGAGCTACATTTTGACCAGAATGAAACTGTCAGGTCCTATTTCAAATGAATGATAGTGAAAAGTTATAACAAATATGCTGCATTTTACATGTGATGTATGTCGGCTTACAGTGCAAAGATGAAAAGTCTCTTGGGGCTTTACATCATACCTTGCCCTCCTAAAGGTAAAAGTTAATCTGGGAAATATTTTTATGTAGTTGCTTTTTTTTAAGGCTTATCCCATTGCTGTCCATTTTATATACAGCCATATCTTCCACTCACTTGCTCTATGACACTTCCAAGCTAATGAAATTGCCATGGTCTACAAGAATAAAGAAACTAGCGATTGGTCAATCAACAATGTCGTGTTTTTCATTTAGAGCATCTCCTGGTACTGAGATCAACTAAGTAAGACTATGAGAATAATAAGCGGAATTCTAATACCTTTAACTTTCTTGATTTCTGTAAAGAGAATTGTATAGCCAGGTATTTGACTGGAAAATCTACCTTAGGTTTAAAACCTTTTTTTAGGGAGAGGAGAATCAGGTAAATGTGTTTGCACACACAGGTTGCCAGCCTGGGTAGTGTGGGACTCAAACCCACTAAAAACCTCCTCAAACTCTTTCGACACTTGCTTGGGAACACTTGTTGCACTCACATATTGTGCTTCATAACTAGGCCTACTCTGCTTTCGCCCAACAGTCTAGCCGATTATTTCTTACACGACATTGCCTTCGCCCAACAGTCTAGCCTATTATTTCTTACACGACATAGACTGTAATCCGATCTAGGTCACACAGACAGATTGCAGTCATAACACAGTCATCCGCCTAAAACTAGCTTAGTCGTTCTTCCTGAGTAGGCCTATTGTGCCAATTTTGTTTAAACATAAGATTTTCAATCCAAAAGGTACCTTGAAAGTTGTTGAGAGGGTCTGGATTGATGATTGAGAGGGATGATGTGAAAGTGTCGGCTTTGTAGTCAATCTGCGTTTGGGCGACAGCAAACTGACTGTTAGACATCTGTAAAAAGGAAAAATTTAAAAAAAAATTGTGTTTAGTACCGTAATGTTAAAGTTGAAAATATAAGACTATTTTTGTGTTGACGGTATTTTTATTGTTTTGTTTTTTACAAAACTGCGCAAAACGTAAATATTCTAATCCTACAAATATTAACAAATGATTTTGACGACAAACAACTAATTAAATAATTAAATTACATGACACAAACATAAGATTTAATTCAGAAAGAAATAATTACTGTCCTGCCTTTATATAAGTTTTTATTTAAACAGATTAAAAAAGTTAATACCCCCGCTGCTACAGCAAACCTGCGGACTAAAAATTGTCATTTACCTGGCTGGATTTTCACTAAAGTAGGCCTATTCCCTTAAAAATATCACATTTATTTCCTGTTTTAATACCTAACATTAATTTTAAGGAGTACCTACTTAGGGTTGCTGCTAAAGGGAAGATAAAAAGGTTTTTTTATTGAAATGTTGATAGCTTAGTATGAAATCAACAAATTAACCAAATGAACTTAAAATATATCCATAAATAAGCAAACTATAACAGTTTTCTTTTTCTCCATAAGAAATAAGATCACATGGAAATTTTAATTTACACTTTTATAGAATTTTTTCTGTAACCGTCTGACATACAACAAAGGCTTCAATATACTAAATTACTTGTTTTATTATGCTGTACAAAAGGTTTTAGAAAGAAACTGCAAAATAAATGGGAAAACAATTTTTAATATCCCATAAAAAGATAGTTCCCATTGTTTGATCATTCTGGTTCGCAAACTCGTTCAAATAAACATAGTTTCACACATTTGTACCAATTAGAATCAAAATCGGAAAATTTTTGCTCGAGTTATCACTCTAACAGACACAAGTATACTTTATAAATTTTATATATATGAATTCGAACTTCGAACGAATGGTGTTTTGGCCTCTAAGGACCTCAAAACAAAAAAGTAACGGTCCTGGGATACCAATTCAATTCCCTATACGGGAATTTTGCTACTATTCCTAATATAGGAAATTTGGTAATAAATCTAGAGGTAGGGCTATTTACATTATTGGTTCATAAAAAAGTTTTTTCATAGAAAAATAATAACATTTTAGTTACCTGTGCTTGGAATCTTAGCCTATATCGACTTCCGATTTGATGGAACACATTAGCAGAAAGTAGTCCACTTGAGTCGATGTCTCCTATTAACACAGGATACACTTCTCCTGGACCTATCTGGTTTGTTCCGACATAGGTTGCTCCAAAACGATAGGATCCTGGTTGTTGGGAGCTCAATGTAATATTGTGGGACACTTGAAAATGATTGCTTAGTCCCTTGTTTAGAACAATTCGTGCACCATCAAACACTGAGGGGAAGACATCTGTAAAATATTTTTCCACTTAAAAACTGTATTCTTTGCTACTACTTTTATATAAACTTATCACCCTTGACCAAATAATGTGTAATGATCACCGGCATTAAGCAGATCTAACCAAAATGTGATTATTTCTTTAAGATCATATCATATCAGGACTACCACCTTTGGTTGGGGAAAATTGAGACTGGCTTTGGGAATACTATTTTTAACACATGAACTGTATATTGTTGATCAACAAAAAATCCAAGTTACTGTTGAGGAGACTAACTATTGTTTAAGAAAATAGGCTACAATGTCTTGTCTTTAATGGCTGGAAAACAAGTGTGGTTTAAACAACTATGGTATATTATTACTAGTGTTATTAGACGTATAATTTGTTTGTTTTTTCAGGTAATTTAATAACACATTACGATGCTGATCAAGAAGTTATTCATCCAGACTACTGTCCACTAACTTACTGTGGTTGTATTTGTCACAAGGTTTGTGATGTTAGGCATAAAAACAGAAATCCTATTTTAAAACTTCGATCTGGGTAACTTAGTAGGGCCTGGAATCTAAATAAGGAATCAATTGTTAAATTTGAAAAACGGTGGTTGCCGTTGGAATAAATATGATGGCTAAAATGAATTTATGTAGGTACTAATTTACTTACTTAAGTCTGCCAGTATCTATATCCCCATAATGGAACGAAATTCACTTTAACAAAATCATTATTAGGTCTATCTATACATTTGTTTTTATAGGTAAAAATTTAAATTTTAAAATTCATTTTCATAGCCCCAGGATTGCGTAGTATGACATATAATGGTTAAAACATACCTCGTCAGACAATCCTTAACATATACCTAGTGTCGAAATAGCTACATATGTTTCGGCGGCTATTTAAGCATCTCCGCCATCGTCAAGCAAACAAAAGGATCCACTTGATGTGTCGTCAGAATAAATAAAACACACATTTTACACAAAACATAAAAAACTATAGTGATAGGCCTATCAACTACACGCACTGCCGTTAACATGGCAGGAAGCAGACTGAATGTTGTGTTGTAATGTGACTTGACTCTGGGCTGTCGTCTGCGTTATCAACAGCTGATACTGGTCTATTGTAGTGACGGAGGAGAGTATTGCAAATATAATGAGATTCATAGTTGAGTTTTTCATTCAAAATTTGTGTGCTGTCCTTGGTTTTTATTTCCTTGTATATTTCAAATTCTTCCAGAGTATTTAATAAATTTCCTTTCCCGCAGTAATGAAGGATATCAAGACCGTCATTTATATCTAGCATATCATGTTTATTGTCGATGATGTGTTCGGCGAATTTAGATTTTTGCAATTTTAGTTTAGGGGCCGATCGGTGTTCTTTATACCTGGTTTTAAAATGCCTCCCACTTTGTCCTTCATATGTGCTCGGGCAATCGGCGCATTTTATGCGGTATACACTGTCTTCTCATACCTATCACCTTGTGGGTGTTTACCTTTAGATATATTTCGTAGCCGATTGGAAGTTTTAAAAGCCAGTTTGACACCATGTTTACTCAGATCTTTTTTCAGGTAGGTAGTTGTTTATTTGGTGGTTATACTCGATACAGCAATATGTTATTCTATTATTATCAAAATTTTTTGGCTGGTGACATGTATTGTTCTTTTTCTTTCTAATGATTTTGTCCACCATATCGGATTTGTATCCATTGGCCACGGCAATGTGCTTTATTATATTCAGTTCGTTTGTGTAATTTCTGGACTTAGTGGGACATTTAGAAGTCTGTAGATCATCGAGTTGTATGCGGCTAGTTTTTGAGAGCATGGGTGATAAGATGTGCTATGAATGGTCTGGTCTGATGTTGTGGGTTTACGGTAAATGCTAAATTAAAATTTATTGTTATGTTTCTCAACAGTGAGGTCCAGAAAATTTATTTTGTTGTCTACTTCCTTTTCCACAGTAAACTTAAGATTCGGTGACATGGAATTTAAAAATTGGTGGAGTAAATCAAGTTACCGGTTGCTGCCATCAAATATTACAAATGTGTCATCTACATATCTAAAGTAATTCAGTATTCTATTTATATGTTTGTTTTTGTCTGAAAAGATGAGTTCATTTTCTATATTGTTTAAGTAAATTTCTGACAGGATGCCCGAGAGAGGGGAGCCCATGGTAAGACCGTCGAGTTGTTTGTAATACCTTCCATTAAACGAGAAATATTTTTGGCATAATATTTCTTTTAGGAGACAGATTATTTCCTCTATGGCTTCAGAAAGGAGGCTCGAGTTTTCCTGTAGGTTATTTGATACTAGCTCAACAGTTTTATCAATTGGAATATTGGTGTATAGGTTTGTAATATCAAATGATGCAAAAGTATGGCGGTGTTGTATACTGAGGTTTTTAGTTTTTTCAATAAAGTCGTATGTATTTTTTAGGCTGTAGTCGTTTTTTAGGACTGTTTGTTCCCTGAGAATCCAAACTAACACGAAGATGGTTGCGCTAGCCCCGCCCCTAGAGGATACAGACAATAAAACGTAATCTACTTTCAGGATAGCCCTCGTATATTCCTTTGAGTACAAAAATAAATATAGGCTACCTAATCCACAGTTATTTACATATCTAGGTAGAATTATTTTATTTCTAGACCGTAAGTTTAAACAAGCTTTTTATTTTATCTCAAGGGATTGAACTGTACACAAGGTTATTGAAATGATTAATAAATTAAATGAAAAATTACCTATTTATTTAGACAGGCTTACAAAAAGTTAGGGCCACATAGCCCTTTTACACTTAACCCGTACAGTGTACACACACAAACTGGGTATTGACAAGTAAGTTCGACGTATGCGTTCCAAGAAACTGACTAGAAAGGACACAAAACGAACTAGGCTACAAAACAACCATGGCAGCCATCACATAGCAATTGACTGCTGAGAGGACTGCTGGAAGGAGGGGGTGGGATGCTAAAAATAACTCACCCTATGTCAAATTTATGTGTGATAGGCTACCCATCTAAGTTAGGGTTAATTATAGGCCTAGTGATGGTAACTTAATTATTCCAGGATTACTATAGGCCTAGCCTACTGGTCATCTAAATTACCTCGGATAAGGGAGTTTACAGAATATAAATAGATAAAGGGGAAGAAATCTTCTTCTTTTTGTCTACAAAAAATGACAGGGACATTCATCCAAACCATCAGGGCAGTCCTAGTGTTGAGTTTGATTAAGTAGCCTATTTTCATTAGTAGGTAGACCGAATGAAAATATTGATTATCCGATACTTTCATTCGGTTGTTTGTGCCAACAGATACGGAAATCTACCCCATTCAGTTGTTTGGGATTTTGGACCTCATGAACGACTGCATTACATCCATGCAGATCCCAAAAACATGGAGGAAGGCACGAGTAGTAGCCGTCCTGAAGCCGGGCAAGGAGCCAACTGATGCAAGAAACTTCCGTCCTGTTTCCTTGTTGTGTTGAGCGGAAACAGATTACGGGAGTTGCCTTCATTGACCTTAGCGCTGCTTACGATACCATTAACCATAACTGGCTTGTATGTAAGACCTACAAACTAACTAAAGACTATAAATTGACAAGGCTTATTCAATGTTTTCTGCAAAACAGGCGCTTCTATGTTACTCTCCAAAATAAAAACAGCCGCTGGAGAAACCAAAAGAATGGCCTTCCCCAAGGTAGCGTACTGGCCCCTTTGCTGTACATAATATTTACACTAATGATCAGCCTATACAGCGTAATACTAAGCAGTTAATCTATGCTGACGATACAGCGGTAGCAGCTCAAGAGCATACATTTGAGGAGGTGGAGAATACATTGACAAAAACTCGGAAAAACTAGGAAGCTACTATGATGAGAACCATCGTAAGCCTAACCCAACCAAAACCCAGGTATGCGCTTTCCACCTACGGAACAGAGAGGCAAAAAGAAAGTTAAGAGTACTGGAGAGGGCAAGAACTCGAACATAATGACTATCCTCAATATCTAGGTGTGAAGCTGGACAGAGCATTGACTTTAAACAACACTGCCTTGCTACTAGGCAAAAAGTGTGCTCCCGAAATAATATCATTCGGAAACTTACCAACACATCCTGGGGAGCACAACCACAGGTGCTACGCACTTCTGCTCTTGCTCTTAGCTTCTCAGCAGCAGAGTATGCAGCACCAGTGTGGAGAAACTCTGCCCATGCAAAGCAGGTAAACATAGCCATCAACGAAACTGCAAGGATCGTGTCAGGATGCTTAAAACCAACCCCAGTGGACAGTATACCCTCTCATTGGGGTAGCTCCACCATAAATAAGGAGAAACGTGGCAGCCGCAGTAGAACTACAGAAGCAAGTGACCGACCACCGTCATCCACTATATGGGCATCAACAGCAGCCCTCTAGACTCAGGTCAAGAAAGAGTTTCCTCAAAACTACTGAGATGTACATTCAGTAACATCGGAAGTATTAAGGCTTCAGCTATGGAGGCAGGAGGCTCAACAGCCACCAGTACAACTCAGAGAGGAACTCCATGCAGGCTGTCACCTGCCTTACCCCACATGGAGGACCCTAAATAGATTGCGAAGTGGGGTCTCGAGGTGCAAAGTAAACCTCATGAGGTGGGGGTACTATGAAGGAGAACCAAACTGCACATGTGGGGCCCCTCAGGACCATGAACATCTACTAGTTTGTCCAGATATGGACAGAACATGCTCCTGGCTCGATCTTAAGGAGGCAAATGACGAAGCCATAACTTAGACCTATATGTGGCAGATTATTGGAAAAATAATATCTAACTGAGCTGGTGTTTTTTCTCCGGACACAGAAAGTAAGTAAGTTGTTTGGGATACCGCTTAACAAAGTCTATACCCTATTATAGCCTGCAACTTATGGGTAACTTACAGTTTCTTAACTGGTCAACGATAATATCGATTGAAACTATCGATTCGATTAGTAAGTTATATACCTTCATTCAAATTTTTTCATCATAAGCAAGTTTAGTTTGTTAGGCTAGCCTACGTTATGACAGTTTTATTTTATAGGCTAATTGATAACAATATGTGATTTAGTCGATAGGCCTATTTTCAATCAATATTAGGGTAGCCCAGTGAAGAAACTGTACCCTAGCCTAGGCCTAGGCCTACTATTAAATATTTGGCTAAGTTTGGAATATCGCCCCCCTCCCCCATCCAAGACTAACTAAACCTAGGCCTATGCTTAAAAAAACATAGGCTAGCCTAATTAGACTAAAACTTAACTTTAAAAAAAGAATAGCCTAGGTAGTCTGACTAAAAGATTTTGTTTAAGGTAAATTACCTTTAGTTTTTTTGTGTAATTCCTCCATAGTTCCAGGGTTTTCTATCTTAACTTCTTCTTTTGTATCTTCACCTGGAGCAGGAGGCATGGCAAACATTCCAAAATCTTGCGGAGGTTTACTTGCAGCAAAAACGTTACCCATTTTATAAAAGCAAGGTGCCTATCTACAACACTACAGTACAAATCTAATATGAATTTATGACTATACTACAGTACTTTTTAACTGGAATGAAACATCCCTGAATTTATTAAAAACCGGGCATTAAATGCAAAAATTTAGGTTATAAATTACACAAAAATTTCTAATCTATCATTCCTTCCACTCTTCTCTTCTGCTTCTCACCACCCCCTCTACCTAACTTTGAGATGAGAGGAAGTAAAACAAAAAACATTATTTGGAGAAAATGATAGCCTAGACTTCACGTAAAATAGACTCGACGATCATTTGAACCGATTTTAGTCAATTGCATCTCGCCTGACCTCTATACACATAGAGATCGATAATCGGCACACATTCCCATTTCCAAAAATAATTTAAAAAGCTACAGTTACAATTCATCCATGTGAATAAGTTTTTTTAACAAATCAAAATTGTTTATTGATAATGCCCTAATACAAATAAATTAATATTGGTAAGACAAATTATATGTATAAAATAATAAAATGAAGGCTCAATAGAACAGTGGGGGAATTGCGGCACCATCTTCAAACTGAATGCTTCGAATTTTACGTCTTGTTCCTCGAAGCCTAAGCGAAACTGCTCTGCTCGTATGATGGAAAGAAGGCTTTGGATCCTTAACCATCCAATAATTTGGGATGGTTTTCTCCATTTTACAGCCGGGACCTCACTCGTTCTCCTCTGACGAGTCATATTTTTTGTAGGGGACTCCATCCGTGGAACATATTATTGGTGTGAAGCTTCCTCTGACGTCTTCGGCTGCTTTATTTATTGTGTTTCTGAACGGCATGGTTTTGAGATATTGTTTCCCATTCTTGGTTGTTGTAAGAGGGAGCGTCAGCATTAACAATGCGATTATCAAAAAACGCTCCTCTCTCAGCCTTCCAAATAATATTAACTTTAAAATCAGCTTTTAAAGTAGACACGTTGTTTGCGGGATCAGCTTCTCTCATAAAAGGCTCGACTTCAACCCCATTCTAGGCCATATTTGCTATCGAAGCACAGTGGTATCGATGTTGATCATGCCCAAACGAGAGAAATTCGCCCATATTCATGGTCGTATGCTAAGTGTAGTGTGCTAGAATAATCATAGTGTTTATTATCCAAATTCATAACGATAACATAACATAAAAATCAACAACTAGAGATCAGCTGGTTATAGCAATACCAACACAATTATTATTTGAGTTCACTCCGTGACTAAGCCCTGCAAAGCACTTCAAATTAGGCTACTAAATCTGTGGGTATCAAGCTCTATAAAAGGAACCATTAAAACTAGATTAATAATTGAAGGGGAGATACCGGCACAACTAGACGTACGTACAACTAAATATCCGGGGGTAGAAATCCGGCGACCCGTTTTATTATTGGGGTCGCCGGATTTCTACCCCCGGATATTTACCCCCATGAAAAAACGCCTACGTCACTTTGACGTCACATGTATGGGGGTAGATTTCCGGCCGCGAACTTTTAGGATGGATAAATTATTATATATTCTATCAACTCGGATTTCACGGTTTACTTAACAGTTGTAATTAATCAAAATGCTAATAAACCTGACACCGGAACTTTACCCCCGGAAATCTACCCCCAGACATCCACCCCCGGACATCTACCCCCAGACATCTACCCCCGGACATTTACCCCCGGAAATCTACCCCCAGACATCTACCCCCGGACATCTACCCCCGGACATTTACCCCCAGACCTCTACCCCCGGATATCTACCCCCGGAAATCTACCCCCTGTGCTACACTACGTATCAGCCAATATTCATTGTTGTAGTTGATTTGGTACTTTCCTGTTAAAGGGAACATTCATTATTATCGATGATTTTTTCTCGATATATCGATGTTTTTGTTTTCCGATCCATTACAAATTGACAACAAGAAATGAAACTGTTCTAAGCTAACCTAACATAACCAACCAAACTTGCTGTACCATTTAAAAATTCCCTTTGGGTTTGAATATAAAAGGCAAGTTTTAAACGCGGAATTTTTAAATGTTACAGCAAGTTTGGTTAGTTATGTTAGGTTATTTATTTTAGAACAGTTTCATTTCATTAATGTTTGTTGATACTGAACAATATTTTTCGTCATTGTCAGCTGATATGTTTCAATTTGTTAATATCGATATATCGAGAAAAAAATCATCGATAATAATGAATGTTCCCTTTAACAGGAAAGTACCGTTGAGTTTAGTTATTGGTTCATAAAAATAATCAATGGCTCTTCGTTTAATAATTACCCTCTAATATCTAGTATTAAGCATGTGATATGTCGTTGTCTTGTTTAGTGTCATCTATCTTCCCAATTCATTAAGCTGTAACTGATTTAGGTCATTTTTAAGCTTAAGATTCAGTGCAACGCAAATGGTAATTAAAAAGGATATTTTGATAAAGGGCTCCAAAAGTTTAACCCATAAGCATTTGATTTATTTTCAGACAGTGATTTAAATGGTTAACCAATTTTCACATACACTCATAGCTAACGGCACATGTACGAGCGCAGATCGTGAAATTTAAAACATATCACTGAAGGAGGTTATTTTCTGACTACTAGTGGTAAAAATGCAATTAAATGTTGATAAAAAGCCTACCACAGGTTGATTAATAAATTAATAATTGTTTCACTATCAATTACTTCCTAGTAATACGAAATAGCATAGCATAATGTCGTAGACACTATCCGGAGTTTTACATTGGCTAAAAATTCTAGTTGTTTACACAAATAATTAACCGTAAAAAATAAAACATAAACATATTTTATGATTGGTTCTGGTTGTCAATGCTGGTTGTGAAATAACGGAGAATAATGTAAAAGAATAAAATTTGATGTTTCGGAATAGGGAAGGTATTTTTACCTCATGGTTCTTTTGGTTTTACGAATTTATTTTAATGAAATTAGAGTTTAGTATGAACATTGCTTAAAATTATATATTTTTTGTTCATTTTTACCTTTCATACATTAAAGAAGCCAAAACAAGTCTTTATCTCAATTTCTGGCCCAGAAGGCATTTCACGTGACCTTCTTCTCAAAAACTAGAGCATCGATCGTGATTCGATTTAAATAGTCTTTTTGGATTCGGTGGATTGACACGAGTAACTTAAGCCATTAAAATATGGCCTCACTACTTTTGAATTAAAATAAATTTTGTTCAAACCCCCAATGTTTTGCATTTTTGTCAAGTTTAGGCTACTCCTAATGTTTACCAGTAATTTATGAAATACTAATAATTTGTTTTGAGAATACGACATCAATGAAATAACGAACAGCTGTGAAAGATGAAAAGCTGGATAAAGATGATTTTTTCTAGTTGTCACTGGAAATATGTTATTACATTTTGTTTACAAATACTGCAACCATTTCCGATCACGTTTTGTAATAAAATCCAAAACCAAGTAAGTTGTGATTCACGTAAATAAACGGATCAAATAAATCGTAAGTGCAATAATATGTAACTAGTGTACATGTTGCTCGAATTCGAGCAATTGCAAAGTATTAAAGGAGTTATTTCAAAATGAATAACAATGAATATTTACAATGAATTTAAATGAGTCAACTCAAAGATTACCAGTGTGTAACTAAAACCATGTTTATCTTCGTTATTGATAAACCTAAAGCATTCATCCGACCGGTTTTCTCCTTCTCAAAATGCCTCGCTGTACAGGCAACACAGGTTATTGATAGAGGGCCAATTGAGTACGAAAAGTCGTTTTGGGGTAGTGTTCCATCTCTTGTTTACAGTTGCAGACGATCTATTCTGGTTTTCAACCTGACTTAAAAATTGAACTGATTAGATCTCCTCACATTTCACCTTTCAAACACTGTTACTGTATAGTGTGAAAGTTGGTCAACCATTGGAAGCACCTTCTTGGAATAAATCAAATGCTTAGGGGTCAAACCTTTTGAAGCTCTAATCAAAATATCCTTTTTAATTGCCATTTTGCTCTTCGCAAGATCTTAAGCTTTAAAATGACACCTCAATCGTAACAATCGGCAAAGTAGGTCGGGTGAAAAAGGACTGTTACAGCTTGCTGAATTAGGAAGATAGATAATGTTAAAGAAGACAATGACATATCGCATGCTGTATACTGGATATTACAAGACAATGCTTAACCAAAGAGCCGTTGATTTCCGGGGGTAGATGTCTGGGGGTAGATGTCCGGGGGTAGATGTCCGGGGGTAGATGTCTGGGGGTAGATATCCGGGGGTAAATGTCTGGGTGTAGATATCCGGGGGTAGATGTCCGGGGGTAGATATCCGGGGGTAGATTTCCGTGCTATGGCAAATCACTTTATAATCAAACAATTACATGTTGATTATTTAATAATATATTGGGGGTAAATTTCCAGTCGCGGACTGTTTCTCGACCGTGTTTAGGCCCCGCCCCTCGTGACGTCAAAATGACGTAGGCGTTTTTTCATGGGGGTAAATATCCGGGGATAGAAATCCGCTACCCCAATAAAACGAGTCGATTTAAAGAGTCGTTCTCAGAGCTTAGTCAACCTCCGTTTTGCCTCCCCTCAGCTTACAAACTTATTTGTCCCCAAGCCCCAAGTTTACTTGTCCCCATCTTTCCCGACACCAAAAACCATTGAGAGCGAACATAGAGTAAAATAAAATCCTGCGTTCCCTAGTGTCGATCATTCAATTTAATTTACCCAATACAGGCTGATGTCGAACGGAGATTTGATTGTCAGATAACGCGAGAATGGGAGTATTTGATGTGAAAACTAGACTATGCGGATTGAGGCGAAAACTTGTAACGAGTTTCGAGAAATCGATTGTTTCAGTGTTTCCAATATGAAAACGTGATTCTGTCCAAAAATCACTAATACAAAAGACATAATAAATTCAGATGATTTACTATTGTTTACCGCATAGGCATATAACAGTAAAGATCAAGAGCTTAAATTATATTAGAAAATACCCTCGCCAAAGCAAACCTGCCGACTAAGCGAATTTCCATCTGTCTAAATTGATTCTCAATTAAATCTAAACATTAGGTTTAACTAGTACCTAGGGTTGCTGCTACAAGGAAACTAATAAATTGTTTTTTTGATAAAATATTTATAGCTTAGTATAAAATAAATAAATTTGACAAGTTTAATCAAAATACATCCGCAAACAATCAAACTACAACATTTAACAATTTTGTCCATTGCTATAGGCATTTTTTGTACTTTCTGGGGTCTACGGAGTTTCTCAATGAAAGATGTAGCCCTGCATATAGGCATAGGGCCTCTTGAGACGCAAGTAAACTAAATGAAACAGCATCAAGAAATAAAATAGTGGGCAAACCGAAACTAATAGTTACGTTGTCTTCCTATATGTTTGTGAATATTTAGGTTTGGTCCTATATTAGGCTTGGTTTTCTCAAGATGAAGATGATTTTGCAAGTAGTTACGCAGTAGTGAAATCAAATATAGCAAATCATTCTACCAGGCATGCTATTGCTAAGTATATATATATTCTAACTGTTCCTGTTCATTAGAAAATTAAATAAGAGTTAAAAATCAATAAAATAAACGGTATCAGCATTCTGACACATACTTTCTCCCATAGGTTTGTCAACAACCTTTATCATTTGTAAGCGGCGGAAATGGGATTAGTACAATTTTGATCAGAATTTAAAGGACTATAACATACTACTTTTTATCACAATCGTTCGGGCCATTTTTGTGAAAATCTGATTTTCCGTTTTTTATAGGGTTTTTATGGGAAAATAACATAATTTACAATAACTTTTGAACCGTAATTTTTACAGAAATTGGATTTGTACCATTTTGTTCAGAATATAAACGTCTATAGCATACTAAAAATTGTATCAAAATCGTGATGGCCATTTTCGGAAAAATCTTATTTTTCCGTTATTTTATGGGAAAAATCCCCATTAAAAATCAAAATTTCTAAAAAAATTGAAAAAAAAACTATCAAAATGTAAGGACCATAACATACTATGTTAAATAAAACCCGGAATTTCTCCTAAAATCCTATTTTTCGTTATTTTATGGGGAAATAAAATAATTTATAATTACTATAGTTATATACTAATACTAGCTGACCCGGCGAACTTCGTATCGCCTAAGTTATAGGTTTCCCTGAAGACAGATGGAAAGAACAACATGTTGTATGTGTATTATCGCTCAATCACGTCCTGGTTGAAGTTCGTTCGCTACGCTCACTCACCTTTGGGTTGGAGCTCGTTCGCTACGCTCACTCACCTTTAGGTTGGAGCTCGTTCGCTGCGCTCACTTGCCTTCAGGTTAGCTCGTTCGCTACGCTAACTCGCCTCCAGGTTGAAGTTCGTTCGCTACGCTCACTCACCTTTTGGTTGCAAATTAGCTGTTGTCATAAATATAAAAGAAATAATAGTGCTGCACCCTGTTGGTAATCCTTGTAACTTTAATGCTATTGAACATCATAGAACAGAACCAACTTGTTTAATTGAAACAGCTGTTAAGATTCATTAATTCCATTTCTCATAAGGTTAACATGGGAAACTCCAGAGCCACTGGGGCGGAGCCCTTTTAAGAATTTCGAAACGGGAAATAGTTTACGTCCGATTCGCATACCTACAGTATTTACACACCAAATTTAATAACGATCGGTAAAGTCGTTCCGGAGGAGTTTGCAGACAAACACTGTGACACGAGAATTTTATATATTAGATATTATAATAACTTAGTACTAGTAGTACTAAGTAGTAGTAGTGTATTATAATACTTAGTATTATATTATAGTTATAGTTTAATTACTTTTGAACCGTAATTTTCAGAGAAGTGGGATTTGTACCATTTTGTTCAGAATGTAAAGGGCTACAAGATACTAAATTTTTATTAAAAATCGTTCGGGCCATTTTTGAGAAAATTCAATTTTTCCGGTTTTTATGGGAAAATCCCCATTAAAAATCAAAATTTCTAAAAAATGAAAAACGTGCCTGGAGATACCATGGATTAGTACCTACATACCAAATTTCATCGAAATCGGACCACAGGTGTAGTCTCTAGCTCTGTACACATCCAGACACACACACACACACACACACACACACACACACACACACACACACACACACACACACACACACACTTCGAAAACCAACGAATACATCCACTCAAAACTCAAACTCGAAAATTTGGACTCGAAAACAATACTTTCTCCATATACTATGGTATAGGGGAGAAAGTAAAAAACTGGCGTGGGCTCGTGGCCCACTTTCTTGGGTGGCCCGAGGGCAATCTGCCCCCCTCTTGGTGGCCCTGTTTATCACAGAAAAGGGAACAAATTGTTGTTTTCTTCTCTGTTTAAAACTGGATTATTCTTTTGTCACGTCCAAGCTATACGTCGTCTGCTGTGTTTCCCTCCATTTTTGACTGCTGTCCCTCCATTTTGGACTTCTGTTTGTCTGAGTCTGCTTCTTCTGTTCTTCTTCCCCTTTAGTTATTTCTTCTAGTGGAGCAGTCAATGGTGCAGTGTGGTGCTGGTGCAGTGCAGTCGCAGTCGCAGTTTGCAGTTGCAGTTATGCTAAAACTAAACTGAGTGAGTCTCAGTCTGAGCTGAGCTGGTCTGGTCTGACTGAGACTGAGTTAGGGAGTGAGTTGCAGTTGACTGGGACTCGACTCCGGACTCGCTGTCGCTGCCAAATTGGTATTGGTACATCCACTATCCACTCCACTCCACATCGATCAAGCAAGGCAAGACTCAAGAGACCAAGAGCAAGACCAAGCCTCAATAATTAATTATCAGGCCTAATCTAGGTTACTTCAATAAATTTGGTAGGTAGAAACTTTAGTTAAACTTGTTACTCGTAATTTTTAGTCAACAGATTTATTGATTCAGCAGTGTTAGGTATTTTTATAAACAGCTCCTCATAGGCCTAAGAAGACTGGGCATCCTACTTGTAAACAACTTTCTAGGTTAGGCTAGACTATATTATATTTTATCCATTTTTAACCTATGTTTATTTCTTACGTTTTTTGCAGTGTTTTCACCTCAAAGGTCCCAGGTTTATAAACTTAACATAGTTTGTTTTTGCTTTAAGTTATGTTAGTTTTATTAGGCCTAAGTTTGGGTACAGTTTCTTAACTGGGCTACGCTAATATCGATTGAAACTATCGATTCGGTTAGTAAACCGATTGATGTTGCCTTCCTCTTCAAGCTGCTTAACAACCAGATCAGCTGCCCTTTTCTGCACGGAGGATCAACTTGCACGTTCCCAGAAGTACCAGGCATCAACGCTTGTTTGAGCTAGACCATGCGTCGACCAGCTATCTACGCTTCTGCCCCATACCACGTCTGATGCGCTCCGGGAACGAGATCTGTTCGTCGGTCGACCTTTTCGCTTCCAGTTTGGAGGCTGTTAGGCGATTGGCAGCAGAGGAACGTGACGCTCTATAACATTTCACTGTTGGTGCTGTTTTTGATCTTGTTGCATCTCAAATCATTATTATTGTTGTTCATTTAATGCTTTATTATTGTTATTCATTTCATTATTTATTATTGTTACTAGTTTAATTTCTACTAGTCTACTGTTATTCCTTTCATTGTTTATCGTTGTTAATGCCTAGCACAAAACACAAACATTCACTGTTGTAGCTTTCAATCTTTATCTTTGTAAATTGGTGTATTGCTGTTGGTAAATTCAAAATCTAGGCCTAAATCAAAATCTAAACCTTCATGCGATTTTTTCACCATCAGCAAGTTTGGTTGGTTGTTTAAGGTTATGATAATTTAATTCTATAATTATTATCAATAATTCTCAATTCGATAGTTTCAATCGATATTAGCGTAGCCCAGTTAAGAAACTGTACCCCTAAGTTTAAACTTCTAGTCGGTTTAGTTTATAATAGGCTAATGATAAAACAAGATACTGTACCATTTACAAAATTTGAGTTTTCTAAACTCACAAAAAAAGAGAGCACGACTAAAATTGAGGTCTTTGTAGATGTATTCTTACCAAAAATTACACAACACCCTAAGTTAGACTTTCATTTTAATAAATCTTTATTAACATGTTTAACTTAGGCCCCTACTATATTTGTTGTTGTAAGTTAAACAAAAATAACTTATATAAGCACAACTTTACCGCCACAGCACAGTGTGAAAGATCTTCTTCTCAAGAGACTAACTTATACTCAACTTACTCTACCTTAAATTTTTCTAGACCATGAAGGAGGAGCGGGAAGAAAGCGATGGAGAAGAGATGGAGCAAGAGTCAGGGGACTCTGACAAATCATCGTCCTCCTGTGACAGCAGTGATACTGATACTGATGACAGTTCTGGTAAGTAACTTGAGGGAAACCCAGCAAACACCTATTTTGTATCTCGACAATTCATATCTTGGCCTTGTGTTGTTAAGATTTGCTACATGGAGTACCTAGAAATACAACACAGGTATCATATTGGAGTCAAAATCCAATTTTGGGCACTAGGTTGGGCATTGGTGTGTGGCAACGTCGCAACATCATGCCTATTGCCATGGTAACAACAGAGATAACAAAAGTGTAAACATAAACAGGTTGTATTCTGCCGATTATAAATAATTAGTGCTGTGTCGGTTTAACGGTGTAGCGATGTTGCCACTTTTTTCTCACTGCTCCACTGCCTTGTATTAGAGAAGGCAATGACAATACAGATTAGATCTTGTACATGTTATAATTGCAGGTATGAACCCAGTAGGCGACAAGAGCAGCACTGCATAGCTGTTTTCATATAAATGTACGTTGCTTTTTTGAAATACCTACCTTACCTACAAGATTACTTAAAGCATTAATAAGAAACATGAAGGGCTTGGGGTTGTCGATTGCAACATTTATGACCCTTGCTCCATAAATTGTTAGTTCAATAGCAATTATTTTTTGACAAAAGTGGTCTACCTACACTTAATTAACAATCGTAATGAGCTTTATTAAAAGCTAGTCTAGAATAAATATTAAATGTTAAAAGACTTAACATACGATAATAATACAACTTAATAATATTAATAATATTATAATATGATAATATTAATAATAATAATACGATAATAACATACGACTTAATAATACGATTTTGAGAGATATATAAAACAGCCGTCTTGTCGTAATGGAACTACAGGTTTTTGCCTCACTCTAAGAGACCCGGATTTGCAGGTCAAATTGTCGCAGCTGAACAACCACCATAGGGCCAAGTTTACGGTAGATTAGATTTTGAAAATCGATGACTTGGTTTTTTTTTAAATTACTTGCTACATTTTTTTATGAATTCAGGTTAGTTCAGTGATTTGTGATAAATTTGTACTTTAATTGAAGTAGGCCTATTGTAATATGATCTCTAAAAATGGAAGGTATCAACTGAACCTTTGAAGGCCGGTAGGAAACATTCGACCAACCACTCTAGAAGTGTTTGAGGAGATTTTATTAATTTCTGGAATAAATAACCTCTTTAATTTGTCACAGGATATTTCAGTGCAATAGGCCTATTCACTCTTGTCTTGATATTAACACTGTGTATCTAAATCTATGGTTTTAAATTTGTATTCAGTGGTTTTGAAGAAATACATTGTAAATATTCTCACATGTGAATTTGTATTTAACTTGAATTTCTGTGTTTTAAAACAGGACTTGTTGATTTGATAAACTCATTTTCTCGGGATTACATAGATTTCCCTCAGCAAAGATAGAAAATAAAATATAAGTTAGGCCTTAACTACAATTATTTAGTATTGCTTGTGTTAAATTTGCATTATGTTTTATTCCGATAAAAATGCCTTTGAAAACTAAAGAAGTTTAACCCTTTCAGTGCTATGAAACGATATATCGTTGTTTTAAAAAATCTCTAAGGGATATAGAAAGGAAGGTTATTTTAACAAAAAGTAGTAAAACGGCCATTGGTGACCATGTTCATAGGATACACTAACAACCATATCCGATGATTTCGAGGTGTATGTCTAAACCAAGGATTATGAACACCTCACTATGCCCCAGTGGTTGTAGTATATCGCTACAAACACACAGGTCACTAATTATTTGCCACACAGGACGGGAATCGAACCCGAGCAGACGAATGCCACTGGCCAAGTGACACACACCCTTAGCCTTCTCGGCTATCTGTGCTTGAAGACTGGGGAGTCAAAAACCGGTATTTAAGCTGACACCACCGATTGCGAACAGATAGCGCTACAGATGGTTGTTCAATGTGTTACTAGGTAGCAGCACTAGTTAGTCACGGACTATTTAGATGATATTTATCAGTTGAAACGCGTTAGTGATCATAAATGTGTTCCTGAGACTTTGCTGCAAAACATTATTTTTCCTAAAATAGCTATATTACGATAACCTCGTCGAACTAAAAGTTAAATTCAATATTATATTGTAAACTATTAAATGTCTTTTGATTTTATGAGATTTTGATTTCAAACAATGCTATCAGAACATAAAAATTTATAGGAAAACCAGGAACATTACAACAAAAACTAAGTTTTATTTAATGTTTACTACAAATACCGGGATTTATCTTTGTTATATATTTTCTTATTGTCTTATTATTCAAAATTAGCCTAATTAATAAAATAGTGACAACATTACAGTTAAATTTCAACAACAAGTAATGAAATTGAAAGGCAAACAAAAAAGTATTACGAAATACGAATTATTGGCCTATTACTGAAAGGGTTAAAGGACTTAATACAATTAATTTTACTACTATTGTAAGTAACCATAATTATTACTGTTGTCTTCAGTTAGGAAAAGAAATAAAACACATGCAAGGTAGGTACAAATATCAATCTAAGTTTCTCCTCTCATCCTATCACCTTTATAATAGCCTACTGTACTGTTTCAGTCTCGTTTTAGTTCATAACTTATACAAATGTAAAACTTTTTATCGTTTTGATTTTAAACAGAAATGGACGAAGCAGAATGTGAAAGACGTCGGGTGGAATGTATTGAAAATCTGGCCGATCTCGAACGGCAGTTTTCTTGTTTGAAAGAACAGTAAGTAGTGTTGAAAGTTTTATTTATGCTTGATTGATTGCACAGACATGGACATTGGAGAATGCGAGAGGCGTAGGGCAGAATGTATCCAGACTCTCGCGGAAACCGAAAGACAGATAAAGCAATTGACCGAACAGTAAGTACGGTAGTTAGGACCAGAAAGCTCGCATTGACCATGTTGATGGTACGCAGTAGATTGCCTATTTCTGTGCAATGCTGTGTTATTTAGCATGTTTTATTGTAATTAGATAGCCTAGGCCTACTTGGTGTATGAGTAACCTGTACAATCGTTGAAATGTATTTGGGGACTTATTGTTTTGTTGTAAAGAATAGTTTTTTTCAAAATATCCAAAGCTATATAAGAGCTTTTTAGATTATTTTCTTTATTTTGTAAAAATGGCTTTCTGAAATGGTTTATAAGAATTTTTTGGTTAGTACGTAGCTCATCTTGCTATGAAAATAGATGGGTTTCTCATCAAGGTAAACCTCCATGATTACATCTAGGCCTATCCAATACAAAATCCTTAAGAGCTTAGGTTCCCCTACAACTTGTTTCAACATTGTAAAGGTAACTCGATTCTTGTAAATTTATAATTTCTTTTTATTTGAGGTGTTTCTAAATTAAATTTGATGTGTTTCTAAATTAAATTTGATGTAAAAATGAGACATGTAACAACCAGGCCCATAATCTTTTGTACAATTTTTCTGTGTAGGCCCTACCAGTGTTTGTAGGGTCAAGTGTTTCTCAGTGGATTAAACATATGGTAGGACCTTTTTTTTTAATTATTACATGGTTGCTACAGTATTTGAGAAGTTCAAAGTGGTTCATAAAAATCTAGCAATCCAAATGGGCCTACAGTAGGCCTACTAAATTAGAAAATTATTAAACTTGGCCAGGCAAACTAAGCCCTTAGCTTCCACAAAATTCTCTGCAACTTTCCACACAACAGTATGCCTTATAAAAACAACTATTCCACTGCATTTTTTAGCGAAATAGTGTACTGTTATTCAGTTTGGTCAACCACTGATTTTTATACTAGCCCTATAATAAATATCTAGCATTTATATTGCTTGGACAGAAACAAGTAGTTGTAATGCATGGAACACACAATGACATTTTTTTCCCTCTGAAATTTGTTTGATACTTGATTATAAAGTCCAATGAGATAGTGTTACTAGATAAAATCCTCAACACAATTTTTCCTTCCAGTCACATACCCCAAAAAATATTCCAAGGTGGCCAATTAAGAGTTTAATCATACTCTCTGACACATTTTCCCACATTTTTGTATAAAATAATAAAATGCATTCAGTCTTTTAAACCGTACAAACACAGGTTGTACAGAGAGCGGATCACGCAAGTAGAAACCAAACTGAATGAGGTGAAGATGGGTCGCGCGGCTGAGTATCTCGTCCCTCTAGAAGAGTTGCAGGAGAACCACAGCATCCGCATAGAAGTGGCCGGCATCTTGCGGCAATACAAGTTGGCCAACATACGCAACAACTTTGAGGCTGAGGAGCAAGCGGCCAACCAGAACCTTCATGTGAGTTTGTGGTGTTGTAAGCAGTAGATATTTCATTCCTATGTCAAAGCCTAAACCAGTTTTAGAATTGAATGAACATAGTTGAGTTGAGCCACCTACAGTGCAGGTTATGCTGATCAGCTGTTAGCTATCAAACTGAAAGGTAAACTTATTGTAAACTATAGCATCTTTAATGTTACACAAACTGGTACAGTAACTAAGGGGGAAAATAAAATTTTGACTGTTAGTCTAGGAGCTAGGCCATGTCCTGTGTGCACAAATGTCCCCCCAGATGATGCTTGATGGCAAATCTGAGGGTGCATATACCTTTAATTTAAGACCAAAATTATGAAAATCGGTCGGGTAGAAGAGCCAAACGGACTCGGAAAATAAAAAGCAAATTTTACTCCCATAAAAAATGTACTGGGAGGAAGTTGCTTTTGTGCATACAGTAGACTCCCTCTTATCGGTTTAACCGGACTACACTCGGCGGAAATGACATCTCTTTAACTGGACAATTTTTATCAGCACATTGGTATCCGGACTAGATCGGCAGGAAGTGGGCGGTACTGAAATGGCATTTCTCGTGGGAAAGATTTGAGGCCAGTGATCTCATGTCTAAATACAATGATCTCCTAAATTTAAGTCGAATATCTCAGTAGGCCTAAATGGTTTGTTTTAACGAGTTTTTGGGGACGTCGGTTTAACCGGAAAACCCGTTATCCGAACTGGACTCGGTCCCAAGGAGTCCGGATAAGATGGAGTCTAGTGTAACTCAAAATATACGTTAGACAAATGAATGCCAGTGCTTCATAGCAAATCTGTGCGTGCATACCTTTAATTTATGACCAAGTTGATGAAAATCGGTCGGGTAGAAGAGCTAAACTGACTCAGAAAAGAAAAACAAATATTTTTTTAATATATAGATTTGAAATGTTAATGTCTTAAAATCGGACCACTGGGTACGGAGATACGACCATGACGGCCAAACGACCATGATCTGGACCACGTGACCAGTTGTTTTTTTACCTCATTTAGGTGTTAAATAAAGCCCCGCAACAAAACTTATGTAGGGTACATATAAGTGCACAGGGAACATGGCCTAGCGCCTAGACCTTGTAGCACACACTGTAATTTGCTTATTCAACTATGTTATATTTTTATTTTAATGAAAAAATGGCTACAGCTCTTCATTGGAGCCTACTTCAGTTTCCACAAGTCAATGGTTCAATCTAGTTACTCAAAGGAAAGCAGCTTGAGGTAAATGTTACAAAAAAATAGTTGAAGTATTTAATGTTTTCCCCCAAATATTATGACATACCAATGCAATGCTTTGTTGCTTTGCATAAGTTACAGTTCTACCTTATAAGAACCTTAATTCTGGGCTCAGTGCCCTATTTTGATATCAAAATACAAGGACGTAATTCAGAAACCTTTTTACATACACTACAGACCAAGTCTTTATTCCAAATTTTTGAACTCGAACAACACTTGTTGTCAGAAAAAATAGAGTTGAGTTACAATTATATTTCCTTGGTAATTTCCAGAGTGAGAAGACACTAGCAATGGACTTTCTGAAGGATGATATAGAAGAGAAGATTCGAATGCTAGAAGAGGACCGTAACAGTGTAGACATTACTGCAGACCTATGGGCGTACGAGAGGTCTAGAAACAGACGTATGTGGAGTCAACCTTCACATCTGCCTGAAGACTCAGACAGGTATATAACACAGAAAAAGACCTCAAGTTTAAACCTCAGCTACATGCAGGGTCACAATCAAGATTAGACGTTTTTCACCTGTTTAGACCTGTTTAGAGTCCCTTCTCTCTCTTGATGAAAAAACTCTTATGAAATATGCCTTATGTAGTGGTAACAAAATAAATAAAAAAAATAATTTGACTTATTTAATTTAATAACAACCTTTCAAGGCAAATATAGTAAGGACTTTCTTTTGAAGAAGGGCACACACAGTAGATAACGAGACAGAAGTTGTGGTAAGATTTTGGAACATAATTACTGTAAGCACCAACTGCAACTAGCCTGAAATATTTGTTTCAGCCTTGTTCGACGTAAGCCTACAGTGGTGTCAGGTCCATACATCGTATACATGCTGCAAGATGCGGACATTCTAGAGGATTGGGCTGTGATCAAGAAAGCCGTAACTGTTTGTAAGCGGAAGACTGACTGTAAGTACTGTCCTTTTATAATTTAAAATTATTTTAGTTACCTATTATTTTGTAGTGTACCAAATTTTGACTTGTTTAGATTGTCAATTTATGCTTATTTTGTTTTTTTAGTTTCAGTCATAGAAGGAACCTATAATTTGTGATTTGTTGAAGATTTTAACCCTTAATATCATAGCAATTAATAACTTTTAAGAAATCAGTTTTACTTTTGCACCTAAAAAGAATTGTTGTTAGGGTTTAATTTTAATCCTGTTTTTCGCTGTTTGGTAGGAAGGCTATTGGGAAAGTAATTGACAGTTTTTATTGGTTAAATTAGCATGGACATTGCAGAAAGCAGCATACATTAAATAATATTTCCCTGTGTTTATAAAATAGTTTTCATAATTACAGTAATGTAGGTACCAAAAATAACTAATTACAAAAAACATTGTTTTATTTCATTTTACTGTATTCTAGAACTGTATTTTTAATACTGAAGGCCTAATCATTTGTCTATTAGACATTTCTACGTTTTGTTTGAAAATGCAAACAAATCGGTAATCTGAACTAACTACGGTCCCAATCGGTTCGAATTTTTGAAGCTCTACTGTAACATCATTCCTCTGACATGGACTTTAATTCAAGCAATTAATTGATATGATAGACCTGTGCAAGCTTATAAGAAGGTCCTAGGTGAAATTAACTCTGCTTCAGTGGGTGCTTAACAGCAATGTTGTTACAGTATTGTAATTGTAATAGTTGATATCGTGTTACAGTGAATTAGATCTTCATGATCAAAATATTTTAATAACTTTGTGTATCTACAACTGTGTGAAATTGTTCAGTTGAGGTATGTTTTTTAGGGTCAGATGGAATTTCTAGCAAAAAGGAAACGTTTAGACCAAAATACCAAAAAGATCTAAAATTCCAAAAAGATTCCAAATACCCAAAAGAGCGCAAACTCCATTTTCCAGTAAAGCCGGGACAAAAATTAAAGTTATGGTAGTTGATTCCATCGACCGAGGTGAGTGTTTTTGTCTTTTTTACAAAACCGCATGGGGTTGTGCTGTAGATTTTCATCCGCAACCAACAGCTGTTGACTTCTTTTCTGTCTGTATTTGTTTTATTGAATTACATTCTGTGTAGGTAGGCATATTTATTTTGATTGCATGAGAAAAAAATTAAGAGGGTGCAAAATGTATCTATGTATTCAGTAGTCTTTTATCCGTGTGGTGTTCATAGATATATAGTTTTGTTCGTAATCTTACTTTTTTATCTTCTTTCACAAGTTATTTCTTTATAATTTATTTGATGCTTTTTATTCTCATGGTGTGTATTTCTGAAGCAGTGTTGTGATCTTTATTCAAAAGCTAGTTTTCAAGGTGTAGTTGTAGCTAAGCAAAGTAGTTTGTTTATGTTATTGTAATAGTTAAATGTTGTATGTGTAGTATTGTTTATTATGTGTTGATTTTGATGTTTTGTACGTCTGTGATAGCTTTTAACCTTACGTCTACCTACTTCTTTGCTACCTACGTGTAACTCTTTCTTAGATTTTTCTATACTTTCATCTTGACAGTAATTATTTAAATATTCTACTAATCTTATTGGACGATGGACAATCTATTCATTCATTAGCTCTCACCAGTGATCCATCTTTTGGTCTCAGGAGACCTTTATCAAACCAATTGTAGCCAAATCTTTAATTTCTTTACCATAAAAGTCGTCCAGGCTATCTATATAAAAAATACATAAACTTAGTTTTAGATTCAATCAATCAGATATACTTTATTCGTTTAAGTTTAGACATGTTTTGAGTAGTGTCATTAAACTAACTTAAATAAAAATTATAAACCTAATATTAATAATCATTCATTACAAAGAATTTATATCGTGTAATGCTAAAAATAAGTTCTATAACTTTAAAAAATCAGAAAATTCTAAGGTTACATTAGAGTAAACTAGGTAGTATCTGGAATTCAAATGAACGTTTCTGGATTACATTCCAAAAATTCTTTGATAAAATAAAATAGGTTTCTTGTAAATAAGTCTTTTAGTTTCAAACTTTTGAATCTGTTTGTGTTATTTTAGATTTTTTTGTGAAATAGGTAAATTTTGAAGAAATAAGCTCAAACCAACTCACTGTTTTCGTTTTACAGTTTTTTGAATTAAGCTTGTTAAGCTGTTTTAAAGTTACTAAGCTTAAAGCAATTAATTATATATTTTTAAATCAGTGTATTATTCCAAAACAAACAAAAACCTTGTCCAATACCAGGCAGTTTTATTGTTTCATGTAGCTTTGAGTAGTTGCAGCATTAGCTTTGAGCTATTTTTATAAGTTATGTGATGTGACTTAAAATCTTGAAATTTTAAAACTACAGGAATATTTAATACTTTTTAGATGAAATTTTAAAATACATTCGGTTTAAATGCATGAGAAATAAGATATAGAATTGATAGTTTTTGTTGTTGTGTTTTGCAAGTTTTATGTATAATTATGATGTCGATGTTGTGTAAAATGTATAAAAAAGAGTTAAGGGAGTTAAGTAGTTAATGAATTCAGAAAAGGAGTGTTGTAAGATAGGAACCATGTACCATCTAGTCACAGTGGATTGGTCATTGTAGAACCGGAAATAACCAACAAAAACAAAAGTCCTTTCTTTGTTTGAAATTCATTGTTGGTGATGGTGAGTTAATGTGGTTCAAAGGTTTATTGCGGACATTTTCCATCACGATGGTAAAAAACAATACACAACGTATCAGGATCTGCAATCTGATCCCGTCTTCAGGTGAAAAAAACTAACACATTACAACTAACCATACACAAACGCCCAACCTAAGTTGGAATACACTACAGAAGGTAGCAGTCAAAAAATATACACTGTATTACAGTTAAGTCATGATACAACATACAAATTGTTTTTTTTTTTTTTTTTTTTTGTGATTGTTTTTTTTTTTTTTACTGCTACCTTCTGTAGTGTATTCCAACTTAGGTTGGGCGTTTGTGTATTGTTAGTTGTAATGTGTTAGTTAAGTTTTTTTTTCACCTGAAGACGGGATCAGATTCCAGATCCCGAAACGTTGTGTATTGTTTTTTACCATCGTGATGGAAAATGTCCGTAATAGACCTTTGAACAACAAAAACAAAAGTATTTAAGAACTTATTATTAATTTAAAAAATTATAAAACATCAACACAGACATTCTAGTATTTTTTCTAGTATTTTTCTAGTATTTCTAGTATTTGGACTAGAAGTGGAACATATAAATTCCGCTAAGTGAATATGTATTAACAACGCTAAAACATTATCGAAAATGCTTGCAATGTGGTAATGACAGATTCTCCGTGTCAAATAAACATAACTTATAATAACTCGAGAAAACTACAAGTGTAACAATGCGAATTATGTACTTTTTTCAATTTATTTTCTGTGTTTTTTTCACCCTTTCCATCTCTTTAACCGCAAAGTCGAAGTTAAACATTACTGATTTTTATTTGCTGAATAGACCCTATCTGTCAAATTAAAAAATTGGGTTTCTTTTGTGTTTTATCATTGATTGAATTCTTTTACATTTTTCTGAACATCGCTCCTTCTAAAAATTTTCCCTAATAGCTTGTAACCTCTTCACTAAACTTTCTGATGATTATTTCTTTCTTTTTCAGCTGAACTATGACGGCTTTTTACTCTAAGAGTTGGAATCTACCTCATCTTTATCTCAGTGTTCCCACGAGGAATACGCAAGCTTTCTGTGATATGCTCAGTGTATTTTCAAAACCTTTTGATAAGGTTGGTTAGTTTAGTTCATATAGATCTAAAGTTCACAAGAACTGAATGAAGAAACTGTGTTTCAAAATGAATATTGTGGTTTTAACAAGGGGGATATTGATAAGAGTGATTGTTTATAACACATAATACTACCTAAATAGAATTCCGTTTGAAATGGCACACTAATAAAAAGAGTAACTCAAACAGTTTTTTTCTAAAGGATACGATTGTTAAATGCGAATTCCATTTGGCATGGGGGATTTACCTACACTTTTTAATGAGAGTAGTTTACATAATAAAATGGCATTTATCCTAGCTTTCATAAGTTTGTTCGTATGCATGATCCCTTTTGAAAGAATTCTCCAGTTGACCTGTAATTTGGGTAAAACATGTAAACCAATTTTTATTTTAATGTGTTTCCGAACCAGTTTGATCCAATTGAATTGGTTTTTATTTCTAACTAAAGTCGTTAAAACAGCATGTTTTACTATATATTAGCTTATAAAGACAAATACTTTAGTATATTATATTTTTATTCAATGCCTGTTGTTTACTGAGATATGGAAAATGTGTTGAAACACAGTATGTCTTTTTTCATAGCTATATTATCCTTATAGCTAAGGAGGAGCCTATTTACCATATGGTTTTGAATGAACCAATGAGAACCATGCGGAATTTCCAAATCTAATAATACCAGCTGATTTGAAAATATTGCTTAGTATACTTAAATTAGTGTCAACGGACGATGTGGCAACGTTGCACTAGCCTTGTCTTGTGATTGGCTGTCACCAACTGCAAACTTACGTGGTCCCGACTTTAGTGTACCTGTTGCTTGGAATCGAGCAATTGTCAAGTACCGGTATTATACAGGAGTTATTTTAAAACTACAGAAATAACAGTCATAATTATCGATGAGTTTAAAAGATCCTACTTAATGCTATAGCAAAAATAAATCTTTCTCCCAAAAAATGTAAAAAACCAAACTTAAATATTTTACAAATAAAGATTAAAGCTTATGTAACTACAGTAATTGAAATACTCACGCTATTTAATAGCGCTTTGAAATAATAAACGCTTCTTGTAAAAATAAAATATTTTATCATTTTTAGAAGCGGGCCTTATTTTTTTTAGTGTTTTCTACAAATGTTTCTTGATTTAAAGCTTTTACCAGTAAACATTTCTTGCATGTATTTATTTGATCCGACATTAGGTATGTTTACTTTACCACTGTGACAACATGATATGAATATTCCTCATTGTTTTTTTATTAATTCCAAAATAAGTTGCATAGCATAACTGGCAAAAATTATTCATCTCCCCAAGTGATTGTGTACCTGTGTATTCCTTACTGTGAGACCAGGCATCTCTTCTACTCTTCTCATAAGTATAAGATGTCCTTTTAATTTTCTCCTCCTCCTGTTTTCAATATTTCCCCTTTAAACTCAAGAAATTTTCTGTTCTTCCGACAAAACTGATTAACTGTTTAGAATTTGTCTATAACCATTGACTATTGGATACTATATCAATATTGGATGTTGTATCAATAGTCAAATGTATAACCTCCTAAATAAGACAAACATCAATATTTACTCCCATAAAGCTGGTGAGTTCTTTTTATATGCAGTTGATTTTTGTTTTTAAATTTGTTCAATGTAATTCTTATGGGGGAATCGCGACCTTTGAAAGCGCCTCGTGGTCTTAAGAGTAAGAGTTTTTAAAACCTTAATGTAAAACTACGAATTATTTGACACCTCAAAAGTTGGTTCAAAAATAACGGAGGAGTTTTGTTCACAAAAAACAGCCCTCACGTATTAATATAAGAGATGCCCTATTGCTCGTTTACAGATATATCATCCTAACATTTTACTATATTCTTTTTTTCTAATGTAACATTCTGACATACACTCTGGAATAATCAGCACTGTGCCTGTTTCAAATGTTGTGATTATTATGATTTTGACTCAATACAGATTGCACGGGAAATTTAAGTGCAATTAGGAAAGAAAACGCCATTTATAACCCCATGGCATACAAAATTTTTACCTAATAAAATGGTACATGTGGGCAAATAAGAAACTTTAAACAAGGAATTGTTGAATATGTCATATTGTAAATAAATTTTGTACATTATTCTATACTCTTTTTATATACCTATCTCCTCCATTTTGTAAAGATTGGTTGTACTGTACTTATCTAGCTTTTAATCAAATTGTTTTCTCCTCAGGCTTAATAAACAGACAACAAAAGATTATGGTTTACTAAAAAAAGTTGAGGCACTATTTACCCCCTGGGTTACTTCATTAACGATCCCCTGCAGATCTAATGTGAAATAACAATAACTCCCACATTTTCACCTTGAAGTTGAAGGATTCAAGGTTATAGTGTTTATGGCCAATCTGTCTTTATTTTACCATCAGAAGCTTCATGATTACCATGAGGTTGAAAGAGTTCATCATTTGGAGCTTTTGTAGAGAATCATTTTTATAGAACATTATGTAGTAAACTGTATTGCCAATGAATAAATTAAATTAATTAGATTTACTAAACATTTTTTTTTATGTTTAGCATCAGCCAAATCTAAAGAAACTTTAAAAGCTCAGGTTTTTTAGTCCTAAGTTGGTATCATAACAACAAAGACTTACTTTTTCACCACACTATAATGTTTAAGCTGTTTTACAAAATGTTAATTGGAGGCTGAAAGCTATGTATTGCTGTCTATGTCAGCTGTCATCGTCATTTGAGGACTAATTGTCAACCTGCTTAGCAATTATTTATTATAATTTTTACTGATTCCTCTGAATATTTCTTCACATAACCTTATAGTTGCTATTGTGTTGACTGACAGTGTGCAAATTGTATATATTTGATCAATTTTGTAGTGTGGTGAAAAATAGTGTTTGTACCACAGGTTGAAAGGGTTTTGTAGCTCTCGATCATTTTAAGTTCTCGACTTTGCCTCGAACTTAAAAAATTATCTCAAGCCAGCAAAATTTGTTTTTGGCCCTAAGTACGAAATATACTATTGTGCTTCATGTGTGATAGCTTTGAATCACACAAACTGATAAAGACATTATTATGAGGAGATGTAGACATCTCTTTCCATGCTAAAGTTGTATCCAGTTTTAGCATGAAATTCAATGGGGATTAAATCAACTATCCCGTATTCTAAATTTAATTATTCTCCAAGACTGCAACCACACTTTGATGCTGAATAGTGATCTGTATTGCTTTGTTACTGACTAAGATCAGCTGTTCCATTAGTCAGGATCATTTATTAAAATCCTGATTGATTATCAAGTACAGCTGGGCCCAGTTTCAAACCATAAAAAAGCTACTGACTTTACTCAGGACTAATGATCAGTAGGTTGTTGGCTGACCCACCGACTTAGTGAACTGCCATAAAATAATGACTTCTGTTGAATACCTAACTGAGGCAAACTGAAGGACAACTAACTGTTATCTTGTCACAGTAACAAAAAATAAGGCTGGAAATTCCATTCTAGACAGTAGGATATTCTGTGATAGCCTCATTCATTTATATAAACTTTATAAATAACAATTTGACTTCAATTGGTCCATGTAAATGGTAGTCAATGATGTGTTTCAACTTAAATTTTCTCCATCTAGTATGCCTACCTCAGTAACGACTCTTGGTCACTACTTAGATCAGTTCCCGTGTCACATCGGCTTCAGTTCTTGCGCCAGTTCTTCAGTGAGGACCACGGAAGGCCGATTCTATTGTCCGCTGTTGGTCGCGCTCTGTTTTGCCCATCTTCTACATGGGAACGTGGAACCATCTCGTGACCATGAAAATTCAGATGCAAGAACTGAAGAACTACAATGGACGATAAGGAAAACAAAGAGTTAAAGTAAAATAGTATTTGTTTTGAATTTTGCTTATGTTGTGGATCAGAGTGCCAATCTAGCAGTCAGGATCAATGGTCAATGGGTGATAATTTAGTGACAAAGATTTGAGTGTAATAATTTTGTAATTTATAGTTTTACCAATGTTATTTCTTGATTAAGATTCTACTTGGCTTGGCTTAGTGCCTTAAGATCCTTAAATATGCATTTGTGAAAATGTGACACAGGAGAGGAGTATAAGAGTATACATTTATTCGCAGACATCCAGAAGATCCCAACTACATCATAAACCTTGTATTTTTTTTTAAATTAAACCAAATTTATAAACAGTACTTTAAAGAGTTATTAATTGTCTCAATTCTTTTGAGGACTTGATTAATTCAAATGTATAGGCATATCAATTTAATTTGTTTTACTCAAGGCTGTAAATTGGGTATCAAAATTACCCTATTCAATGTAAGTTACTGTACATAACATGTATTTCATGAATAAAGTATTGTTTGATTTGAATAAGGGGCCATAACCCATTTAACATAACCACTCAAACACTTATTTAAATAAGTCTGTGATGAGTGTTGAAATATTTCAGCCAATAATGAAAATCTCAAATCACATTTTTTTCAAATCTTGTCAAACCAAACCAATATCAATAATTTAAGATGGGGACGCCCTATGTGCATTTTAACACATTAGCTACCAACTATACTTATCCCTCAGTTACAGAGGAGTGTGACAGTCGGTAGGGAACTAGGGACCGATAAATATGAGTGTGGGATGAGTGGCGTGATCTTGTAGTCTCGTTAGTGACTAAGGCTGACTTGAAGGCTTAGACACAGCTGTTAATTAACAGCCCATACAGCCAATGGCAACCAAGGGGCAGTTTATACAGTAGTGGAATCCGAACCACATGTTTTCCTTGTAATTGAGCCATGCGAATACTTATGAAGTTAAAACTACAGCTATAATAGCCTATAAAAATAACTGTAACTGATTTTCTTCGTTAAAATGGAAAACTGTTCTGCCTTTGACTCGACTGTTCAGGTTTACTGTTAGTGACGTAATATGTAAATGGCAATAGATGATTAAGGGTGCGCTTTACCCCTGACGCGCAACCGAATGCAAGGGTTTGCAAGATTTCTGTTTTCACCTGCTACATTGAAGGTAGAATCAAAGTTAAGGTCTCATATTAAAGAGGATGAAATTTTCTATAGTTCTTTGTTTCTATATTTCAATTATTTTAAATACACATCTTATAATCTTGAGTTGTAGTACAAGAAAAAAGGGTCTTTTCAACTAGCCTTAACTTATTAAAAAAAACGTTTTTTGAACATTTGAAAAACGCAGAACTATAGATTGGTCTTTGTACTACTATAAGCCGTTTAGACTGCCTAGCTATCATTATTTGTTAACTCTAAAACAGTAATCTTGGAAACGTCTGCAAGCGCTTCTCGCAGCGCTGTCCAATATGGTGAAAAATAGCTACTGAAGCCCGAGCTGAGATTTCCGAGCTGAGGTAAAGTGCACCCTTAATTTATATCCATTACAAAACTGATATTTTAGGAGGATGAGTAGTTTGACCGCTACTTACTCAAGAAACCAAAACAATATAGTCTTTAAGAACGAACAGACTGGGCTCTTCCTTATCTAAGTCAACTCTGTCCATCCTCGAACACGTAAATAAATAATATTCCATATTGCCTATTTCATTTTGAAAGCTTACTTACCTCAAATCACAACCTGACTCGTTAGGTACCTAACATAAAAGTTACAGTTCTCTTGTTTCAATTTTGTCTCGTCTCTTCTCTCGCTCAGGCCTCGTTTCCCTCGCCATAGTGACGTCACGGTTCTGTTTCTCCGCGCCGCTTCAGTCACTGGCCGGCTGGCGGCTACCAAGGTGGCCGGTGGCAGTGGTGTCTGTCCGTGTGTCCGTCGATTTCGGTTTTTGTGATTTTAAAAGACGCAGGAAAATAAACAAACGTAAGTAATTGTAATTTTTCTGTAGTATGGAGTTATAAAATATCCGTCTTGTAACGTAGATTTTATGATTAAGCTACCGTATGATTTCAATGTATTTATTTTTTAAACAATAAATATTTAGCATTTGATTTTTTAAATTGATTTTTGTGATTGCAGAGTAGGAGGAATATTGTTGACACAGTTAATGATTGTGATTTGTCTTTAGTGAAGAGGTTTAAAATTTTTTAACGTTTGTACTGTTATGTTGTGCAATTTGAAAACGTAGGCCTAATTCTAATAATATAGTGTGAATAAAATCAATGATTACAGTTTTTGTTGTTTGACTGCGGTTAAACCTTAAACGATTCTTTAAACTCGAAATACATACAAAATTATGTAAATTTGATTGGTTTTCGTACATTTAGTTGGTTATCGTTCAAAACGTCTTTCAACCTTTTCCCACAAGCACTTTTTTAATTCATATATTTTTAGCTTGTTTGGATTAGAATGCAAATTATAAATTTGAACAACGGTCTAGCTGACGCACGAGTGAACTTAATGCCCTTAACTTGTTTATATGAATAAACTCCACAGTTTTTATTTACCCGCTTGCTCTTAATAACTTACCTGTAAGATGTTAAAAGTCTCAACTTGCTTTGAATAAGCTACGACTCAATTAGTCAGTTCACCTTGCGTAAGAAATATAAAATGAATCCAATTTAATCTTCAGACAACAAATCAAACTAACCAGTAAAAACATTTTTATTTTTAAATGCAGGTCCTAATTAGCAGCCTATGTGATTATCCAGAATCCAAGAATTAATACTGAAAGTAAAAGTTGAATCCTGGATATTTATCACAAGAGCTGCTAAATTAGACCCTGCATTAAAAAATAAAACGTATTATTGGTTGGGTGAAAAATTTTTCTTAAGGCTTTTGATAGAGCTTAAGTCGTGTTAAAATTGGTTTACAAATCATTATGAAAATGAATAAGTGTTAGCCTGGCGTTATTTCTGCGATTTGTTTTATAAAAACTAATGACAATGTTATTGGTAACTTATTTATTGTAATTTTTTCCGATATTACATTCACTATCCCTGCCGCACCTTAATATGAAAATCATTTAAAAAATTTCTAATCTGATTTAATTTAAAACTTATATTTTAAAATAATTTTTTTTTAATGTAATCTTTAAAAAAAAAATAGTGCCGATGTTATCACTATATTGGATATTTAAATCCAAAATATCCAAGATGTTATCATTTTGCCAAAGGCAATGTACGAGGTCAATACTGTACGTACGAATGTGAGTGAACATTAAAAACAATGGGAAAACTTTGACTACACCATTGCCTTTCTGACACGCACCTTCCCAAGGCATAAATGAATATTTTAGTAAAGTACCATCGACTTGATAGTCAATAGTCAATTTCTTCATCAAGATTCTCATACAAATATATGCTATTGATAATATATAAATATATGTCAGCTATAAGTTGTATTATAAATCCTACAAACTAACAAACAAAAACATATTTATATTGCTTAATCGCAGTGATATGACATTTGTTAAGTCTTGGCACTTAAATAATTCAACATTTTAATAAGGCAATAAATCTGACAATAATTGTAAGGAAATATTTTAGTGGAAATCCAAATAGGTAAGTAGAAATTTTCTTAGTCTGTAGGTTTGCTGCGGTGGTATTTTTAGTAGTTATTTAACGTAATACGTGTACGCTTGAAAATGGCAACACAGATACTACTACTACGATCAGCTGGTGCAGTGTTTCCTTCTCTCATGTGCAGCAAAGCGCCACTACGCACACCAGTGGGGTAGCGGAATTTTACCCCCTGGGCAAACGTGACGTCACAAACCAGGGGGTAAAATTCCGGCCGCGAACTTTTGAGTTTCGCGACATCAGCTCGATGGATTAAACTCGGAATTAAACATATATTTTCACGGTTGTGAGTTTAATCAGAACACATCAAATTATAAAAACCTAGAATGTACGGCCCGGATTTTTACCCCCCCGGAATTTTACCCCCCGGATTTTTACCCCCGGAATTTTGCCCCCGGAATTTTACCCCCCGGAATTTTACCGCCCGGAATTTTACCCCCTGACCAGATATAAATTAGTGAGAATGATTAATTATCGTCATTCAGTTTTAATTTAATGGTAAACATTTTATTATTAAGTAGCCTATCTTAATTTATATGTAACATTAACTAATCGAACAGGGCTTTAATATTAATTTTGAGATTCGAGTGTCAGGATTCGATCTTTGAAGCCAACTGTTAGTTAATATGATCAAAATAAAACAGCGAATTCTGTGTACTTAGTTGAGATTATAAAATAAATAAATAAAGATAGGCTACTAAATAATGAAATGTTTACAATTAATTAAAAACAGAAATAAGAAAATCAATCATTCAATTTCTAAAATTAGCCAGGGGGTAAAATTCCGGGGGGTAAAATTCCGGGGGTAAAATTCCGGGGGTAAAAATCCGGCCCGTGCATCTTCAGTTGCCTAAACGCTAGTTATATGGACAGGGGGTAAAATTCCGGGTTTTATCGCTAATCTAATTAATCACGCTCTGACTATTTTCATAAGACTTCCAAATCCGCGGGGGTAAAATTCCGGCCGCGAACAAACTTTTGGCCACTCAGGTTACTACGTCATAGTGACGTCAGCTTTGCCCAGGGGGTAAAATTCCAGGGGGATACAATTCCGGCGACCCACACTAGTTACACAAATAACTGTTGTTTTGGGGCGATCTGAACCCTGATCTTTCACAACGTACAGTACCTTTGGCGTACCAAATCAGAGATCCTGATTTTGTCACCGCGTCGAAGTTGAGTTTTTCACGCGTTCGTTGCATAACAGTTCTTCCACAGCGCGTCAATCGACCAGAACTGAAACATTTTGTAACATCGACCTTCGTTGTAATTCAATGCATAACGAGCAATTAATGGGCAAAAAATGTGTTTAGCGATCTGTAATTGCATGTTTTGTCCAATGGTTCATCCTTGAACCTGTTATTCTGTAGTTAGATCATGCCAGAAAGTTTTCCTACTAGGTAGATTTATTCAGATACAAAAAGGATAGAAAACGAACGGAAATGTAACTTGTCAAACTTAAAGTTAAAGTTTTTTACAATGAGCCGACGATTTCATACTTAAAGAAAAATATAACTTAAATGAAGTAATTTGCTTACTTTTTGGCTCAAGAGAGACCATTACAAGTTTTTTTTATACATCTTGGAAGTGATTTAAATTGGACAGAAAAATTCTAAAGAAAATTTCCATTGTGTCATTGAAAACTTCAATGGCAATCCTAAGAAATCATTAGAGTAATTGATCAAGATCAAAATTATTGTGTCATTTTAATTAGGTAATGTTTTTCCTTCTGTATAGCCAAAATTTGTATTTGTTATCCTTTTGTTTAGCAGCTTGCTTGTGATAGAGCAAGAAGGATGTAATTTATTTAATAAAGTATCTTTATATATGTGTATTTTTTAAATTATTTTCGAATGGATTTTAAACTATATAACGTTTTTGAAATGTTGGACTCTACTACGTAAATGAATTAATGCTGAATCTAATCATACAATTTATTGAATCTCACTATATAATTAGCTAGAGATTGAAAATTACTGCAATAATCACACAGAACATCTTTAACAGGGAGACGCTTAAAACACAAACCAAACCTCATCGCTTAAGCTGTTTATTCAACAACAATGACGTAGCCTCTACTAAATCTGATTAATTAAACTGTCAATCAATTTAGTATATGGGCTAGTTCCACATCAATAATAAGGTTGTTTCCTTTCACGTCCGAGGCTATATTTATACTTTAACTCTTAGTTGATGTTTTTAACATCTAGTGATTGTATCTCAAAGAAGATACTAGAAGGTGATAGTGGTTTGTGACGTTTACAAGAAGAATCACGCGCTAGGAGTTTATGTGGGTATGTTATGTGTATTGTATGCAACTAGGTTGTTAGGATTACATATATAACGACGGCGATTTACCGAAAATATGTTGGAATTTGCTTACAATATTAAACCTTTGAAAGTTAGATAGGTACTCTAATGAGGACCAATGCTATCCATTCATTGTTCGTTGGTATATATGGTTCGTGTCCTATATGACTGCAACATGCTCAAACTAGTATAAAGAAACAAAGAACTGAACGTTTCCGAAATACGTACAGTCCTGGATAGCCAACTAAACTGACGATGAGTAGTTTTCATTAGGATGAGTGCTAAAACATAAATAAATCGAAAAAATGAATTTCATTAAGGATGAGTAGTTTTGGCATGGCCAACCAAATTCAAAGGTTGTATCTTCTATGCGGTAGTATTGTTATAGCCAAGCACACTGGGAAGTAAAGACTAAATGCTTTATTGTCTTGACAATATACATTGTATCGAAATTACAATTAACTATTTTTAACTTAGGTTTAGTATTAATTTAAACTCTTTACAGTTTCATTTTAAAATTTTGATACATTTTTCATTGAAGTCTTCAATATAATAGACCGGATCTTCTAAGGATTTGTTTTAATTTTGTTTGTATTCTTTTAATTTTAAGTTTTGAATATTAAGTGGTAATTTGTTAAATAATTTTCTTCCCTTGAATGAAGATGTTTTTCATAAAACTTTGTTTTGTTGAAAGTAGAAGAAAATATTTGTAAATTTCTAAAATAAAATTCTTCACACATAATTTATCATTTTCCAGAATTTCTCAAAATTGTTCTTCAAAAATAGTAATGTTTCATAAATATACAGAGTGGTCTGGACCTAGTGTTAAAAGATTTTTCGGGTGGTAGAGCAACACAAGTGTGACTCAAATCCACAATTAAAAAAAATATATTCCATACACCCACTTGCAGAAACATTATTTTGATTTTTTTTAGAAAAACCTGTACATTTACACAAAATTTTAAAATTTCTCTAGTATTTTCATACATTTTTATAACTTTGACACCACCATCATATTCTCCATTAAATTCT